GAAACAAAAGATGACACAATTTCAATGTCAAGCTTTAATCTGTCAGAATAAATAAATAAATTGGAACAATTGTTCACAGTAGCTTCAGAATGTGGTGCCATTATTAGTCATATAAGTCACAATGTCATCATATAAAATTATATAAATATAAAGTTATTGTAGAACCAAAACAAGCAGAAGTAAATGCTTGCATCTTTTTAATTCATTTTAAGTAATAGGATCTTTGACCTTAACAAAAACATATTCTTTATTCAAATAACAATGTAGAATGGACTGTGGTCATTTCTTTTTAAATTGAAATAAGGAGTTGCGTATTTTCATGTTCGTGTAGCCAATTCCTTGACAAGCATAATATATGTTTGTGTTTCATGTGTTTCAAACACACTCTAAAACAAACCCCTGTTTGAAAAACTTGTTTGTGTGTTTCTTGTAAAAACTATGACTCTCCCACAGAGAAAGGTTCCTCCTTCTTAAAATATTATATTGTCAATTGTCAATTGAAGAATGTGAGCTTAAAAAAGTATTATGGCCCCTAAGTTTCCTGTTTCAGCTTTGAAACAGAATTAATTTTAACCATAGTTTTATAACCACCAACTATCCTCTCTTCTCTCTGTCTGAAAAACATGTTGATTCTAGCACCCCAAAAGGAAACCACCCACAACGAATGACTGCTTTTAGCCAAAGTTCCATCACATGTCCAACTGCGGGAAAGATCCTAAAGGAAAAGGCCATCTACAATGAGGTTTGAGCTCAAACTTGAAAGACTTCATTGAGGGTTAAAGCCAAACGCTTCTTTGAGTGCATCAATAGACCAGGGACCCAAACCAGGGAAGCTGGAGTATCATCAAGCACATTATCGTTTTCACATTTTGGCTCTGCATTGCATACTAAACTCAAACTTTTGAGCTCATGTGCCTCCTCCCGCGTGTTTCCCTGAGAAAATTGTTCCTTTAGCTATAATTTCCCAGAAAATGGCATTAAATGTGTCTACATATGGAGAATGTTCCAAAATATGATTTCAACTTTTTACTGTACTGTGGAATCAAGTTGGTGACATACCACCTCAAAAGAGTTGCATACTACTGTATACCTTTAACATCATTTACATAGACATGCTTTGGTCTCATAGTGAGCACAATGGCTATTTTTCCATTTAACATACATTCAAATGTTTTGCCTTGGAGATAAATTAGACTTCACGATCTAAGACGGCTGAAGAGAACCAACCTAATGGTTGTGACATTATCAGAGATGGGTGTGTTAGCTAATTATGTAACTATATTCTCCAGTTCTTTCTTTACATTCATTTTCATTTACTTAGAATGGCCTTCTCTTCACATAGAAATATCATTTGGTGTACATGTACTGCTTTGTATGACCATAAGTTAGAAGGTAGGATTTACAGTTCTCTGTGGCATGGCTCCCAGATCTTACACTGTGTTGTCTTTGACCAATAACATTTACTGTATTAAAGTATTGTTTTTACAAGCATGTCTTCCAGTGCATTATATTTTTATAATTAGTGTATTAAAGTGCTCCACTGTTAGCTGTCAGTCTTTTCCTTGTGCTGTGTATATGTGACTGTTTGCAGTGAAACCTACATTGGCAAAACCTTTAATACACCCTAAATAAAAAGTTATCTTTATTGATTTGCCATTGTCTTTGTTTTATGTATTCTTATGTACTCTGTAACAGAAATACTTCTTTCTACAGTAGCTATAGTGATATACAATATTGGCTGCAAATGCACATTGAGTGAACTGAGTGAATAAGCAGATGTTTCTCCCTATAAACCAGTTGGCGGAAATTACAACAATACAGTGTTTACCACAAGTCAATTATTTAGGATCTTGCAAATAATGTTTCCTCTTTAAAAACCAAAACAGCGCAGCTAATTTGATTTTGTTAAAAGGGCTCCCAGCATGATTGGATAGAGGCAATTATTATTAAATAGTTACCATGCATTCTGGAATTTGATTATTTTACTCCATGAGGCGCTGTCAAAAATAGGTGCTGTTAAAAAATAAATCTCCAAAAGAAAATACACCAATAGAACACTGTTTTGATTTGGGCCCACCTGCTATCTAAATATTGTAACTTCATATAATTATCATGAACAACAACAATCAAGCCTGAGAGTGGATAATATCACAGTTTAAATATCAAATTGAATTAATTTTGAGAGATAGAGAAGATGAAGATCCATGAGACTGTTGTGACATATGCAATTGAAGAGGAATAGTATTTGTCAGTTAACAAGGTCTGAGTCTGCACAGCTTCAATTACTTTGAGTTATTACAGATTGGTGAATTGGAGTATTTTCATTTTATTTGCTTGCTGATGAAAATCTATTTGATAGACCAAAGCAGTTATCAAAGACTTGGGATTATCTAAGGTAAGACCTGCAGAGATATTGGTGTTTGCCTTGAACAAAATCTTTGCTAAAAGCCCACTGCTGGCAAAAGAAGATAAGGCCTTTGGGATGAAGCGGCTAAAGAAGCATTATGTCTCAAATACAGTATAAACAGTTATAGCAACTTGGTACAAAGAGCAGGGCTGCTGTAAAGATTAGACATCCTTCAAACTGAGCTTAGTATGAGCTGCAGTAGCTGTATAGTACACCATGAAAACATCCCATATAAGCAGCAGTCAGTTCAAAGCCAATACTGTCAAGTCTATTTAATTTAATCCTTTATATAGAGCATATCTTGGACCCAAAAGCTGAACCAAACTCAGGTACAGTAATAGGTTTTATTTTAGGTATAGGTAGGTATTGAGCAGAGGGTTTAGGTAGAGCAGGTGGGTGCTAGGAAGGGGAGTCGAACCATGAGATGACCAGGTGAGTTGAAGCAGGAGATCCAGGGAGAAATGAGAGAAAAATCTAAACTACAAAAGGTCCAGGAGAAAAGCACCTAAACATTTTGTTTGTTTGTTTTGGTTTGGGTTTTTTTAAGTCACAAACTAACAAATAAGGAAAACTGACGAACTGGCAGGGAGTGGAGATGGATGTCAGGTGAGTGATGAGACAGAGACATTTACTATTTGAGTTTTTGTTTTTTGTTTTTTTTCTTAACCTCTTACCACAACACTGTATGTGTCTGATGAATGCACTGAGCTATTTAGAAAACTATCTTATACTGTTGGGATTTTTTTTACTTGATTGTGTTCATAGTACTCATAGTACTACTCACTAGAAGCAATGCTCTATTTGACCACACTTTTTACATAGCATGCTCTGTGTGCTGTTCCATTATTAGATCAGGTTCACTTTGGCCCCATGTCCATTGCTCTTGACTTTGACTGGGGGCACAGCGCAGGACGTGATCACCCTGAGGTGCACAGCAGGCAGTGACTTCAGTAAGTGCAGCAATCACCTGAACCGCTTTAAGTCCAGCTTTTCCGAGAGCACTTTGATCTGGTGAAGGCTTTGATGGCTCTCATCATAGTACAGTACGTGTACATTCAACTCACCAAATCAGGCGCGCCACTGACACATGCACTATTCTGTTTGATGGCTTTAATAAGTGGGGCAGTATACACCTTCTTTTGTCGTATTACACACTATAAGCAGTGATTTTTCAACATCACTTTGCTCAAGAGCTATGAACTATTTATCTTTTTCATAAATTTGTCAGAGGTGTCACAATTATCTATTTTTTGAGTTGTATTATTTTGCATAACTGAGCTGAACTTTATTGGAGTAGGGTTGCCAAAACATCTATACAAAGATACTAACTGATAATAAAACTAGTATCAGCATTAGATTATATTGAACAGAAACAGATTCTGAAAAATATGACATAACTGCAATATATTTGGATCTTAGCTTTAGACTGGTCTAGACATCTGTCATATCATTGTGGTGTCTAGATGACTTTGGACTGTTGCAGTTAGTTGTACATTAGCCTGAAGCAAAACTCTGCAGGGTGTCCAGAATGCTGCTGCCTACTGACAACCGCAAGAAAATGGGAATACATACAAGATTGTTCTATCCTCTGAGCACTGGCTCACAGTCAGGTTTATGATCAAATCTCACTGATTGTTTTGAAATGTCTGAACTCAGTGGCACCAGTGTACCAGTCTCAGCTACTGCAGATTTCCTCTCCTCTCAGATCTCTTAGATCTGCAGATCAGCTCTTCATGGCTTCATGGCTGTTCTCAAGTCCAACCTCAAATCCTGGACCACCACAGTCTGTGGAGGAGTTTAAAACTAAACAAAAAAACACACTTTTGCTTTTAATTCAATGTTGACCAGATCATCTTGTGTAGAACTGTATTTTTCTGTGTGCATATATATATATATATATATATATATATATATATATGTATATATATATATATATATATATATATATATAATATATATATATATATATATATATATATATATATTATATATATATATATATATATATATATATATATATATATATATATATATATATATATATATATATATATATATATATATATATATATATATATATATATATATATATACATGTATATACACATATATATATATTTTTTTTTATATTGTACCTGTACAGCACTTTGGTCACCTGAATTGTTTTAAATGTATTTTTATTTTGACACTGACATTAGTTGAGTATATTCCTTAGTATCAAAATGAAGTCAAGTGATATTTCAGTACAGTAAGTACTGGAGGATTATTATATTGTACATGTCTTTGATTGATTCGAGAAATCAGAGAGTAAGAGTGTTACAGCCACTCAGCCACTCTGCACTCAACATCCTGATGTCTAGACTAAGGTCGTTTCATGTCTTAGTCTTGGTTTTCTGAGATGGGTTCATACAAACAGATGGGAGCTTGGTGGCAAAAGTTCATAAAAATGAGCAACAAATTCAGAGAAAATAGCAATATCAAATAAAGACACTGATCTTGAACATATGTATATGGTGAATGGATGCTTGTCTGTTTGCATCCAAGTGTCAACACTGCCACCAGTTAATGAGCAGAGGATGAATAAAATCAAAACTTTGTGAGAATATTTTTATTATATTACCCAAGGTCTGTAGATCTGTTTCTGAAGTAAAAAGCCTGTAATTGCTCTGAACATTTAAATCACTGTAATTAAAACAAGCCAAAGAAGTAATTTTGCAGTCTTTTGTGTACATTATAGTTCGGTAGGGCAGCTTCAAGTGCTTTGCTTTTATTCATTTTACAGGGGGCGTGCTGGGTCCAATTGTCTTTATGCCCAGTATTTGAGCATACCAAGCACTTGTCCAGACTCTAGATTAAATTTGAGTCTGGAACGCCTCTGGTTTTCTCTCAGTGGGACAGAAAGATGTGGAGGGTCCATGTTTTGGGGGGAGTCTGAGGAGCTCCTCTGGCTCGGTGATGTGCAGGTCACATGCTGAGGGGGCTAGGGGGCGCACTTCTCCTCCCAGTGTCTTGCCTTCTGAACCGCTGTCTACCCCACTGGTGTTTCTGCCCTAGAAAAGGAAAAGAAACAAAAGGATAATGCTGGGAAGGAAGAAGGGATTTTTTTTAATCAGTCTGCCATCCTTAAGGGTATATTTGATGGACTGAATATTCATTGGTTTGTAATTGGGCAATTATCCTATTTGGATGTTTTCTTATTGCTCACCTGCTCCTTGTTTTGGACACAAACAAGGACTTGAATAAATGATTGACACAAGTGACACAGCATTTGGTCAATTATGAAAGAAAAAAAAAGTGGAAAGAAGACATCAGGCAAAGCGCCAAGACTTTGACTCACAATTCTTTTAGTTCAGGAGAACAAAATCATTTAATGTGTACTGTACTTCTGGTTAACATGCACTTGCCCAGGGCCTAGAGATCTGCCTGATCTGAAAACATATTTTTTTACTACGATTATAAAAAAGTATATAGGACTGACACCAGTCAGTCACTTTTTGCTACTTATTATATTTTAGCATAATTCCATTATGTTGTGATATGTTAGCTATTGTGTCTAAATAATTTTCCTTGTTGATCTATAAAGTTTGTCTAAGTCTAAGTCTAAATATTATATAAAGTAAAAACAGTCACCGGAACCATGATAAAAGAGAGGAACATGGTGTAACTGAAGAGTATGTCACTTGCCCTATATGTTACAAAAGGAAGTGTTCTGTGTGAAATGTTTTTGAAGGTTTCTTTGACACTGAACAAACAGAGCTTAGTAAAGTATGCAGCAAACAGTGAGAAACTGCAGCACTTACGCTGCTCATGTGGAGAAGAGTTTTTAGTTTGAATAGAAAAAAAATGCCTTAAACGCAGACTGTTAAAAGTATCCAGCTGCACTGCAACAAGAACCTAACACACAGATATCTGTGGGGTTCAGTTTTGCTCTTCAGTTTTGTGTTCAATCGAAAAATAAACATGTTTTGAGCATTTGTAATTGTAGTTGTAATTTCTAAGTTGTGCTCATAATAACAGAGTGATGCAGACTTTATTGTTCCACATGGACAGTGAGCTGTAGGTCTGTGAGTTGGATGTCTGGAGGGACTGAAGGTACTTGGAGGCAGAGTGAGGGAATATTACTGAAAATATGTGCTGTAAATTATCTCTATTCACAGTCTGCTGAATATTGCCACTTTTGACTTGAATATTTGTGTGAAAAGCTTTTGCATTGAAATTGATTCTAATGTTTTGAAAATTACATTTTTTTCATGCTTTCAGAGATGTTTTCAGCAAACATGTCTGGTACATTTTACCATGTTTTTGTTACATAGAAACATGGCAGATAAATCACAGCATCACTTATTACCCATATATGTGATTAAAACCTGATTAAGACTTTTTCCACTCAGGAATTATAAATTCAATTACAACCAAATGGGTTTTATAATGTACAGTGTGACAATGCACTAAGGCAATATTCAGGCACACAATGAGGTCAGAGAAAACGTACATTAATATACCATCTCAATATAATATATATAATAATGCATATAACATCTTAGTGATGCATGCCATACATGAAGCACTGTCACCCATCATTTTGAATGAAATAACATTTCTCTCACCTCAGATTAACAGAGTTTAATGCGTCACTCATTCACTCTACAGAAACCCGCAATGTTTTTCACTCTCCTGTGATATTTTTTAATTTCCATTTTCCTCGTTAGCAGCTTGTAGAGATTCACTATCGAGCAGACTCACATCTTCATAAAGTATTAAAGAAGTGTGTATTCTGGGTCCCAGGCCGTTTTAAATATGTTTTTGGAATGAAAACAACCCAACTGGACATTAGTTACCACATAACTGATAGTCTCTGTTGTATGTACCTTTAAAGTCTTTGTATTTGAATGTCTCTAAAACGGCCTATGGGGAAAATGTATTTGAAATGTACTTTTTACTTTATGGCAGGCCTCAAGTGACAGGACTGAGCTTGCTTGGATAGAAGATATAACAATAGTTTCTGTGTAAACATATGATTCTGTGACTTTCTTTTGCTTTGGCATGCAGACTATCTGAGACAGAGGATGAAGTGTTATCCTGGATTTTCAAACATCATATTTGAAAATCTATATATATATATATATATATATATATATATATATATATATATATATATATATATATATATATATATTTCAGTTTTCTTTTCCTGAGATTTGTTATTTGGCGGCTTTCTTGGGGTACATGAGGACAACCACTGTAATATTATCAAAGGTTTGAGTGTAATAAACCAGATGCACATTTTTTTTTGTGACGTTAGTTATGATTTACCATGTCTTCAATTTGTCAGAAAAGGACTCATCACATAAAACTTGGTTACTATTTTCAGCTTGCTGTTTCTACAATGCTCTGACAGAACTGAAGTACATAATAGGATTCATTTGGGCAAAGGAGTGCTCGGATTTTGTTATTGGCAAATAATAACTCACAAAGCTTATTTAATATTGGTATTTCTGATGACTAATGTTACTATTTTGTTGTTTTCAGTATAGATGAAAATATTAAAAATAGCCTTACAAAAGAGTATTGAGTTGATTATAAAAGCGCTTTTCATCCTCTTTTTCATACTCAAATACACAGCTGATCCTCCACACAGGTACACACACTCGCAGTGGTTTTGAATGTGGTTCAGGATCGTGCTTTGTAGAACTTGTGCTCCTTTCATAGAAGAGCTGTGTTTAGCGTCAGATGTGTCAAGTGCGCTGACGTGCTAAAGAGGTCTGTGCCGTGTGCAAATGCTAAAAGCCTGAGCACAAGGACACTGTTAAACATGCAGTGCTCAAATGCTGCAGCTGGACTTTGAAAACAATAAGTCATTCAAGTCTTACACTGTTATTTCCTCTGAGAACAACATCCAAATTATAATGTTTGTATGACAGATTACATATGTAAACAGTATGGAAATGTGTGCTGTAGCAATATCAAAGTCAGCTTTAAAGGCCTTATTTTCTTTACGCTATTTTGTGATCGAAGTTACAATGTTGTTACCTCATCAAAAACATACCTGGAGTTGTGTTTTGTTTCATTCACACATGTTTAACACACTCTGCATATTTAGAGCTCTTCCCTCAAAACAGAAAACTATCTGACATGCAGTCATACAGGAGGTGCTCCACTGTGTTTTTAAACTCCATACACCTTCACTAGAATCATTTGGATCTTCAGCACTGAAATTAAAACTCTCTACAGAACAAAAGGTAAAAGGAGCTGTTAACTTGAAAACTACCACTATATGACATCACAAGGTGGAACAGAGTATTTTGCGCTTTGGAGATGTAGACGGATTAATAATGAAGAGGATTACTGAAATGTGTGAATGAAATAAAACACAACTGCAGGTATGTTTTTGAGGTAATACTTTTTTTTTTCAATCGCTTTTGCAAGTTTTTTGAATCTTGGTTGAGTTCGATTGTTTGGTTCAGTGGCGATCCTACACTGATTTGCACCTTGGGCAGGACCTCCCTCCTTCAAATTTCTTCAGCATAAATATTTTATGATGCAAATTCTACTTTGCAGTTGGTAATTGATCTGTAAAATTTATATGTGTTAAGTATGAACCCAAAATCAGACTGCACTAAACCAGTAATTCTGTGTGGGCCCTGAGAGCAGGACTGAGGCTTCTGTTCAAGTTCACCTGATGAGTTTCAACATTTTGATGGTAAAACTTGCTTTTGGGAAATGATGGATCAGTTTTGAATGAAAAACTGCATTTTTCTGAAAATACATTTTGTTTAGGAAAACTTAAATTCTGTTTAGGATTTTGTGTGAGCTGTGCAAATGTCACTTTTCAATAGATAAATGTTTTAAAGCAATGAAAAAAATTGTTACATTCTGACATGGCTTAAAGCTCACAAGAATCCATTTTGTGTAAGGGCCTTTAAGACTTATTTGCATAGAGAAACAGGACTGATGGGGAGTTAAGTGACGCTGGTACATGGCGCATTTTAGCAGAGGCTAATGTATTCCTAATGCATAAGGGGCTATGGGAGAAAACAGCATGAGCCCCTCACAGCAGGGGGGTCGTCTCTGAGGTCGAAGTCTAGTATACCATTTCACATCTAATTCTAAGTCCAATGTATACTTTGGAATTAGAATTTGGAAGTGGAAACAATGAGTCATAATTCACAATAATTCCTTTGTTTATGCTAAACATTTGAATGCATTAGATGATAATTAAAACTGCACATTTAGAAGAAAGGAAAATGGAGGAAGGGCTTAACATCACAGTCACTGCAGCACAGAAATAGTCTGTGTTTTTGAAAGCATCAGACAGACAGAGCATCAGTGGATGCTGTTTATTTAATCTTTTGTGATGAGCAATGTTCACTCTGAGCTCCTCGACTAAAAACCACCATTGTTTTTACCCTAAATGTGCGCATTTTGTTCCCACAATCGTGGCTTTGGTTGATGAAATCTGCTCCGTTGATAGCCCTCGCCTTCATCATGGGGAAAATTAAAAATGTTCCTCACATTTCCCTGCCTTATGAAGAGCACTTGTAAATGCTGGAGTGTACCATGGCTTTTACAAGAAACTCCACACTTTCTCTTTCATTCTGTTGTTTCAGAGGAGAGTTTTGCCTCTGCTGTTTCTTTAGACAGCTCTGATTTCAAACAGATGGGCAGACAGCAGGACAACAGCTCACAGCTCAAAGGTCCTTGACTGACGCTGACTATAAACACATTTACAAATTCAGCAGCAAGTAAGAAAATATGGTAAACTTCTTTCCAATGGCGATATTGTTCCCTCATTTTTGTCTCTTTTCTTAGAGACCTTCAGCTCCATTGTGTGCATACTTGAAGACATTCTTGAATTTTTTAAAAAGAAAAAATAAACACTATTATAAAACTGTGAGCCCATTGTCTCTATACTAGATAAAGCATTGCTGAATGTGAAGAGGATAGGTATTTGTGCTCTTTGAGTGCCTTGAAGGTGGAAAAGCGCTGTAGAAAAATGTGATCATTTATCATTTACCATTCTTGTGTATAAAGAGTGCTGTATTGTACCTTGGTGCTGAAGTGCAGTTGAGAGACAAAGTGCCTGGAGGGACTGCACTCAGACTGTCTATGAGGATCCTCTGGTGTCAGTCTGGGAGAGGTCGCCATAGTGCGGATCACCCCCGGCCTTGTCTGGAACATGACAACAGTGAAGGTGCAGTTATGTACTCATATGTGTCTACAGAGCACCAAGTAATTAAAATGTACCTTATGAAGATCTGCTCTTCTCTGGTCATTTGCATTTGGCTTTAAACTGCCAACAGATGCCTGGAGGAGAACGGAACTACTTTAAAATCAAGTCCAGTGCATGGTTTTATTGGGTTATGATAAAAAATACACCCACTAAATAGTAATAAATAAATAAAGTAACAAAAAAAACTGAGCAATCTGTGCATGTTTTAAAGGTATAGGTTTAGCAATGGAAACACTGGTAATTTATTGCAAGATTTAATGCCATACTGTGCAACATTTCAGGCAAAGCAATAACTACAGTGGAGACAAACGGGGTGGACCCTCCACTAGAACGGTTTTATGCACCTTTAATGATTATATGCATTGGCAAATAAATATTTGGGCACAAAATATGAGGCATGTTGAAAGTTTTTAAAGAAATAACACCAAGAGTTCTAACTATAGTTTTCTCCAGACAACTATGGGACTTCAAGTAAATATTCATCTCAAGAATGTAGCCTGGCCTAAAAAAACATTATTGAACAAAAAAAAGGAAAGGATTCTAAGCAAATTATTTACATAAAGTCATGGTTTGTTTTATTCAATGAAAACTACAAATAATTACAGCTGTTTGCAAGGACATTGCCTCTCACAGCACTTATCCTTGAATTCTCAGAACTCAGAAATGTCCTCCGTAGACATGGTGTTTTTACTTACGTATTTAGTTTCACGGCCATACGTTCTCGGAAAAGTTGAGTTGTTTTTCTAAAGATAAAAAGGAAACAAATAAGATGTGGTGACTGGTGTGACAAAAAGTCTATCTGAAGAAACGAAAAAACCTCCCAAACTTAGAGCGTTCATGATTCATCAAAAAGTGAAGAGACAAAAGATGAATAAAAAGAAATCCTCGGTGACTCCAGCTCAGTCCTCACACTCACTGACAGCTAAACATTTGGAGACTGCTCAGAAATCCTCACTTTTGTAATATATTTATTTATCAATCAATGACACTGTACTCTGAGTTAAATGCCACTCAAGCAGCTTCTGTTTACAACATAAAAATATATTGTGGCAGTGCTTTTTCCATTGAGCTTGGTAAAAAGGTACTTGGTGTTGCATTCAATACCTTAGAGTAGAAATATTAATGTATTCTTCTATTATATTCATGCGTTTCAGTCATTTGACTTCCTACTTTTTTGGGGGTGAAATTTGAGAACTTTGAATATTTAAACAATAGAATTTTTGAGCAGTAAAATACCACAAATCTGAATTTAGCCTGGGGCGATGTTAACAGTTAATCATCATCAAGGATAGTAATAATGAAAAGTACTATTTTGGATTTATGCTGTATGGGGGCTAAGATAAAAACACACTGCTTTTCACTGCACAATGCAGGTGCTGTATTAAAAAATATTTCATTGTTTTTTAGTTTTTTGTTTTAAAGAAGATTCAGATTTTACCTGTGACTCTTTGACAACTGGCGATTTTGATTTCTGCAGAGACAAAGAAAGTATTGATTAACTGCTACATGTATTGAGCTAGTCTCTGTAGGTAGTATTATTAATAAACTCACAGATGGAATTGGGGAGCTCCTTAAAATCTCATCTATAACTGCATACAACTCTTCAGACTCCTTCTTGAGCCAGGCTGGTGAACACATCTACTCCATAGACAGTATTGTTTAGAGTGGTATAGACACAGTATTGTTTAGAGTGGTATAGACACAGTATTGTTTAGAGTGGTATAGACATAGTATTGTTTAGAGTGATATATGGTGTTTATAGTGAGGTGATGCAGGTGAGAGAAGGTGCAGAATTGTGTGTAGTTACTTCTTCATGGGTATCAGTCTCCTGTGCGTCTAATGGCACACCTCTGTCCCCAGAGCTGGCCTCCCCTCTCTCCACCTGCTCGTCTATCACCTGCAGCCGACAGAGCAGTTTCAGCCCACTGTCAAAAACACATCTCCAAACCACATTTTATGCATCCTGTCTCTCTCTGTACTATTCACAGGGACTTTTTTTTAGTGCCCCAAGTTTCTTTGCACTTGGAGAGAGATTCTAGGTCATTTTGAGTAACCATCAGCTACAATACAACAACAGATACATCAAGAAATGTTTTTCATTCTGTATAAAGAGAATCAGAAGTACATGTAAACAGTGATGGGTAGAATGCTTTGAAAAGGATACAGAATACTTTAAATACTTCATACATTCAAATGTGTAAAATGTATTCTGTTACATCCAATCTGTACTAGTACTGCATTCTAAATAATTAGAATACTTTTAGACTGAGTTGCATTATTCATGGTTTCAGAGGGGATAACTGCAAAATCATTGTAATACTATTAGTACTATGCTATTTTCTGTTTAACTAAGAGAAGAAGAGGTCTAAGTGTGGCTAGAGGAAATGTCCATGTTCCACTATTGAGACACATTCGACAAATCATTTGTAATTGGACTGGGAAAAAACCTTTTGGTTTTTTATGATTTTGAAACAATTTTCTGTGACTCAGGAGGTTGGCTCACAGGTTAGGGTGACCTTATTTTTCACATATTATTCACTTTTGACTATAACAAGATGAACTGAAGTGTTTCAAGTTGGCTGACCACAGTCTAAAGCCATAAAGCATGCATGCGTACAAAATGTATGTATTTCAGTTACATAACAATAGACACAACATTCACCTGTTGATCCAGTAGCAGGGTGTTGGTGGGAATCGCTGCCAGTGATTTATAGCTCGATTTGATCTTGTGTGGCTGGTTTAGTGAGAAGAAAAATAAACAAGGTTAGTTCTGCTTTCAGAATGGATTGAATTACCATAAAAAGTACATTACTGTGACCTACATTTTCAGAGACATGTGTTATCTACTTTGACTGCTCCCGTCCACTTATCAACCTCATGCAAAAACACACACTCAACTACAATAACAAAATCATCGAAGTGTGAGGGAGCGCTGATAGGAATGCCAACAACATTCACTGCATTTTTGCTCACTGACAGGTTAGAACACCGCAAGCAACATCTGTCTGCTGTGATGTCCTTTCTATCACTATGGAAACTACTTTTGATCATTAGAAAGTATTTCGATGATGGTAATTTAAAGAAGTTTGAAGTTTGAAGAAGTTTGGCCTAGAAAATTGATGTTTGCTTATTTACAGTTCTTGACATTGACATTTTTGACGATGCTCATCATTGTCAAGAGGAATTTCTTAAAAGGAAAAGGATGTAAAATGTTGTGACACTGGATCTTATCTAGGCCACATGTTGTGTTTTCATATGTACATATATAGAGGTTCATTTTATTTGATTTTTAGACCCAAGACAGCACAGTTTATTACTTTTTCCCCGTGAATGTAGATTTTTGGATGTTTTGTATATTTTGAAATAGCTGAATATCCATGCAGTAATTTCCAGCATTAATGTGTTGGCAGTGCTGCTACATTGATTGCGAGAATTCAATACAGAGGATGCAGAGTTATTTTGGATGACTTAACAGATTTTTTGAAAACTGAAAACAGTATTTCAACTTTTTGAGATTTGTTGTTTCAAATTCCAAATTACAATAGCCATTCTTGTCCTCACCTGCACTTCAGAACAATAGAGAAAAATAGATAGCTTTATTTTTTCTGCCTTGAAGCTGCACTTACTCTAAATGGCTCCCTGGGGTTTGACAACACGCCAATCATTGCAATGTGATTTATCAAAGGCAACATTTTAAAGCATCATAACTGATAGACAAGAGTCAGGAGGGACACATAACTTTTGTGTGAGTTTCATCATATATCTACTTTTTTTTTAAACTAAGAGCGTGTGGGAGGACTGAAAGAACAGTGTGTCAGGGGGCAGATGAAACGATAAAACATCACCAAGCACGTGTCATGCATATGGGCCAAGCTACCTTTCTTTTTTTACCCTGCCTGTCAGAGCTGTCTGATATTCCACTCCCTGGTCGCGGAGAAGGCGTGGACCGCAGTGACAGACAGGGTGACGGGGTGAACTCTCTGATTGGTGGAGCAGGCGAGGGGGTGGGCGTGTGGGTGGGCGTGGGGGAGGCGGAAGCACCCGGAGAAGGCCACCCTGAAAAAGCCATGGGCGTGTAGCGAGAAGGAGACAGACAGTGAGATAGGAGAGGTGACTTTTTCGGTTCAGAATGGGTTGGGACCCGTAGCTTCTCTATGGTGAACCCAGTAGGGGGCGGCGATGGTGAATAGGTGGAAGTAACATTTTCAGAAGAGTCAGAAGGAGGAGATTTGAGCTGTTGTGACAGAGACTGAAGCTTAGAGAATGAGGAATTAGGGAGGTGGGTCCATTTCTGCGGTACACCTGTATTTAGCTCCAAAGCAGGCTCAGGAGATAGACATGTGAGTTTGTTGGGGCTATTATCCACGTTGACGCAGATTGAAGGTTTCAAAATGGGGGACTGTGGTTTAGAAATAGAGATGTAAGACCGATTTATTGGGGAGGCAGATTTGACTATTGAGGAACCGACTGGAACCGGCTTGATCGAGCTGTTCTTCTTCTGCGATTTCAAAGAGCTCGGAGGCGGAGGTGAAATTACTTGCTGCCATCTTGGGACTGTGTTTGATGAACTGGTTTTGATTTGATTCTTGGGGCATGACGTTTTGCACAAGAGCGGCGGAGCGGTGGCGCAGCGGCTCGGGTCCCTGTACGCGTCACTTTGGCTGTCTATTGAAGTCGTGGAGGAAAACTCAGTGGAAAGCTCCAAGGGAATGGACGCAACACTCGAGGCAGCCGAGCAAGCGTTGCAATGGGATACTGTGATGTTGTTGACCGGCCAGCAGGGGGTGTAGGGGCGTTGGACAGGAGGACAAAACAGGGAGCCGACCTTTCCTCAAAATGGCGGTGAGGAGAGACAAACGGGTCAACGGGGGGCGGTGACGAGTCAAGGTCGGGGACATTGGACACGATAGGCTCTCACACGAAGAACGCAAACTTTGTGGTAGGCTAATCAGGCTAGAACCAGGCGCGAGGAAGTGCTTTTTAACTGGGATAATAGAAGGAGTGAAGATGCCAGAATAGACTGAAGAACAGGGGGAGATAGTGCGGCTGCCGGAGATAAGAGAAGCGTCTTTTTCCGAACATGCAGATAAGATGGACTCTCTTGAAGAAGCCGGTGTAGGAAACAAGTCTGCGGAAATGGTGGGGCTAGTTCTGTCCTGTTGTGTTTTGAAATAGCAGCTAACCTCAGACGCACGCCCAGGGACACATTGATATGGCTGCTGGGAAATGTCTGTATGTCTATTAGCAGCTGCCTCCATAGTGGCTTGTCCCCCGCTAGAGGTATTTTGAGACTGATCGCTGAAGGAGGGAGCTGAGCCAGACACGAGATCCTGTGGAGGTGCACGCTGGAAAACAAAAGGTGTGATTTAGGTTCACAGCCAAAATGAGTGCTACACAGAGTATTTATGGTCATAGCACATTGTTCACATGGGGTCTAAGCAATTTACAGCCCTGAAAATAATGTTTGGCTGTGGCTTTTGAGCAAAACATAGATAGCAAAGTTATAACGGTCAGTTTTAATTTATTCTTTTACTTTACTTTAAAGGTGCATTGTGTAAGTGTTCTGGTGGAGGGTCCATCATTGCTCCACCTGGAATATGCCAAGGTATGAACAAACAGCTCTATCATACATTTATTCAATTACAGGCGGTTTTACTGCTAAAAAACTATCTAGAAAACCAGGCATACTGACTGTGAGCGAGGACGTCTCTCAGATCTGATATGTAACTTGGGTTGTTTGGTCTCAATGCGGATACAAAGGTTTAATGCCAAACTGTGAAACATTTCAGACAAAGCAATAACATCTCCACAGAGAAAACAATTTGACGGGCCCCCACCAGAAAAGTTACACAATGTACCTTTAAGAATATTGTTTTAAAGCTACCATCTGTAGTTAGACTAGCTGACCCACCTCTCTCATATTCTCTCATATCACCACTACGTACTATCTATATTACTGCAGTCTGATAGTGTACCAGCTTTTTATACTAGGGTGCACAGGTGAGCTTGAACCAGGGCCAGGTGAGGGGAGTGGGAACAGGCTTCACATCTGCCCTCTAATGATGGAAAGAAAAAGAAAATAAACTTGCAGATGGTAGCTTTAAGTTCATCTTAGAAAATTATATGAATTCTCTTAAATAAGTACTAGTTAGACATTGTCATCTTACACCAATAATTTGAATATTTTTTCATGAGCATTTTTAATCTAATGTAGATCCTTGTCTTTGCACACTATTATATAATACATATTCAAAAAAGCTAAGTACATTACTTAAATTATGAAAGAATCACCAAAAAGCAAGGAAAAAACACATAATAGAGATAAGATGATGAGAGATATATTAGAGATGACAAAAACCTTACATTTTCTGCAGAAAAAGAAACAAAAGCCTAAGTGCGACATGTTGGAGATGGCATTATTTTAAAATATAATTACACTCTCTGAAAAGACAGCCATATTCAACTCAGACTAATAAGACATTACTGACAAAGTCTTATGTCAAATGTCATCCCCACGAAAGAATTGAAATACACCTAATATTTGGCATTCTTTTGGTACTTACCGCAGTTTCAGTGTTTTTGTGCGATTGCGTGCTGCACTTTTCTTCCCGATGCTCTGAGTTTGGGATATACATGGATCTGAAAGGCTGTTCTTCTGACACGTTCTCCCTGGTGGTCTCCTCTGCCACGTTCTGACAGGAGAAAGTGAAGCAAATGTTTAGGAGCCTGTGGGCTGGTGAAACCTGAGCAGAGGAGCAGGGCACGGGGCAAGCTGCTGTCACACTCTCTGCCCCCAACATACATTACACATGGACCCTAACATTCATGGCATACTCCAGATAGAGCACACGCAACCGGTCACACTGAGGGACAACACAGACAGCGGCCATGTTGGATACACACTTGCATACACAAACATGACATTGGGATTAAATTGGATTTATTACACTTAAACTAAACTTGGACTAGCCCAAGACTGAACCAAGACTGAACCAGAACTAGAACAGAACCCAACTCTATCTACATCAGGATTAAACTGGGCTTCTATGCATGCATTTCACTGTACAAGTTAGCGTTAGATTTGATTCAAGTTCTCGTTTCTGGTAGTCATCATAGTCATAACCACCATTACGGTTAGTAATGTTGGTTAGTATTAGCATTAGGATTCGTTCATTTGACAGTAGGCGGGTACTTTTTTTAATTTAACCAGTCGCTGCTATTTGGTCATGACGTATGTAATGTGCAGCTAACAGGGCTAACTGGTATATTAAGCTTTTCCCAAATCAAGCAGGAAGAAGGGCAATAACGTCTTTCCCCTTGATAAAATTCACCAAACATTCTCGTTGTTCCAGCTTTAAATCAATCTTGGGAATCGTTGCCAACACAGAATGTATGGCTTTGTCTACATCCATCTCAACCTCTTTGTTTACTGTTGTGCTGTACCATAAAAGGGACCCAGTCATGGCTTCACAGCTCTTCACTGATTGGCCGGTGTGTAGTCTACATCTTCTGAGGTTCTTGCAAACCATCTAGTGTATTCTGATTCCTGACCTAGTAGATGGAGAGAAATGAAATTGAGTGGAGGCACTAGGTGGCGCCAGCCTGGCTACCAGTTTGTGGCTGTAATCAAAATTTGCAAATAAAACAAAAGTCCTTGATAAAACTCATGATGAAGATGTTCAGAAATATCCAACTGAGGATTGCTATATATACAGTACATGGCTTGGAATTATAGAGGAGTATCTACAGGCAACCACTCCTCACATCAGTTCACATATAATCCAGTCTAACTACAGCAACCAATTAAGACCATTTCACTGAGGTTAGGCTACGACTTGAGATACGGCGCAATCAAACAAATGGAGGGCTGCCAGATTGACACTTTATTCTTGGAGCTGTAATCGCAATGAATAGTGGCTAATGTCAGTACCGTGTCAAAGGCCGTTACTTATATAGAAATTGGGTTGTATGGGCTACAGGATGACAGACATGATTGGTGTCATTACATGTAAATGGCCTAAAATTAGTACTATAGTCATGTATTGAAGGTATTGTAGCAGCCAAACTTGCCTTTCCAAGATCAATTATGGATATAGCATTGTCTTTACCAATGCGAAATGATACACAGATCTGCAGCTCTCCCTAGAGACTCCACGCCTGAGTGTCTCTTTCTCACCCCTTATACAGCAACTAATTATGTGATGTATATATAACATTTATTTGCATTTGCAGAATAAAAACACATAGGAGAAAAATGCAAAAAGCCTGAAGTGCACAGCATTCATTCATCTAGTTTTTTTGTTTGTTTGTTTGTTTGTTTTTTAGCAACAGAGAAATTCAATTCTGTCAACTGGAGAAAAGATTTTGATGGAAGACATTTCACAGCTCATCCCAGCTGCTTCTTCAGTTGACAGAACAGAATTTCTTTTTTTTTTTTTTTTTTTTTTTTTTTAGAAAATGTTGAGGAAAGAATTGCAAGCAAAAGACAGCAAAGTATCATTAGAGTAGCAATATTGCAATTGTCTGGCACAATAGTCAATATCACCATAAACTAAGTTGCAAGTACACCAAGGTTCTCCATCTGACAAAAAATGCACTCTTTTTTATGAATATATGAAAAAAAGCAGATTTTTATTCATGGTTATCCTTATTAAGATTTAGGTCTGTTTTTGTCTCTGTTGTTTGTTTTTACATTGACAGTTGGGCTAGTAAAGAAATTAAAAAAATATTGCAATAATATCAATACCACAGTTCTTAAAAGCCATATCAAATATTGATACATTTTCCAATATTGTGCAGCCCTACTATAAATACAAAATGTAGCAATTGTACCAGTTGTTATTCAACAATGAATGTTTTTCTCTTTCTCTATTATTTTTTTATGCTTACAGAGTGGTCCTCGTGATGCTAAAGAAATGAACCGTATATAGCTTGTGTACGTGTAAGAGCCTGGCCTGATTGTGCAACAGTCCAAAGGGAACCTCCTTAATTGCAGTGAATCAATGGGTCCAGACACATAGCTCGAGCTGGTCACAGACTATCATGGAAATAAAGGCTGTGTTGCTTCATTTTCAAGGAGATTCTTGATATAGTTTTAATCAATAGAAGACTGAATGAGCAGGTCTCAGGAGTATTCAGGCTGTTAGGAAATGTTCCTAATGCGGATTTTAAAAGACTATCTTAGGAGAGGACAACAAAAGGCTTTAGTGCAAGAAACATTTTTAAATAATATAAAAAAATAAATAAAAAGAATATAATGTCTAATGACACACTTTTCTTTACACTTTCAAATTTCATGCATAATTCATTCACTCCTCAATCAAACTTGGTGATTAGCTACTATTGTAATTGCTTCAACAAAATATGAGAGGTGAGTGGGCTTGCTCAGTGACACAACACTAGAGCTGTGATTGAACAGGTAACCTCATGTAAAAACAAGAATGCTGTCAATAAATTCATATTATTTTAGTTAATTTATTAACTAAACTATATAACAACAGAAAACATTGTGTGAACCAATATTATAGAACCTGCTTTATGATGTTGATTTGTTAACCCCAGTAATCGTGTAAACTCCTTCCAAAACTGTTGTTTTGTGATCAAATTTTTATTCAAGTGTTATTATTTGCAGTTATACATATTCCAGTTAGCATTGCATTTTTCTCCCTTTTAAACCCCCCACCCTCCCACCCTTAAACTCCCTATTGATGGGCATCAACATACATACACACATATACATATACACACACATATACATATACATATATAATACATATATACACCATCTAAATAAACACACGTACCCATATACACATATTATAGTATATATGTTATATATACATACACATGTATATACACTTTCACACACACACACCCACACACACACACAAAAAAAAAAAAAAACACACATATCCAGGTTTATATTCCCTCTATACAAAACACGGCAAATTTCCTCCGTCAAAAGACATCAGCAGAAATTGCTTTATACATACTTGTTATGTACCATACATAGAAAGTTAACTGAAAGTATACATATTGTGTACATTCTAACAACATATATTATAATGAAAAATCTCCAGGTAACAACTAGAGCCTGACCGATATATCGGCTGGCCGATATTATTGGCCGATATGGGCACCTGGAGACATATCGGCTATCGGCCGATATGCTTGCTGATATGGGCCGATATTTCACGTGGGCATGTTATACCTCGTTATAAAGCTTAGACTCTACATTATGTTCATTTAATCTAGGGTGACCAAACGTCCGTTTTTCCCCGGACATGTCCATATTTTGCGTCCTGTCCGGGGCGTCCGGTTTTTTTTTATAAAGTGATGCAAATGTCCGGGTTTTCAGTACCGTTCATTGGGGGCATTAAACTGAGCGTCTCTAGTAGCGTCTGTGACTCAGAAGGAGCGAGCAGACACAAACAGTCGGTCAGCCTGCAACATACCGAAGCACAAATGCGCATTTAACAATGACTTGTACAAGAAATTTACATTTTCCTTCCCGGTCGGGACAAGTGTGAGTCCATGTGCACAGGTTGGGAGGTGAGAGTACAGTGGTCCCTCGTTTATCGCGGGGTGATGTTCTAAAAATAACCTGCGATAGGTGAAATCCGCGAAGTATCAACTTTATATTTTACAATGATTCTATCTGTTTTAAGGCTGTAAAACCCTCACCACAAACTTTATACACTTTCCTCAGACAGGACAGGTGCAACCCTTTTTACATCCTTCTTAAAACTTATTGCTGCTGTCGTCCTTGTGTTATTTTCCTCCTTCTTTATGTAACAAACTGAAGATTCATTTATTCCGTAAGGGAGCCTACAGCGCCGAGTCCCGCACGGATCCATTTTTGGAGGCCCCCAGTACAACACTGCACCCGCGCAGTACAACAATGCAACCGCGCAGGACAGGACCGCACCTGCCCGTTAACCAGAGATTATATCAAACTTTTGCGCTGCCTACGCCACGGACTGAACCAAGACTAAACCAGGACTAACCGAGGACTGATTCCAGAACTGAAGAGGAGGACTAATCCACGACTGAACTAGGACTAAAACAGGACTAAACCAGGACTAAACCAGGACTAAACCAGAACTGAAACAGGACTCACCGTCAGGACGGGCTCAGAGGTGACTGCAGGAGAAAGGACCGGCTCAGCTCCGTACCTCACTGAGTTAAACGCGGCAGTTGCCCGATCGCGCTTTGTGGACAAACTGCTCTGCGTTTTCTCTCTTAAATCCAAGATTAGTCCTGGTTTAGACCTGGATTAGTCCTGACCCACCTGTGTGTAATTACTACCCGCCTGTAATACACAATTCCCGTTCATACATTGTAACACCCCCAAAGGTGTCCGGGTTTTCACAAATGGAAATATGGTCACCCTATTTAATCCAATTTACAGACAGATAAATGTCCTAATATGTGGCTCCGCATCAGTATTTATCTGCGGTGTAATTTGTCTGTGTCTGTGTTGTACTGTCCCTGAACACACCACAGAGTCACGTCACTTCACTCACGTTTTCTTGTTTACACCCGCAGCAGCGCGCAACACTGAGATTATTTTCTTTTTACGGACAATCGGTTTGAGTCTGGATTAAAAGGACTTTTATTAGTGCAGACTTGTGATGTGAGGAGGAGCCTGTATGAGCGGTGAGTGTTGGAAATACATGGACTTTGAAGCTAGTTTTGGCTATTTGTGATTAGCTGTTAGCTGCTGTAGCTCCCACACATAAACAGGCTGTTTTCTATTGGTCTATGTTAAAGTGACTATATTGGCCTTATATTTGCTACTAGACCAGCACTGATATGTAAATGCGCTGTGAATAGACGTGTGAATGATCCACATTTATGCATATAATTAATTACCGCGGCGCGCACGTTTTCACGGCTAAAGGCTAATACCGGTAGTTTATTTACTAGCTAGGAGTTATGGGTCGGTCGCAAAGTTACACTATGAGGTTGCCATTTTCAAAAGTTTCACATTAATAGTTGATACAAACTTTAAAGGGCTTATAGTGACTTGTGTTTTTAAAGCTAATAACTCAAAGCTTAATGTCATGATTATGTCCTTAGAGACGTTGAGAAAACTTCGGATTGAGGATACTGGCTTTCATTTTGTCTTTCATGGTGCAGCAAATAAGTCAGTCACAGTTAGTATTATGTGCAAACAGAGCAAATCACTGTGGCTTTTAAAAACAATATTGATATTTTATAATAAGGAGACAAACTTGAGTGACAGACTATATGAAGTTTTATAATGACTTTAGGCTGACATAACATTATTTCTAAACCCTGCAAAAGACTCACGCAAGTTGTTTGTGAAAAAACATAAGCCTGAGGATGGTTTTATGAAGTTACAATCTCAAAATACTGCAAATATAATGTTTTTGATGTGAGGATTTGATGTAAAACACTGAACACAGCCTTCAAAGACTGATGTACTACTGCTTTGAGTCTGCTTGCCTCCACATGACACACTCAACAACATCATTTACCCCGACTAGAACGCACTGAGATATTTATGAAGAAGTGACATTGGGGATAAGGAAACATGAGACACCAATGCTCAGTTGTTTTAGAGCAGGGGTGTCAAACTCATTTTGGTCTGGGGGCCGTATCCAACCAACTTTAATCCCAAAGGGGCCAGATCAGAAAACTCATGGCATATAAACTCAAATATTTGTGCAGAGAAACACAAATCTATTACAGAAATCTTTTTTAATTAATGAACTCTTTCTTTTACAAAAATTATAATGAACAACCTGAAATTTTAAGAAAAACACAATTTCAACACAATGTTTTAACATGAACTTGTATGTAAATAGGAATAAGTAAATTTTTCTTGGAAAATCCTGTACTTGGCTCCACTTTTCTCAATTTTGGACATTTTGTTGATGAGGGTGTCAGAGTCAACAGTCAAAACGATCGTCCTTTAAGAGCGTTTGGAAAGAGACAAGTCTTCATTTGTGCTGCTCTGGTGGGAGGGGCCACGTACAGAGACACTGGAGACGCTGTTATGCTCAGCACTGCAGAAAATGACCAATATTTAAATAGAAAATATAATTAAAATATTTTAGTAGAAAATCAGCCGAGGGCCAGATTAAAGGTCTTGGAGGGCCGGATCTGGCCCCCGGGCCGTATGTTTGACACCTGTGTTTTAGAGGAAAAGCTCAGTACAACTCTTGACAGCCTCAGCTTAAGGTAGAGCAGCAGGAACTTGGCAAGCCCCTGGTGCTCCCCCAAAGAGTGAGCCTTTGAAGTGTGCAGTGGAGCAGCGCTGACGTCAGGCTGCAGGCTCTGCTCCAGCGTAAGTGCAGCTGAGATGTTCATATTCAGCAACGCACGAAGGAGGATTGGGGTGGGGGTGGGGGGGTCATATACTGGAAATAAACCATCACTCAATCAGGGTTCAAAATAACCACGAAACACCAAGTTTAAAGCAACTGTTTATACTGCATAACCACAAGTGTTTCCAATGTTAAGTTGTAAAAATATATTATACTTTAAATATGTAACCAGTGTGAACATATCTGTACTGCATGAAACACACAAATGAGGCAGTTAATGATGACAGTAATGATTAGAGGACTGCTGTGGGATTGTACACATTTCAAACAGTGTGAAGGGAAACACACTTGAGTACTTTCTGAAGAATTTATTATTATTTATTTTTTATGACACAACAGTGGGGACAATGAGATTAAACAGATTAAACAGTTGTCTATTGCATTTTGGCATTATATTTTTAACGATAACCATGCTCAATATTTAAGTCCAACATTCAGTGATAAAAATTAAATGGGAAAAATGTTTTTACAATGTTTTCACTGAGATTTTTTCGATTTTGATTTCCTTGGTTACACACTGGTGACATTGGGGTGACTTCCAAATGCAATCAAATTATTGTTGTCAGTGAGTCTGGAATTTATTTAACAAAACAACCTCGAACAAAAGCTGTCACTCAAATACACACAAAAACATGCACAAAGCAGAATTAGAAAGTAACTGGACTGGGGTCAACTGTGTATTGTAAACATGTTTCTTTCATGTCATAAATGAAATGGCAAATCACAGCTAGCAGAGAGAGACAAATACAAATAGCATGACTTGAGTAAAATTATGGCAATTTCAAGTGATACATTCCAATTTATGGTAACAGTCAATTACATTTTATGAGAAGGTAATTTAAACTCTGTCCAATAATCAAAATGAGTGTGTTGAGTGGATACTGCACCTCATGTTGTTTTCCCCCTGAAGCTGCCGATGTCTCCTCCAAACAACTTTTAATTGGTAATTTGTGTACAACAGGTACAAAAGTGAAGACATAGGGCACCGTTACCTGTAAAATACACACAAGTCTGTTATATCACTTCATATCACTCCATCATTCACAGCTGGATCTGTATTAGAATGACATTTTATTTGAGGTTAGGGCTCTGAATGCAGATTGAGGTGCACTGATGAGGCACATCCACATTCACACAGATTAGACAATTTGGCCTCTGTGCACACAGGCTCAATGAGGAATAATGAGCTGTGATTAAATTCAGCTCAAATCTAACACTATGAGGCAGCACTTGATCTTTATTTTACAGTCTTTTATAGTGAGCTTTTTATGAAACAAATGTGAAAATGTGAACAATGTATGGAATATAAAAAGACGCAAAATAAAAGACTCAGGGACTTTTGAGAGGTCAGTCAGATTTAACATGTATATTTTTGTCTCTGGGAGTTTTCAGTACCAACCAATCTAAATGTCTATATTATGTTTTTTCAGTCAAGATTGCACTGATGTGGAGAGTGGGGAAGATATTTAGCATAATGTCCAAATAGGGAAATTATTTTTATATGATGATGCTGGCAAAAAGCCCGGTATGTGGCTGCTACTTAGACCACTTGACTGCTGGGCAGAACCACTTCTCTGGGCCTTGCTTTATCATATATATTTTAACTCTTTACAGTTCGGGTTTATTGTTTCAAAACACCTGACTAAAATGAGCCTCTATTCAACCTGATTGTGTCTGAACCCTTTGGAGCACAAACAAATGTCTGCGCTCTTTGTGAAGCTGGGGCTCTTGTAGTTTTGGTCTCTGCTGTCTGATCTACTCTCATTATAAATAATAACAAGCTCTGCACAGAGGAAAATCAGATTTCAAAACCCCCTCTGAGTTTTTTGGGTAAATATTCGATTATGCATAGCTGATGCCTGGAGGAAACATCAGATTAACACAAGATTTTTAGATATTTTTGGGTTTTGACAATTCTCATGTCAAAGCTGAAGTATATATCACTAAAAATGAAATTTAGGGACTTTAAACAGGCAAAAATGTCCAGCTGAAATTAATATAATATATTATTTGTTTTTGTGGGTTTGGAGTACAAACTGGTTGATTGAAAATAAGTGCATGAGATTGAGAGTTCCTTTTCATCAGAAGAAAATTAATGAAACAAGTGCCCATGTATGATTTTTGTTTTGCCATACTAGCACAGTCTCAAACTGACTCATCCTTACAGCAAAGAGAATATGATCGAATATTCATTGCTGTGTTTCTTTGTACTCATGAGGTAGTGCTTTATTTTGTCATACCCCATTCTTTCTACCCATACAGTATATGAAGACCACCTTTCTGTGGAGAGTTAATCTGAACCACTTTGCCTTTGCCCAGTGTGAAGACTGGCTGGTGCCTGGATCCTTCGCTAATTGACCTTCTGGTGGGGTTTAATGTTAATCATACTGTGTAGAGATATGTACATGAATCCAACAGAAACGTGAGGTAGCCTTTAAAGCCATTACAGATATATGTGAAATTGGCTCTTGTATGTTATTTGAGTAGTGAACTCGTTTAGCAAGCTTTTAGCACCTTGAAGAGAGTGTTGTATAACATTGTGAGTTCTTTTTGTCACAAGCACATCTTTAAAATGTGCTGTGGGATCAAAGGCTGAAGCTACACTTTAGATTGAGAACACCGAGTATTTCTGTGTTCTCTCAGAGGTGCATCCTGTAGTCTGCACGCTACCTATGATTACCAGGCAATCTGTGACCACCATCTGCACAAATGTATGGAAGAGGTGTGGCCGGAAGCTTCACATGTGTAAAGAAACATCCTCATCTAAACTGGGCAGACCAAATAGGCTTTCAGTCTCAAATGTACTAGCTTGCCTTAATAGCATGTTGCTTTCTCAGATGGATGTTTGTTTGTTTTTTTTATCTTGCACAGGGACACGGCCAGTGGTGGAAGAAGTACGCAATTTTGTTGCTTAAGTGAAAGTACAGATAGCGGAGTAAAGATGTACTGAAAGAGTAAAAAGTAAAAGTATTTCACACAGATCTAGTAAAACTTCAAATGTAGTAATTTTGAAACAGATTTGTGCTGAATTTTGTTCAACAGAAATAATTTAATTGATTGAATGAAAAATACTTTTACTATTCAGTCCTGTTCAAAAATATACTGGAGTAGAAAGTACAGATACCTTCTCTCAGATGTAGTGAAGTAAAAGAAAACTGTATCCACTGTACTTAAGTGAAGTTCAGATACATTGAATGTATACTTAAGCACGGTACTACTTTTAGTTTGTTACGTTCCACCACTGTGAAGACAGCAGTATCACTCAATAAACAGTTGTGTAAAGTACGTCAGATTTGTAGTAATATTTCTCATTCAGATCAAACTGAAGATTTTAACCTAATTCTTCTAACGATAATCTCAGAGTGTTGTGAGGTCATTGACAAAACTCCAAGTTCAGGCAAAGGGCAATGAGGATTCTCTGCTCTAATCAGTCTGGCGAGTTTTAATAGGCCCTTAGCCAGCATTTACCACATATACTCTGAGGCACTATTAGGGGAAATCAGGATAAACGGTGTTAAATTGTGTTTAAATCTGCATATTTGGGCTCCCTCTCCAGAGAAAATACTGGCATCAACTTGGTAAAGCAGGTTTTTCAATAAGTATTCACCAGGCACCAATAACTTTTTTCACTCTGTACCCTCTACTGCTGATCTCATTTCTGAAACCACAAAAATTGGTTATATGTTTCATTTTCATTTAAGTGTGTTCTACATTGTTCGGCTTTCAGAAATACTGGTTATTTACAAGAGAAATAAATACAAATATGTGGTTCACAGGAGGTCAGCAGATTATAGAAAGCACACTGCCCTCTGGATAAGCCTGACTTTAATTTATGAAGGAACCACATATTCTTATGTTGCTGATGCTATCTAAGTTAAGTATTTCCATGATAGTTTCATTCAGATCTCCATGATTGTATCTTTCCATTTACAGTGGTTCAAGGTGAGTTTTGTACACATTATAACAAATGACTTGGAACTGTATTGACTGCTCCCTGTTTATTCAAAAAGACTGTGCTATTTTTGAAGGTTATATTTCCACAGTGTGCGCTTGCTTTTCTGAGTGAATTGCGATTGACGACAGCCCATGTCTTGTCCAAGCACTTGACACTAATTGAATTTCACATTTATCCCTCAATATATATCACACAACATTGACTTTTGTGAGCTTTTAGTCGTGCTATAATGTTGTTCATCAAAAACATACCTGGAATTGTGTTTCATTTCATTTACACATGTTTGAGTAATCCTCTGTCTACATCTCAAAACTCAAAGTGCTCTGTTTCATCTTGTGATGCCATATAGGGTTTTCAATTTAACAGGTTTTGTTCACTAGAAATTGCAATTACAAGGCTGAAATTATTCTAGTGATTCTAGTGAAGATGTATGGAGATAACAACACAGTGGAGCATATGTATTACCACATGACATCACAAGGTAGAACAGAGTGTTTTCTGTTTGAGAGAAGAACTCAGCCTAAATATGCAAGGTTGGTGTGTTAAACATGTGTGAATGAAACAAAACACAATGCTAGGTATGTTTTTGATGAGGAAGCAACATTGTAAAATAGAATAGTGTAATATGGACCGTTTAATGACAAAGGTATAGCTGTAACGTACAGAAGCCCTTAGAGACAAGCAAAAGCTGTTTTTCTACGTTTTCCAGTTTGAGCTGCAAGTAAAAAACAAGGCAAACAAACAAAAAACATACTTGCTGGTCATTAAAAAAACATATACATTTCTGAATGCTTCGTCAACGACAACATCCAATCCTTTTTTGCTTATCACAAGACAACAGCACAATTTCTCCTCCAAACGAATTTGTTTATGAGCTGTTACTATAAGCAAACAAATGTCATGACTAAAAATAAGCACGTGCCATCTTATTTATTCCCATGCAGTCTTATGTAACACTTGTTTTGCCATTGGTAGTCATAGCACGTGTCAGGTTTCACTCGCCAAAGGTGAAAACTAGCACTTCCTCCCTGTCCACCATGGTGAAGTCTTGAATGTTTAATTGCTTGAGAAGCTGAGGAGGTCATGTTGTTCTGTATATCACGTTTCTGACCTGTCTGCTTGTCTCTCTCAGTGCGTGTGGACCCCCAGTTATGGCCAGTGGCGCTGAAGAGCCCTAAATCACACTCTGTAGAAGACCACCCTCCAAGGCCAAGCTAAGAGAGTGGCTTTGATATGCCCCTAAGTGTCCCCTAAGTAGTACTGTGATGAAATAGTAAAAATAATGAACACTACACTGATTTAACTCACTGGTCTTTCTTTTGAAGCAGTGCAGCACATTTTAATGACTGATTGCATGAGACATATATATATAGAAAGACCAAGTTGATGGTATGTCTGGTATGGGTAGAGACATGCTGTAGACAGAGACATGCCTTCTGCTCTAAAAAAGAGCAATACAACTCTTCATGCTGATGATGAACTTCATACTGTTTTAAAGTAGAGATACCATTTTCAAAGTACTCAAAGTTTGAAAGTAGGAGGAAGTATCTAAACTTACCTGTGACTCTAACTTGTTAACCTAGTAAGAGTCAGATAGATATGGGTAGCACATTTGATTTGAGTTCTTCACATTATCAATCTGAAATGGCTCTCGCTGAAAGCATTCAGAGTAACATTCAAACAGATGCAAAGTGCCAGAACAGAACAGAAGCAAGCTGGAAAATTACGCTTTTGAGCAATCCTGCTGAGAGAAAAGCACAGCTATTCCCATCCACAAATGTACAAAGTGCTTTTCTGCTTGCTTTTCCAAAACAAAAATTCCACAATTCTGCTCAAGTTGGCCTTTCCTGTCTGTCGTTTGTTTTGGTTCGTTTGGACCTTTGGCTTCACTTAAACCACAGAGCGGCTCATCCAGTGGCTGGAGCGGGAACTCTGACTGGCATAGGTGACTAAGTTGTTTCTAGTTCTTTCAAATCCTTCAACTCATGCATGAATTTCTTGGCGTAACTTTAGAACAGCATTTTCAGTCAAACCTTTCTTCCCTGTTCACAACTGATAAAGTGGTTTATCATTAGAGACAGACAGTGCTTACTTTGGCAAAAAGTGACATTTTTACAATATTCTCTTTGGGGCAAAAGTGAAATTCATTTACAAGAAGCCAATTTCCCAATTTTGTATGTTATTGTGGGAGGTAGAGCTCTATTGTGAACAGTTACGAAACAAATTGAAACATTTCCCCTTCATAAGTGATGTGTAGAATGGTTCTCAGTGGAGTATGCCCTGCACTATAGCTCTGTGGTCTGATACAGTAATAAAAATCTAGGAACACCTCATACATCACAGAAAAGCCACATGATATAGAATGTAAGGGGAGCAAACTGCTATAGGCTCATATAAATGTAACATAATCGAATTGTATGAATGCTTTGTCCTTTTGTTTGTGAGTTTGTGAAAAGTTTCTGGATGGCAAATTTTAAAACAGGAAGTAAGTCCACAGTATTTCCATCTGATGCTCTCAGTATCATGGCTTTCATCTCCCCTCCCGTAGTGCTGTGCTTTCTGCTGTTAATTATAATTGGATTGTAATGTCAAACCACTTAAATGCCTTTTATACATAAGCTCTAATAATGTTTTGAGTAAGATGCTTGGATCTCCATCTCTATCACATCCCTTTCCGGCACAGTGAAAGTACGGGTGTGTCTCTAAGTGTTTAATTACAGACAAACAGAGCCCCTCCCTTCAGCACTGATACGGAAGGATAAATATATCCTACCCCCAGCTGCCCGTGTGGGAAAACATTTGAGCAAACGCACGACCATCGTAAAGGAATGCACTTCACAGAGATTGGGAAATAGAGGGCTAAAAATAGTCTGTCACATCCAAGAGGTATGCATGGGCAGGCCACTTTATCAGGATGACGCTGGGATTTCAAGTTTTGACATCCAATATCTCTTGAACTTTGTTTGTGCTGCTGCTCCCCTGAGTTGATAAACAATTATAATGAGAACCAAAGGAATACGCACTGCAGCTTATTGCTAGAACAGCAAAATTATTTCCATCTTTGTATCTTTGTTCCCTTTATATTCCCCTCTGCACACACTAGACTTGTTTTAATCATTTTTGGAATGTTCTCTATACTCCCAATAGATCGTTAGGAATATAAACGTTTGTACATCTACAGTTTCTGAAATAGCAGCAAGTAGATCGGTATCTCAAATCATTTCTCTTCTCCTTTTTGATATTTGGTTAGACGTGTTGACAATAAATAGGTAAGAGATGATGACCTTATATATATATATATACACTGGTGAAATGTAATGAAATAAAAGTAGTAAAGTACTGCATATTTAAAATGGATAGTTTTTACTTTTATTTCATCTTTTTTTTTTTTTTACATTTTTGAACAGGACTGAAAAGTAAAAGTATTTTTGTAATCGTTTGATACCATCTGCAAAGGCTGAAGGTTTATTTTTAACATGTTCATAAACTGAGCAAAGAAATTATACAATTAAAAACAGCTAGGAAAAAAACATTGATTCAATTGTTTTTACTGAAATGCACTAATCTTTAACAAAATCAGTGCATTTTAAGTTTTATTAGATCTCAAAATCCATACTTTAGTACTTTTATATTTTTACTTAAATATTTTTTTATGTGATACTTTTACTTTTAGTTGAGTTTTTTGTTGTTGTTGTTGTTGTTCCTGTTTCTGTACTTTTATTGTAACAACATTGAATACTTCCACCACTTTCTATGTATTACCTGATATTGATAGAACAGTAATTTTACTTAGAAGACAGGATGAATATAGCAAATACCAGTTCTCTGTAAACTGTAGCTAAAGTGACAGTGGCAGCCCTATGGCTTTAAAATAATCAGAATATCTTTCTCTTTCTATTTTGATTGCTTGTTTAGAGTTGCTTTTATACACAATAACAGGATCAGTGACAGGCACAAATTGGTGGTGCCTCTGCCTCTAAGCCACACAAGAGCCACAGCAGGGGGTCTCGCTTCCACATTGAAAATCTATATCGTGGACAGATTAAAAACATGCTCGGTTCACTTTCAGAAGGACTTGAGCTATTGAGAAGAAGAAAATACTACTGTAACAACAAGTGAGAGAGATCAAGGCAAAGTAATGGCCAAGTCAAAAAGATTACAACACTTAATCTTTTTTTGTTGTCAAATGCCTTACCTCCCCCAGGCTCTTGTCCACAGGATTCTCCATTTTGTTGGTCCTTGAGTGGCGCATGTCAATAGTTCATAAAAATTCTGCCAAAGTTGGTAAACATGGATTGAAGCTGAATAAAGGGTGTCTCACATGTGAACTTCAATGAGTGACTGTGTGTATCGCCATGCACATTTCCTTTTATAGAGTCATAATAGCCACAAATAGCTAGCAGACGGCAGACAGCCCACTGGCACCCCCATTGACAATGTACTCGCCCCAAGCAAGCTCTGTGTGTCAGAGCCGCTTCCCAGAGCTAAATGCTTCATTTCCAAATTACAGGGAGAATTAGGAGTCTTTCCTTATTTATGTCACTGAGTAAGTAAGGCTAACCACGAGAGGGAATATGCGGGGCACAACTTTTCCTATCAAAGGTGTCAAAGATTATATTTACTTTGAGGAAATGTTAAAAAATGTTATGCACAATTGCAGTACTACAACATGATGTGGGATTATTGACATGATATTGGTCTTGAACTTGGCCGGTTACTTTCCTTATTTAAAAAAAAAAACAAAAAAACTTTATTTGTGAACAACAGTTCACTAAAAGTTTTTCTCAGAAGCATAAATGCAACATCTTCAGCTTCTTCATCTTCAGATGTAACTGACTCCAATCACAACACGAGATGATTGTGCAACAAATGAATGAACGTTATTACCTTGCTCTGAGCTGCAGCTGCCGCTCGGAGCAGCTATTGAATAAGGGCTTGTTTTGAACTCAGCTTGAGTGACAGCTGAGCTTTAAACTGCACAGTAAAAGATGCTTTTTAACAGAAAGACGGTTTTCTTCTATTTTAAGCCAGGATTCTGTTAAATTATCCCTGTGATGATCTGAACCCTGAAGCCAGCTCAGAGACACGACAGTGACACCTCAGCGTGCTGTCATTAATGAGTTATGAGGCTGTGCAAAACAAACTCATCTGCAGCGTGTGTATTTGCTGTGGTGTGGCGGTCCTATCTGCAGTGAAAGCAGACCAAGAGGCTAATCCTTTAAGTACACCACATACTTCAGTCCTGTCACAGCTGTTCATGCCTGTCCCCCTCCCTCTGCCCGTCACACAACACAATATCACAATCATTCCTCAGACCTGTGGCTCATATTGTAATGAGCGCTTTGAACAATGACACTGCTTCACATCAGAATGAACTCAAATAGTCTGAAAACTGACCCACAACCCTCAAATTAGAATTGCACAAAAAAAACAGAAAAAGTATAATGTAAAATATAATATAAGGCATGTGTAATACATGTAATAAACAGGATCTTTTTAATATGAAGATGCATTTCAGCTTCATCAACCAATAATCAAATAATGAAGAGCAGAGACAGAGACATTTTTCCCCCCAAAACACAAATGAGAGTAAACAGTCTTACTAAGCTTCATTTATGGGACTGACCCTGCCCAGTCCTGGAACCATTATGTCGATCCAGTACATTTCCTTTGATCAGAGACGATGCCTGCAGGTGTTTATGCCAAACACTCCCTATATCATTAGCTCAACTTCAACGCACTTTTGAATATCTGAGAAAAATATATATGGTGAAAAAAAGCATTCATTTAATTCACCAGACATTGACAAGAACTTCTGACAACCACATCTTCTAACATTTTACCTTCAACTTCCTTTTTCTTAGTTCAGTGTCACATCATTATACACATCTATAACCCTGTTGATGCGCACTTTCTGAGCAAATCCTATCTTGTCTCTGGCACGTTGGGAATCCATAATAATATTGCCTTTTAGCCTTAAGATATAGCGGTAGCAAATGCTAAATATTTGATCTATTTTTTTCAGGTTCACAAGCCATCAGAGAGGGAAAATGGTATTGTGCAATTAAACATATATATATAATTCACCCATTTTGATACCTTCTTTCCCTGTGTCATTAGATAATAAGATGGCTCCTCAGATTACTCCTCCAAATGTAAATTTGACTAAATCAAAGCTGTGTCCAACAATATTCCAACATATTTCAAAAGCAAATGGACGAGACACAACTGAAGGGTTGCATGTCTGAAGCTGATCAAGGCCTACAATAACTGTAATGCTGCACATCGCAGAGAGGCTAATCTCTCTATTTATATATTTTATGTGTGGAAAGTGAGTTTATGGTGAAATAATATCCTTGTGTTGATCTCTTTATTATTACTCTGCCCTCACAACAGGAATCTTCACAAGTGGAATGTACAAATGTTTTTTCTTATATTTTTAAGTACTTTGGTTGAAACAGTTTGATATAATTAAAGGTTCTATATTACACAAAATTGACTGTTTTGAGCTTTAAGACATGTAATAATGTTGTTGTTACCTCATCAAAAACAGACATGGAGTTGTGTTTTGTTTCATTTGCACATGTTTCAGTAACTCTTTATCAGTCAGTTTTTTCAGCCTGTCTACATCTCTAAAACTCAAGATGCTCTGCTTCACCTTGTGATGTCATGTAGCGGTAGTTTTCAAGTTAAGAGCTACCTTTCACCTTAAGTTCAGTAGAGATTGTCAGTTACAGGTCTAAAATGATCCAAATGATTCTAGTGACAGTGTAAACACAGTGAAGCACTTCCTGTATTACCACATGATATTACAAGACAGAACAGAATGTTATCTGAGTGTTATTTGAGAGAAGACCTCAGCCCTAATATACAGGATGTTCAACATGCATGAATGAAACAAAACACAACTCCAGGTCTATTTTTGATGAAGAAACATTATAACATAGATCAGAAAATAGTGTAATATGGGCCCTTTAAATATGCGCATATTAAAATAAATCTATTTTGTCTCAATACAAGTATAAATATATGGCCTTGAGTTCCATTTAATCATGTTCGGATATTTAGGATTTGCATATTTAGGTGGGCCCACATAAGCTCTAAACACAGCGTTATTAGAGCAGATGTGACTGTCTTTATCTCAGCCCCACTGAAGCTGCCTGGTTGGTACTGAAATGTAAGTTTCTAAATTAAGTAAGTACCTATTTTAGTCCACATTTTAGTCCAGTGGTAAAAATTTTGACACATCCAGGCATATATATATATATATATATATATATGCCTGTGTGTATGTATATATATATGTATATATATATATATATATATATATATATATATATATATATATATATATATATATATATATATATATATATATATATATATATATATGTAGACTGTGCAAAGAGGCTCCTGAGACAGTCCAGCACATAACTGCGGGGTGTAAGATGCTGGCAGGGAAAGCATACATGGAGCGACATAACCAAGTGGCGGGCATAGTGTACAGAAACATCTGTGCAGAGTACGGGCTGGAGACCCCAGGATCAAGGTGGGAAACACCTCCAAAGGTTGTGGAGAATGACCGAGCCAAGATCCTGTGGGACTTCCAGATACAGACTGACAGAATGGTGATGGCGAACCAACCAGACATAGTGGTGGTGGATAAGAAACAGAGCAGAGCCGTGGTGGTTGACATCGCAATACCAAGCGATGGTAATATCAGGAAAAAGGAACACGAGAAGCTAGAGAAATACCAGGGGCTCAAGGAAGAGCTGGAGAGAGCCTGGAAAGTAAAGGCATCAGTGGTGCCTGTGGTGATCGGAGCACTCGGGGCTGTAACCCCCAAACTGGAAGAGTGGCTACAACAGATACCGGGAAAAACAACGGACATCTCAGTCCAGAAAAGTGCAGTACTGGGAACAGCAAAGATACTGCGCAGAACTCTCAAGCTCCCAGGCCTCTGGTAGAGGACCCGAGCTCAATGAGGGTGAGAGAGACCTACCACCGTGGAAGGTGAGAAACACATTTTTTTTTTTATATATATATACACACACACACACGCCTGGTTGTGTCAAAATCTTAATTTCACCACTTTCCTTTGATTACATTTTCCATTAAAACTCTGGATGAAAACCAAGCACAATGGAAGGTCCCTGAAATGAGGAGAAAGAAATATTTGTACAGGATAATTACCTCAGTGAGACTGCATATTACCCATCTCCTGCTCTTACCTATTTCTATTTGTGAGTCGCACTGACTTGATATGAGTGACCCAGGGGACAGACGAAGCCTAATTCTCACCATATGGACTTGAACAGACAGGAAATGACAGTGAATCAAAAAACCCACAGTGGATGTGTTCTCAAAGGTATGTGGCTCCAGTAAACTACACCTACATCTCTGTGTGCTGCTGTTTTAGGCCAAGTCAAAATACTCTAGGGCACAGGTGTCAAACATACGGCCTGGGGGCCAGATCCGGCCCTCCAAGACCTTTAATGTGGCCCTCGGCTGATTTTCTACTAAAATATTTGAACTATATTTTATATTAAAATATTGGTAATTTTCTGCGGTGTTTATCATAGCAGCGTCTCCAGTGCCTCTGTGCGTGGCCCCTCCCACCAGAGCAGCACAAATGAAGACTTGTCTCTTTCCAAATGCTCTTAAAGGACGATCGTTTTGACTGTTGACCGTGACACCCTCATCAGCAAAATGTCCAACATGAGAAAAGTGGAGTCAAGTGCAGGATTTTCCAAGAAAAATTGACTTATTCCTATTTACATACAAGTTCATGTTAAAACATTGTGTTGAAATTGCATTTTTTCTTAAAGTTTCAGGTTGTTCATAATATTATAATATTTTGTAAAAGAAAGAGTTCATCAATTAAAAAAGATTTCTCTAATAGAGTTGTGTTTCTCTGCACAAATATTTGAACTTATTGTTATTTTTGGGGTTTATATGCCATGAGATTTCTGATCCGGCCCCTTTGGGATTAAAGTAGGTTGAATACGGCCCCCGGACCAAAATGAGTTTGACACCCCTGCTCTAGAGAGAGATGAAATGAGCAAGTACATTTGTGCAATATCAAAGATGACTTGTATCATCTTTCAAGCCCGCCCCAATACTGACGCACAAACGCCATTTGAGTTACTTTGGTACTTTTAAAAATAACTTTAATAACTTCAATGAAAACAATTGATTTTTTTATTTCGTAAAAAAAGTGTTGTGCAATTGGAGAGTCTAACATTAACAGGCTTTTCAGAGTACCATCTTGTCCTTGGCACAACAAGTCTTACTTAATATCCTCAAGACACACATATAACGTTCAAACTTGAAAATGTTTTACCTTAACATCAACATTCCTTGATACTAACGGGGAATCTCAAATAGACAGCAAAATGTATTCCATTCACAAAAACATACTAGATCCAGGGCTAGATTTCCCATAGACTGTTACATCATATTTTCATCTTTCTGTCCCAGTAACAGTGTGTTCATTCGGACATGAAGTTGTAGCAGACACGAAGAAGTGATCAGTGTCTCCATGGGTCACAGCCTTGGAGTTAGCCTTGATCAAGTGGAATTTCAGGACCACAAAAGGTTGTGACTATGAATGTAATAGATTTGTCAAAGCAACACGACCTTTCACAGTGTATGAAGATGTAGAGGTAGTCGATATAGCAAAGCACTTCTGATAGTGGCACATACAGTCACGCATGAAGTAAGAAGACACAAATTACATGAACCAGATGCGTCCAATATGCAAAAGAAAGATGTTGGATTTGAACATTTGAGCAATTTATACAAAACAGTAAATAATGTATTTAGTTAGTTTGTTATATAGTATTTGTACCTGAAAACAAAGCTTCAAATGTCCTGCTCTATGGGGTCCTATTTGTGTTGAGTTCAAGAGTCTGGCTGTAGAACTCCATCCAGAGGACCCCAATCCACGGACCTCTACCAGTACGCACCTCCACCCACATGTCAGGTGTTCCTTTAGGTCATTGTCTGTTAAAGGTAAAGCTCATATCAAATTGTTAAGAGCTAAAACCAAGAGATTTCATTTGTTGTTTGAAATGAACAGCTTTGTGTTGCCTCTTCTCTAAAGCTTGTAGGTTAAATAAACAAACAAACAAAAAAAACTACAGCATATTTAAGTGTCATTAGATGTAGTGTGTCTGTGAATGTGTTGCCATAGGCCATGTGTTTGGTTAAGAGTAGGCACAAATCTGTGATGGTTCAGGTTAGGAAAAGGGTTTGGGCTTGTCTTTAGTGTAAAAACAATATACATTTTTGTAGTGTTAAACAACATCCAAAAACAGTGGTCTTTAGTGGACTTTTAGCACGGCTGCTGCTATAGTTTACTTTTAGGGTTGATGGATGCCTGTGGGTTGGGTCCTCTTGGTGGAGGTCTGCAGCTATCCATCTTGTTGAGAGATGAGTCTTTTCCCTTCAGCTACAGTCATGGCTAAAGATAAGGTCAAGCGTTCTTCTTCACACATTGCTTCTGACAATTGAAGGATGGGTCAAATGAAAACAGAGCACAACTTTTAGAATGCCCGATTTTGTCAGATTTCAGAAGCTAAGCAAATTTGGGTCTGTGCTGCAGTTTCAGTAAATTTTCCTCATAGACTTTTTGAAATATTCAAATATTAAAAGTTCAAAAGTATCACAAAGGCTAACTATGTGGTAACCATTATGCATGTGCAGTTCTTTTAAGTTCAAAAAGCATGTTTAAAACAGAAGATTTGGTGAAATGTTTTAATAAATCGGCAATAAAAAAAATTATTTAACATAAAATTACAGCCTATGTCCAGTGGCCATTAGGCACCACATAGATGATTATGTCCAGTGGTCATTAGGCACCACATAGCTGATTATAGCCCTGGGCAAGCTTTTAAACTTTTAATAGGCCTATACATTTTTCTCAGAATCAGAGTCTATGTGAAATTTATGACCGTGACCAGATTAGTAACCTGGCCTCATCCTGTGATTAAATAACACAGTAAAAATCATTTTTGAGTCATCCAAGAGGCACTATATATATACATAAATAGATTGTATTATTATTATTGTATTATTATTATTATATATATTTTTTTATGTGAACAGACAGGATAATAATCCAGATGAGTGAAAAGTTAATATTTTCAATTTTTGGCAAAGACAGTAAAAGGCTTTTGTGTTACGTTCTATTTCTAAGTATGGCATAAGGGACTGGGTCATTGATCACTGCTCCTTGTAGGTGACTCTGGCTGCGGTCAAGGTGGGTAAAAAGCGTTGTCGAAACAGTCAGGGACGTGCTCACAAATGTCAAAGGCAAAGGACTGCTCTGTGCCCGGGCTCCGTGTCAGCAGCTCCACATCTTCATCTGACGTAGAGGGATGAGTGAGGATGATCCGCGGGATCTGCAGGTAATTACCATCACCACCACCAGCAACAGCGGCACAGGAACACAGAGAGGGCAAGAAGAGAGGAGGGGGCACAGAAAGAGAGATAGAGACCAGAGAGAGAGAGGGGAGGGGGCACAGAAAGAGAGATAGAGAGGAGAGAGAGAGGGGGGAGGGGGCACAGAAAGAGAGATAGAGACCAGAGAGAGAGAGGGGAGGGGGCACAGAAAGAGAGATAGAGAGACCAGAGAGAGAGAGAGAGAAGTGTAGGTAATATAAAAAAGAGAAATAAATCAGATTGGATAGCCTACAGCTGAAATATGTAAATCAAAATAACCCCAAGTCATTCACGAATGGTAGGCTACTATTGTGGATTAATAAAATGATCTTACTGGCATTGTGTGTTTCTCCAGGTGTGAATCTTCATTGGTTGGAGGTTCTTTCTTTATTTCAGTCAAGCGTATGTCTTTTTTCAAATCAACCTAATAAAAAATGGATGTTATTGACTGTCTGTAAGCCTAATATCAGTGGTACTTCCTTTCTAATAAACTACTCACCACTCCGTTTCCATTACAGAGCACCGCCTCGATCTTGTTGGACAAACAGTTGTGCGTGCTGTGCGTTTTGTGCGCCTTCCCCCCGTTGGCCGGGGCTTCCTGGCGGTTTAACAGTTTGCCCGGGTTGACCTGTACATCTAGGGCCTCTTCCCGGGGGGTCAGCGGGTCTCTGAGCACCTTGATCCGGATGGAGCTCCCAGCATTCCTCAGGGCGCTGACCGCGTGCTGGTGGGTGGCCTCTTGCATGCTGAGTCCGTTGACCTGAGGGACAGCAGTAACATTATAACTTTAGCCCCGGGTCAGAGATAGTAGAACAACTGGAGTAAAATATTCACTCTCTGCTCCACTGGGATGAAGAAGATTTGAATTTCCCGTTCAGTTAATTTAGTTTTCATTCATCGGTGTTGAGAAATGTTGTGTCATTGTGCCCTCTAAAGGCCACGTGGGGAACTACAGCACATATACTAGCACAGTATTGTAGTTTTCTTTCATGCAAATTCAAGCGTTATCAAAGATATTTCATTTAAGAATATGAGACCAAGGAAATTATGCTTTTATGTCATACCTCAAGGAGTCGGTCTCCAACATGGACCCCTGCCTTTTCTGAGGGCCCTCCTTCTGTCACTCTGGAAATGAAAATGCCCTGAAAAAGGCAGGGACTTCATAAGTGCAATGCTCTTGTATTATTGCACTATTTGAAACTAACATTTTACAACTCTTACTTCATCCTGTTGTTTGTAGGGCAAAGAGCCTTTTCCACCAGCAATGCTAATCCCCAAACTACCCCTCTGGCCACTCACTCTGATCTGTAACTAAAACAGGATTAATCTGACAAAAATAATCAGACCACATATGAGAAACAATTGCCAAAAATATTCCCAAAAGACAGTTTATTTTTTTTTTTTTTTATAATTGTATTTTTTATTTTTTTAAATCAAATTCCTTGAAAAAAACAACAACATATATATATATATATATATATATATATATATATATATATATATATATATATATATATATATATATATATATATATATATATATATATTTTTTTTTTTTTTTTTTTACTTTCAGTGGTCCTTGTGGGACGTCCCATGGCAGACTCTCTTCTGGACTTGGGGCTGGTCTGGGTTCTTTTCTGATGAGGCAGAGATTTTTGGGGAGAGGGGGTTCTCCATAGACACTGGAGCCCACATTTAGAGCAATGTGCTCCTGAACTATTCTGCCCTTTTGAGTCTCCCCTCGCTGATGATGGACGAACTGTGGGAGAGCATCTGGCTCAGGCCATGGGCCTACTCCATCCTGTTGAGGACAGATCATGCAGGCTTTACCACAGTCCTTAGTGAAACAAATGAATACATTTATCAACAAAATTAGATGCCTCCAAAGTACCACGTTTATTTTGATACCAGGTTTTGGATTCTGGAGGGTTTTCGGAATAGCTCCTTACAGCACAACAAACACATTATAAAACATTTGGTTTGTTCAAAGAAATAAAATGTTACTAAACTAATTCACAAGACTTTAAATAATTATGAATGCAGCATAGGTACAGTACAATCACGCAGGTATTGTGTTCAAAGGACAGCAGCAGCTCACCTCTTGAGCCTCATTTCCTGTCTTTGAACACAGAATGATTATGAGATAGTGGTCTGTTCAGACTACACTGACGATAGATAAATGAGCTTCAGGCCTGTGTGTGATTTGTGCTGAATGTAAATGTCTGGTACAATTTATCTGTTCATATCAGGAGATACAGACTGACCATGAAGTGTGAATGTGACGTGATGATGCACAATTAAACACCCCTGACACACTAATCATATGCCCGGGGAGATCAAGGCTTTTACAAGCAACCAATTTTTTACAGTAAGTAAAAAAAAAAAAAAAAACATTTACTAGACAAACATGGTTGCATTTAATGGGTTCCTTGTGTCGTATGATACACATTGTTGTATCTAGTCCCTACCACACAATCTATCACCTGAGAAGCACATATCTTAACAAACTCATTTAAAAATCATTGTTATAAGAATTAACATAGAAAAACTGCCCCTGCCTCCTTCACAATGTACTGACCACAACTTTTAAAATACCTAATCTGGATAAGTGGACAAGATGATTACATAATTTAAAAAGACATTTGTACTGCAAATACACAAGCATGCATCAGCTCAACATGCAGGGTGAAGACAGGAAGCTGCATGCTGCCCAGGTCCGTCACAACACGCTCACACGTTACATTCATATTACAGAGCCAAGACTTCTGTTTATTTAAAGGTTGTTGTATTTTGCTAAAATTATCCATTTGGAATAGTTTATATAATGAAACTAAAAAAGAGACCAATGTTTAGTGTTGCACTTATTTTATTAATCAGTGGTTAAAAGTCATTCCAGCCTCCGGCCTTTTGGAGATCCGTTTTGTGCAGTTTGATCAGACAATAATTAAAATCATTCAAAGCCAACATTTGAAACAAAGAGTAAAGTCACTTTGCATCGGATTTAAAACAAAATTACAATGGATGTACCATATAAAAGAATAAGGTTTGCAAAACACTGGGAAGTGCTTTAAAGTGAAACTTCTAAAAATGGCATTTGAAAAGGATGCCACAGTTGCAGGTGTGAGTCTCCTACCACTCCCCCAAACTTGCATTTCTCATCTATACAGTACAGTATCAAAGGAGAAGAAATGTTTTTGGCATTTTCTGAGAAACCCTCTGTAAAGCAGACATTTCAATGTCATTAGTGTGCAGCACTTAAGTCCAATTTCCAAATGTATTTAATATGAAAGTTCATGTCAATAAAAGGTGTTCAAGGCAAATAATAATCAACTGCAAATGCATTCAATAACTTTTTGTTCCTTACTTTGATTTGAAGAGACAAGTACCAAGCTAAAAAAAAAACTTAAAATGATTAAGAAATTTGCTATACATTTTATTTACATCTGAGCTGCCAAAAAGTATAAAAGTTTTGATATTCACAAAGACTATACAATAATCAGTAGGTTCAATAAACTCCTGCCTTAATATTTGCCCCAAATGTATTCACCCAGTGTTTAAAAACAGATATAAAACATTTAAGAAAGTTTGACCATATTAAAAAGATACATAAAAGTGCAACTACCTAATTAAATGTAATAAAAGAGGCATTTTAAAAGTAAAATATTTAAAAATATATTTTTTTAAATCTTTGTGCAGACTGTTGCTGTGGACATGATTTAAATAGGCACGGCTGAGTCAAAGACAGGACAGAAGCCTGGGGAGGACTTACAGGCGCTCAGGGTTGATCAGGGAGGTACAGGCCACACCAGGGGTCAGAGGGCACATGGGAAGGGGCTGGTGGAGCAGGAGGGGCAGGTGGGTTGGGAGAGGGTTTTGTAGTGGCTGGTGCATGAGGACACAGGAGGTCTCTGAGGTAACGTTCACACAGACGTAGTTGTAGTTACTCTGTCCACTGCAGCGTTATTGACCTCGTTTTTGTTGGAGTCCAGACTTTTGGCAGCGTTCAGGTCATTGCGCAGGTTCTCCACAGCCTTTTTCATGGTTTTGAGCTCTCCAGGGTGAGGCGTGGCCCGGCGGAGCAGTGTTCCCTAAAAAAGTGCAGGGGTTTCATTTAGAGACAAACATGCACTTAGCCTTTCATGTCCAGCATCTGACTCATCTACAGTTTATGCCACTTTAACATTTCTTGATAATCGGTAACTAGGTGTCCATTTCACTGATGCTCTAAAACTACAAATCAATTATGCTTTGTGAATGCACAATACTAAAGGTATGCTAAGTAATTTTTCTGTAGTGGGGTTCAGCATCTTCTTGTCTACATGAAGATGTTATTGCTTTGTATGAAATGTTCCACAGTATTGAGTAAACAGATTTATTTGAAATTTATTCCATAATTATTTAGTGCTTGGTTCATATTTGAATGTTCATCTCCTTGAAGACATACAAGTTTGTAATGGCAGTAATGCAAGGTTAGACTTTTCATACTCAAAAGAAAGTATGGGGTTAAATGACATGAACATTCAAACCTTTTCATCATCTTCATCCTCATCATCGTCCAGGAAGTGGATGGCACTTGTTCGGTTTGCGGCCTTCGTGTCCCACGTGTCATCGGCCATGTCATTCACCAGACTCTCCAGGGCTCCACAGCGCGCCAAGTTATCAGACCCTGCGGAGTGCAAAAGACCATTATTTCAAAGAAAACACATTATTTCAACAAAAAAGTAAGGATTAGGATCAATACATTATAGTTGCCCCTCGAGTTGTTTTTTCCCTTACACAACACATATATAAATGAGTGCTGTGATATTACAACATAACTAGATCCCATGAGAGCCTGAAACTGCCAGATCACAGTTTCAAATCCCAGCTTAGTCACAAGCTTACAGCTACACAACCGTCCCTCCCCCAACCCAAGCCCCAACAGCCACACATGACATGACCCGCTGTAGCATGCACTCTCCTTTGAGCACAGCATCACAAAAGGATGGACATATTTACGTTAAAGGTATATAACCATATAAAGAGGTTAACGTATTTCAATGACCACAAAAAAGTGTCTACTTTTTTTTACTATATTTGAATGAGGATTTAAAATGGTACACACCACTACAGTTATTTGACCAAATTTGTGATACATTTCTCAGTTTAATCCTATACACATTCGTACTCAGTTTGAGTCAGATGCATTTATTTTCTTTGCGAAATGCCTGTTGCACAAGTCGATCAACAGTTTTCTTTTTTTTTGGCCAATGCAGATATGGATGGTTTTTAAATCAGAGCAACGAAAGGCAAAAATGTTATGATTGATGATTTGAAACTGTAACAAACATATCCACAACTCTATTTCACAACAAACCCATAAGACAGCAGTGAAGTCACAATTTGTGCTGTGCCCTCTTCACACTTAAGTGCTCTAATAAAGCCAATACACATCTGTATAACTCAAATAAAAAGGCAAGCTATTTCATGTTTATAATGGTCTACGCATAAAATTAGGCAGCAGAAAAGTGTGCAGTTGTTGTAACATTGGCAACCCCGTGATACACCTCTATATACAGTGGGCAAGCTTTTAATGGCAGCAGGCCAGACAGCGCTAAGCCTCTTTAGCCGTCCAATCGAGTGCTTTTCTGAAAAACATCACCAAGGAGGGCCTCAAGGCACTGCAGAGGCTGTGATTTGGTATGGGATCCGTGATCACTCATAATCAGGCTGCGAGAGGTACACGCTGTGCCTCCCCGAGCAGATCATGTGATAATGTCATCAAAACCGTGGGCCACTGAACACTGAAGGACGACTCTTGGTCTGATGGGAAATATTACTCAAATGTCAAAGTGTTGGCGCTGACACCTCAATGAAATCCAATATGCTTTGCCAGAGGCACACTTCCAACTACACTATGATGCATTACTCTAGTGGGGTTTCTGTATAACCTAGTCAGAGGGGTTAAACAGCATGCCTAGATGGGTTGAACCACGTCTGTAATAGTGTGTTGTAAGCGGTGTTGGGAAGTAACTCAATATATGTTCCGAAAATACATATTCTGAATATTAATTTGCTACTTAATTATAATGTATTATTATTATTTATATTTTTGCTCTTTTTTATTATATTATAATGTGATGTGTGAGCTATTCTGTCCAAATAATTTCTCTTGTGGGTCAATAAAGTTTGTAAAGTAAATCTATTTTGAGTACCTGTATATATCAGTATAGTTACTCTTTCAGACATAACTTAATGCATAACAAACAAATAAATCTGATTGAAATGATGTAGCATGTTATTTCAATATAATATAATGCAGCACAGTGTAAAAGTATTTTCAGTATATTCAGAATACAGCACTCTGATTGGACCGTGTATCGGAATATATTACAAGATACATTTTAATTTAGGTATTCAGTATTTTGCAGCTAAATACATCAAAGTAATCTTCCCATCACTGGTTATAATAAGATCTATGGCAAATCAATATTTACCTTACAGCACAAAAATCAACAAAAAATATTAAAACACTAAAGAAAACTTCAAATCGGAGCTCAAAATCTCCACAAATCGCATCTGGAGAACTGCAGAATATTGAAGGGTCATGGGGTGACAGTCTGCAAAGTGAGAAAACCAAGGCACCTGTAATGCCATAGATTTTATCAGGGTGCCAATAATAGTGCGAGCAGTGGTCCCAGCGCAAGGCTTAAGTAGATAAGAAAGGGGAATATAAACAGTAAACACTGGGTCGATCCACAAATCTGGGATCTGATGCCAAAATAGAAATATAAAAGGTGTTTAAGGGTTTAATATCATAAGTGGTCCATGTCCAGGGGTGACCATCAGTGATTGTAAATAATATGTAAATAATAAAAAGCCAATATTTCTTATTAACAAGGACTAATACAGGCTGAGGACAAAACAAAACCATGAATATGATGAACACAGAATATTTTTCTCAAACGTACATTGAGATGAGGAAGATTAAGAAGATCCTATATTACACAAAATGCATTCTTGTGAGCTTTAAATCATGTTATAATGCTGTTACTTCTTCAAAAACATACCTGGAGTTGTGTTTTGTTTCATTCATGTCACATGTTTGATTAATCCTTCATTATTAAGCTTTCTACATCTCAAATTAACAGCTACCATTTATCTTCTGCTCAGTAGAGATTGGCAATTTCAGGGCTGATATCATCCAGATGATTCTAGTGAAGTGTGGAGTTTAAAAACACAATGGAGCACTTTCTGTATTAGCACATGACATCACAAGGTTGAACAGAGCTGTTTGGGAGAAGAACTCACTCTAGATATGCAGGGTTTGTGTATTAAACATGTGTGAATGAAACAAGACACAACTCCAGGTCTGTTCTTGATGAGAAAACAACATTATAACATAGATTTTTTTTTAAATAGTGTAATATGGGTCCTTTAATGTCTCATAATCTTTTTGGGTTATCTTGATGACAATGGACAATTACACAGGACTCCTCACCCTTACTTTAATGATTACACATTATTATACAAGACTAATATGAAACCATAAAAGTGTACCTTTATGATCAGAGTCCAGGGGCTGTTGGGGCAGGAGCACACAGGTGAGCACTTTCTCTCCGCTCTCTGGGTCCTGGTCGGTCTGAAACGTGAGCAGAGGTTGGGACTGGTTCTCGGACAACCACAGAGCCTTTAGCTGCAGTGTGATCAGCGACAGCGGTAAATGAGCCAGCCTATAAACACAGACAATCAATTAAGTGTAACAAAACAGCCCAGGCAACAAAGGGAAAAGAGATATTTCAACAGCACAAATGTTTAATTATGAAGACCACGTGTTAAGGAAAAGGAGATACTGTTTGTTTTGACAAGGAGGAGCCGGTTCTTCCACAGTCTGAGGTGAAATGTTTATGTCTAAGTCATTCAACTTCAACTTTATTGACACAGAGACATGACAGATGCTGCTCAGAGCGAAACCTAAAGTATATTGAATTTTTTTCCAGGGACTATTGGGTGTGTGTGGTTAAGGTTAAAGGTAGAAGGATGTGAGGACTATCCTGGTAATGGATAATCACAACTACACAGCATTTGTAAGAAGGAAAAAGTAATACTCATGGAACTTCTCAGAAGAAAAAGAATAATCTAGTCATGGTCCCAAAAGGTAAACCTAACTGTGAAGGCTGAGTTTGTCGTATTATATAACTTTACCATTCAAGCTTGATTTCATAAATCTGGGCACATACTACGGGAATGAAGTGACAGACTTAAGAATGCACAGTTTAGGGTGACATTAACTTCAAATAATCATAAATTTGTTCTTTTTCCACAATAACTTTATTGTTACATAGCTTATTTATGTACTGTGATAATTATGGTTTCCAATATCTCTGTGTTACCTGTAAGTACACTAGTATACAAGTTGCATTATGTAACATTTCTGGTGGAGGGTCTGCTACCTGCTTGTCTCCATGGAAGTATTACTGTTATGACTTGCCTATTCCACAGTATGCAAATAAACTTGTTACAATGGAGACAGGTTAATGATCAGATCTATGGAGCAAGCCTGCACATGGTAAGAAGCCACGTTTTTTAAGGTATTTTTGAGCTATAAAACACATGTAATGGAACAAATGCAAGGGAAATGTTTAATGCCCTACTGTGGAACATTGCAGGTACAGAAATAACATCCTCATCGAGACAAGCTAGTAGCAGACCCTCCGCCTTAGGACTTACACTGTGCAAATTCAACCAGCAGGTATAATCCTCCTCTGTAGTGTGTATTAAAGATATTTTCAATTTAAACATGAAGTACACCAACAAACTTTTTCAAGCCAAGGCTCACTATGCTCTAAATATACGCCTTGTACAGTAGATTAAATTATTGAGTGTACCTATTTCCAGACACATCGAGTACATGCAGCTCTGTGGCTTGGGACAGTTCGGACGGTATCCTCGTGAGTCTGTTTTCTCTCACACAAAAGACATTCAGGGCACTGCATCCCCCAATCTGAAAAACACAAAATTATAGTTATGCAAGTTAAGAATAGTCTCTTTAAACAATAGTGGGACAGAATCCAGTAACATATGGCCACTTTCCCCAGAATTGATGGTCTGGATGGTAGAGTGGTAAACATGTCAATGCGATGTGGCAGAGTAACCTAAATTAGGAACAATTAAACCCAGTGAATGAACAAAGCACATAGTCTATAGGGGTGTTATATAATTGTAATAATGAAGCTGAGCTAAAAGAAAGACCAGACAGAGGGGGAAATACTAATTATCATTTAGTTTTAGGTTGTAATTAATTTTAGTCATTACTCAAGGCAGATTTACCATTTAATTACTTCTCTAAAAGCAGACAATGACCTGTATAATATTAAATAAACCCACTAATGTACAATTTAGTGGGTTTAAGTTACTAAAAGCTACTAATACTCTTTTAAACTTTTACTGTTGTCTAATATAAACAAAGGGCAAATTTGTCGACCTTAGAAATCAAAAGGGAGAAAATGGAGAGACTGGGAACAAATTCTGTGCACAATTCCGTTAATTAGCAGACCAATCTGAATACATGAATCATCTGATCTTAATTAACAGCAGCACAACACAATATGCGCTCATTAATTAAGATTTTTGCCAATTGAAATGTGCTGGTTTTATACTTGCAAATGCAATCAAAGCGTTGCTAGTGAGAAATTGGACTGCAAAACTCAACAGAACAACAGAAATAAGAGTGTAGCTTTGGCTTCAATCATAACATAAATGAAAGCTGCACATGGGTTGTCAACAAGGAATAACCGATCGATAGCATCCATTAACATGAACCAATGGTCAAGTGGCTCTGCAAGGCACGGATCAATACAGACACAGGCTTACAACATGAGTGTGTGAATGTCATGCCGCAGTGATTTGAGAAAGCATCAGATTCATTATGTTTGCAGTGAAAGTGTGTTCAACTGTTATTTTTGCCCCAACACCATCCGCACCGCATCACAACACACAGGGCCATTGTGTGAGCTGTAAGGATCCTTTCAGATCAGGGCCTGCCTTTACTCACACAGACAAGAGGCTGCACAAGACGCACAAGACACACTCATAGATGGACAGACTGTACTGTAGGAATGACAGCACGCACTGTGACAGCTTACACATACAACTATACAAACTGTTGGCTGGGGTTAGGGATAGGATTAGCTAACTGTAAAGAAAGCAATGTGGTGGGAAGTAACTACATTGGACAGTCCGACATAGATTTCCTCAACCGATATGATATTTGTCTTTGTAGCAGACATTTGCTGATGTCATTCACATTCCCTGGAGGTGTGACGCTAACTGTAGGCTCTGCTTTGTCTGAAGCTCTGCTGAAATTTAATCTTACTTTTTAAAACAATTTGAGCAGAAAGAGTTGACTTTGTTGGAAATACAACAGGTGAGCTGATTTGTGCTGTTAAAAAGTCTCTCACACATAAAATCATAGATTTCTATACATAACATTGTAGTCATTGTACAGTTTAGTTGGTCACTCTCATGTTGTTGTTGAAAATCAAACTCCTAAACAGGACCATGAAAGATCGTATTGATCACAGGCTCCTGAAAATGTGTTATGTGTTAGTTACTAATGTGTTTTCTTTCGTTTTCAGACAATCTTAAAACTTTTTGGACATGCATGCATGTGTGCATCACCATGGTATGTACTGAACAACCTTCCATAGACATACATGTAGAACACCCCCAGAGTGAGACATTGTTTCTTTTATTTAGTAGGAGTATATTTCCAGTACATGAGTAATGCTTTTCTGTCAAAAGATATGCAAAATATCTTTATCATTAAATATGCTTTTATCAGAATACATCAGCAATTCACCGTTATCTCCTTCAGTATAATAAAACAGGGAGTAGTGGTGATGAAGGAATGTGGGCTGAGTCAGTTAAAGGTGGTGAAATACACGAGCCAGTATACATCTGAGCTGGTTTCACTTATCTCAGTGAGCACATTATGTTGTTATTTTTATTTCTTTTTCAGATTTGATATTTCACGTTATCCTTTCAGCATGTCTTATTATCAGAAATAAGAATTTTCTTTAGAACCAGACAAAAAGCTTAATTTCAACAAACATGACCACCAAATATCACAGTTATGTAAAACACGTACCTCTTTAGGCAACGTTGTGAGCTGGTTTCGGTCACAGTTGAAGTTAGAAAGACGTTTTAATTTTCCAATACTTCTAGGCAAACTCTGGAAAAGATAAGATAGCAATTAAATGTTACAGTGCTTAAGTTTAGAAGCATCACAACACGCCCTTTAATAAAGCTCTAAATCAAATGATAGCACAGCTCGCAGTTTTCACTGGAGGAGTCAAGAATGCATTTTATCCTGGGTGTGGTGACGCAGATGGTTATAAGAAGCACACAAACAGCCTCTACATATAAGAATATACTGACAATACAGAGAAAATATTAAAGTCAGTTCAGTTATACCTCACCTGTATCTGATTTTCTGTAAGGACAAGTTCTGTTAGGGCTTCACAGTTACCAATACTCTCTGGAAGATACGTTAGCCGATTCTGATCTGCTTTTAAAATTGAAAGCTTGTATAACTTTCCTGCAAAGATAAAGCATAAGAAATCCATTAATACAAGTACAGAAGTGAGGTAATATGGTCATATACTCAGTACACCTATGCAAAGGACAATGTGTACAGTATTCAGTTCAGACCCATTTTATCTTGTATATAAGCGCTGTATAGCTATGGAAGCCATAAAAATGTGGCCCTTGACAACTTTCAAATCATTAAGCTTGCATGTTTAAGATTGTTTGGAGATTTATTAGTGAGTGGCAAAGGTATACGGGTGTCAGTGGTGAATAGTAACATTTACTCCTGTCAAAGCTAAAAACACATCTAAAATGTAGAAGCTGGAACAGCTTAATAACATATATGAAGGACTCCAACTCAAACAAAATCAAACTATAATAGAAAACCAGTTAACAACTTAACAACAGAGATAGTGCATGCCACGTTCAAAATCATTGGTACAGATGAACTAAACCTTTCTCTGCTTAAATCACATGTTTCTGGATGTGTTGAGGAAATCATTGTTGTGGGGCAAAAACAATAGCTCCATGGGCAATAAAAAGCAAAGAAACACATTTTGTCAGTCATACTGTCCATAGTCAAGGGACATTTCTCAAATAAAATTATGTCAGTGCATAACTGTCATACTAACCCATTACAGGGCAAGCTGCATGAACAGGCGTCATGATATCAATGTTTTCACAGATCAATTGATGTAGTAAACATATACACATATAATGTTTATCTATCATCACCATCATCATACCCAGGCTTTCCGGTAAAGCTTCAATGAGGTTCTGAGACACCAGTAGATCACAGAGGGACTGTAATCCTCCGAGCTCCTCTGGGAGGCGCTCTAGTTTGTTTTCCGATACATCAAGACACAACAGACTCTTCATACTGCCCATTTGCTGAAAAGAAAACAAAGATGTTGATTTTACCACACCTGCATTTAAATCAAGTAAACATTTAAACAATATGTGCAAAAACTCAACATAGAAACAGTGATTGAACTTACAGAAGGTATTTCTGTTAACTGGTTTCCATCAAGCCACAGGTCTTTTAGGCTCACAAGACAGCCTATTGTGTCCGGCTGAGTGGGAGACAGAAAGAAGAAATTGAAGGAATGGGCTTCGAAAGACACAATGAACAGTGGACATACTCAGCAACTCAACAATGCAGAGAAACAGGACCTACAAAGAGTACTATGGGGAACCTCCCGGCAAATATAGCAAATGCATTGTAATGTATACTTATTAACTCCATGTCATAATGCTGGTATTAATGAAGTATGCAGATCTGGACTTAAACTACAGGTTTTCTAGTTCTAGTTTTCATGATTTATTGTTACTCTATTGATAAAACTAGTATTTATTACAAATTACATTACAGATTACTTCTACAAAACTACACAAGTTTTAAGAAGTTTAAGTTTTAAGAGCATAGGGATATATTTAAAATTCTGCACATACAATTGTCAAGATTATTCAGTCAATAATTGTGATGATTCAGATCAATGTCCTAAAATATCATAGCTGACAATTTTAGAGGAAAAAATACAATTTCAGTTTAGTCTAATGGCTCCAAAAAAGTAAACCCAAATATAAAATGGAAAAGGTGCAAGCAAAGCACATCATCTTTGTTTTGGAGCTGCAAAATGAATTGTAATAAAATAAAAATTGCAATTATTATTTTAGAGCATAATTTGTAAAACTAACTAAATATTTTTAGTCTCATATTCTTGGCCCAAAATGATACAGCCTTGCTCTGCATTTCTAAGTATTAAGCGTGTATGCCAGTGAAACACTGTCCTTAGTTAGACCCCTCTCTAAGCCCACATCAGATGTTCATGCTCCCATCTGTGTGATAAGGGAGGGAGGCTGTGCTCAAGGAATGCTAATCTACATGAGACAGCAGGGACAAGGAAATGACCAAATCTTTATTATGCATGCACATTTTGGTGTTTTTCTTCAATATTAACAAGCATAAAAAACTCACCAAACTGTACAATTCGTTATTGCCTAAATCAAGTTCTTCAAGTCTATGAAGTTGAGATAGAGACCTATAGATGGCAAAGAAAATAGAAACATCAATTAGTCAAGATGTAAAAAAGGTAAAAGACCATAGACTGTAAAAAGAAGTGGACTTAGGGAGAGTGATGTCAGCCATACCATTCGACTCCAGTTAAATGAAGCTCACAGAGTTAGCAATTATTAGCGAAATTTGGAGCCCAGTTTTACATTAAGAATAGAAATGTATTAAAAAATAAAATAGCAAAATAAAAACACCAGGATCTTGTAGAGTGGGTTCATACGAACATTTTAAGACCAAAACTGAGGCTCATTGTATCAGTTACAGAGGAAGGGGTGACTTTTTTTTTAATGTAAAGTCAATTGGAAGTAGTCGATGGAGCCAAAAGTGCCCCCGTGGCTAGCGAATTAGCTCTGTCCATTTATATATACAGTCTATGCATATGACTGACTCTGTATTAGTGACAATGGGTAAAAAACTGTGCTGTCATAATACTAATATTTGAAACAATTTAGATTCTATGGAAAATGGTCAATACTAGATAGATACCAATTCTGATATCACAACAATAAATAAATAAAACATTTAAGCAAAAGAATGTTTTAACGAGGTCTTATACCAGAACTTTTTTTTCCTAAACATTTACTTTCAACATTTTATATACATACAGATGACATCAAATATGTAAAACAATGTATATAGAATTATGTAGCAAAAAAAGTTAAATAACTCTATTAAATATATTTATTACATTTTATATTCAAATTTCAAAAACTCAAATTAGCCACCGTTTGCTTTGTCAAAAAATTTAACTTTTTTTTCATTACTACATAATTTCATATATCTTCCTTTACATATTTGATGTGTCCCGTATGTATCTAAAATGTAGAAAGAGGTAAACATATAGAAAAAACATTGAGGGCAAGTCCAAACTTTTGACTGGCAATGTATATCAAGACTATTCCTTTACAGATATACGATAGTTTCACTTTCACTATAGAGGTAATTAAATGAAGACTGGGCACCACATGTCTTCAAAATGGCATAATATGTGATTGAACTCAAAGATACAGAGATGATACTTACTCTGGGAGGAATGTCAGCAGATTTTCTCTCAGTTCTAGTGATACCAGGTTGGAAAGGCTGAAACAAGAACAACAGGTTAGTAACAGAGCTTCAGATAAACTGAGAGACAGTAATAAAAATTCCAATATTTCCTTCCGAGTACAAAATAAAAGTCTAGCAGACAACTTTTAAATCAGATACCAGGGACAGGAAGTGCATTGCTGGCGCGTCAGTTTTATCTGGGCAGTAAAATCAAAAGTCATATAAACAACTCGAGCCTTAAATGAAGAGCAAAACATCCAAATAGTCTTCATAGAACAAAATACAGTGTTATCTTCTCACAAAGGAAAGACCTTAAAAGGCTGTTATGAAACCACAGTAACAGCAAGTACATAAACTACTGAATTTCAAAGCTATTTGAATTATTATCTTTTCAATTTCCCTACAATACATCTAAAAGCTTTGTTTTTTCCATAACCCTTGTTCAAAGAAATCATATTCTAAAGTTACATCAGACACTGTAATGTGGAAAGTCAGATGACATTTTTTAAAAAAATTTGTTACATTACACATACATTTTCTGTGTAATATTATTTGTGTTTGTGTGTGTAACGCCAAAATAAGTATAAAATGCAAAACTAATCATAATAATAATAAATTCAATACGCTTTTAAGTATCTAAGAATTTTACTTTGAACTACAGAAACACATCATCTTTCTAGTTCTGCTGTAATAGTGCATGACTCAGTGCTCTCCTATTCAATCACTGGTGGTGACTATTTCTTGAATGGCTGCCTGATCCCTGACTGTCGAATGAGAGTTTACTAATCCTAGTCATAGTGCGTTTCTCATTCAGCAGCAGATAATACACAGACATGAGATTATGAAACAAGCTCATCTCCCCACTTTCAACTCTCAAATCTGAATTCCGTCATCAGCAAAGCAGTGAAAACAACAATCCAACTCAAATACAAGCATCAAATCAAATCGTGCTACTACTGATGCCATTAACCGCAGTGCATCCATCTTATTCAAATGTGTGTTAGCATGGCTTTCGTTGCTTTGTTCTGACGGACAGCAGGCCTCAGCTCTCTGTACGGTTTAAGCCAGAACATATGTGGGCCAAATGCCGTAGCAACAGGGAGACGGTGCAAGGAGATGTGAGTGCTCTTTTGACCTTAAGCTCAGTGGGTTAAAAATACATCTTCATACAGTTTTTGTTTGCACATGTCTGTAACTGTGTCAATGTTAAAGATTGTAATGTTATTTAATGTTAATGTTACTAATCGCTTGTTTATGTTTTATAATTTTGTCATGTTTAGTTTGGTTTTGTTTTAATTTAAAAATGTGAAAACCTTAAATGAAAATGTAATTTAAAAAGTAAATAAGTCCATCTTCAAGTCAGGCTTCGAGAAAATTGCAAAAACAACTGGTGAAAAAATATTATATGGTATTTTATAATATGTCCAATGGAATGACAAAATAAAATGCAAATTCCAAACTAAGGCAGGACAAGCTTGAGGCATCATTTTTAAGTAATTTGCTTTACCGTAGTAATGTTGGTTCATGTCAGAATAATACCATTGAAGTGCGTGTATCAAAAAAACAGGTATTGTGTAAGTATCCCGCCCGATGTCTAAATCACAGTATACAGAGAAAATGCTGCTTCTGTGAATTGTAATCATATACCTTAAATTTAACTTGAAATGAGCAAATAAATGTTTTTGTCTTTTTAATACATGTGGTTTATTCAAGAAGTCTTCAGCAGTTTTAGAAGTTTTAACCACAAAAAAATGTCTCAGTGATTTTCCCAGTGAGGAGTTAAGCAACATCCCCAACTTTATAGCAGTAGTAATGCAAGACGAGGCAAATCCCCGACACACAGCCTGAAATACAGTAAAAGAGCTGTAAACCGACTAGATTTTTCCCCCCCATTTTTTTCATTAAGTAAAAATGTGAAACCTTGTCAATATTTAAAAGGTGCACTGCGTAACATTTCTTGTTTAGGGTCCACCACCTGCTTCTCTCAATGGAAATGTTATTGCTTTATAGAATGTTCCACAGTATAGATTAAACCTACATTACAGTTCAGATCTGTGGAGAGTCATCCCTATACAGAAGGAATTATTGTATTTTTGAGCAATAAAAACACAAATAATTAATAAATGATATATATATATGTTTAATGTCATACTTTGGAACATTCCAGGCAAAGCAATAACATAACAACATGGAGACAAGCATGTGGCGAACCCTCTACCAGAAAAGTTGCGCAGCGCACCTTTAATACGCTAGTGCATAGTAACAAGCAGTGTTGGGGAGTAACGGATTACATGTACCGCCGTTACGTAATCAGAGTACAAATTATGAGTAACTGTATTCCGTTACAGTTACTGTTTCAATGAGTGGTAATTGGATTACAGTTACTTTGCTGAAAAAAGTGGATTACAAGGCGGTATTTTCCTGTTTTCACATTTTGTGCTACATCCCATTTATTTATTTTTTTATTTCGGTAATTTCACTCATTGCCTGAAGCCCAAACAGAACGTGCGCAATAAGAGCGATGGAAACGTCATGTTAAAGTTGGCGGTGTCAGTCACACAGTGGAAGCAGCAGTGCATTGGTAAAAACGCATTTGTTTCTTGGAAATTCTTCTCCCGATGTGAGATATATATATAAAAAAAACAAATATAAAATCGCCTACAACTTAAATGTGAAACCGGAGCTACTGGCACTGGTGAAAACAACCTGCATAGACTCATAATATCTGCACTACTGTCCTATAGTGACCTGCCACATGAGGGGACGTGCACACAAACACACACAAACACACACAAACACACACAAACACACAAACACACACAAACACACACAAACACCTTCATCATCGTCATCAACCTGAGAACCCGCAGACCACGTCTCCTTCCGTAGTTACAGCGCGGACACCGCCGTCTCGTGCGCCGCGTGTGGACCGTGTTTTCTCGCGTAAACCGCACTTCCTCCTGTGCGCCTCTAAACCAGAACTAACACCAGGACTAAACCAGGACTAACCCAGGTTTAAACTAGGACTAAACCACGACTAAACCAGAACTAAAGACCTGGTCTAAACAACATGACACCTAACAGTAGGTTGACATAATTTAAGGTGATCTCATATAATTTCTCTATCAATAATATTTTTTAATATGGTGAAGGAAAGGCTGATCTTGTTACTGTCTTTTAACAGACAAAACCTCTTATATTAAGATATCGTGGTCTTTGTTTCTCTACAGCAAACAGTTGCTTATTCATGGAGACTTGGGCTCAGACAATTTGAAGACAACAAACAAGAATTTTAATTTAATTTAATGGATTACATTACAAATTACATTTTGGGGTGTGTAATCTGTAATCTGTAGGGGATTACATTTTAAAAGTAACCTTGCCAACACTGGTAACAAGCTAGTGCATTTTATCCTTATGTCTACAGTTTGAACAACAACGTCCAACGCAGTGACCCGACTGTACTGCGAAAACAATATCTCTGCCCCAAAAGCAAATACTTCAGATATTAAACTAATTACAACAGGAGCATACAAGAGAAATGACGACCTCAATAAATGCAGGTTAACTCTTCATAACGGAGGATTAAACCATGTCTAGGGAGATTTTTTGCCATTATTAGAAAAAGACTGTTGGAGCTGCAGTGAGGTCACAGACACACTGGTATGTATTCAAGAGCAAACTTACAGAAAGGGAGTGTGTGAAATATTGTATGAATATATGAAAATATCAAATAAAACTCTATCTTATTTTCTTAACAATATGACCATTGATAGTCTAACATTTTACAGTTCAATAAATACCAGCTCAAAATTGCCTGTCACAATAAAAAATTATGAAATGAGGTATATTGCTGAAGTAAAATTAGACGATCAACAACAATACTGTAACTACCTTATGCCACTGACACAATAACTCTAAAGCAGATATAAACAAACTAACACAAATTTTCAAAATTTACAATATTGTTAAAAAATCATGAGCTGCTTTAGCACTTGGTTTACATCTGTAATGAGTCATAAAAATTGTTAATTATGGCTCAAATCTTTTCATATAGCCATAAAATGACCCAGTAGTGCAAAAAATGTACACAGGAAAAATACTGACCCAAAAAATATTGTTCCAGCTTTCATATGATGAACAATAAGTTGATATAGTAATTATATAACTTATTATAATGAAGTTTTAAAAGTTCCCATGTGTTAAATTATTCCTATTTAACACTGAAACAGCTTGGTACTTACTTTCCAATGTTTTCTGGCAGGATTTGCAGTGAAATATCATTGATGGAAAGGCATGTGAGATTCCTGAGCTCTGGAAAGCTTTCGGGTAATCTGGTGAAACAAGACAGAGGTCACCCATAAGAGCATACCATATCTGCATTCAACACTAAATAACTTACTAATTAAAGGTCCTATGTTACACAAAATTGACTCTTGTGAGCTTTAAGCCATGTTATAATGCCATCACCTCATCAAGAACATACCTGGAGTTGTGTTTTGTTTCATACATGTGTGAATGAAACAAAACACAACTCCAGGTCTGTTTTGATGAGGAAACAAAATTATAGAACAGAAAATAGTTTGCTCTTTAAACATGGCACACTTAAATTTCAGATTTTATGTTGCTTTATGTCCCTTTACACAACACCTCTATAGACACAGATAGATGGCAAAGAAAAAGTAAAAAAAAAAAGTGAAGTTAAGTTAAGAAAAAGTTGGCAAATTGTTCGAGAAAGAATTTACCACTGCCCTGGCAATAAACGCCCTGATAAGCTAAAAACATAGGTTCATTGGCATTGTCCTTTGCCCTTTGTAAAGAGATGTCTTATGGCTCTATTAGAAACAAATGGTTAACTTGTATGTGAACATAAAATGGGCCAACAGACCAAGTGGGTTTTGTTTTGGTTCATCTGCATTCTGACGCTTCTGTCCTAGTTCTGCCTGAATGTGCATAATGGGGAGATAATGCTTTTATTCAATTACAATGACAAGCCAAGACTCAGATCCAGACAGCTATTAGCTATGAGCGCATTGTTTTATGTGGCTGCAAAAAGCTATTGTAAGTGTTTTTCTATTAGTTTGTTTTTTCTTCATTTCCTACTTAGGCATGAGGATTAAAAAACAACATACCCCTGCCTTTGCACACACTGTACACAAAAATTACTTATTTGTAACGTACACCAAATATACCAAATGTTGTCTAAAACTCCTGAATCTTAACAGTGACCTGAAAATATTCACCATAGTATTATTTAGATTTAACAATCAATATAACTTATTGGTACCTTGTTAATGGGTTCCCACTGAAATCTGCTACTTGTAGAGCTTTACAATGTGCAATGCTCTCTGGTAATTCCATAATATCTGCATGAAAAAGGACACAAAGTAGAAAATAAAATGTGAAAAATGCATCCACAACCCAGAGGATGTATTTGTGCACCCCCCACACATGCAATAATTAATCATTATTAGGTAATTGGAAAATACCAAGATTAAGCAAGATAAAAATGAATTTGATAGCGAAAACTAAACACTGGCAAGTAAGACCCATAGCAATGACCAAAGAGTGCAAAGTTTGACTCCCTAGGCCTACGTCATATCACATGACTTAAGAAAAGGTGGAAGTTCTCAGAATTGAGGTTCGATTTAAGCTTTTTTCTTCCTTAAATGCTGCAATGTTATTAAAAGAGGACTTTACCATCTAACTGGGCATGAAAAAACTGGTTAAATGTAAATTAAAGGAATAATTTATTCTGTCATATGCACTTTAAAATATTGGGCCACATATTAAGAAGTTACAAGTGATCAACATGTGACAGTATATACTACCTAAGGATCTGAAGTTCGTAGGTACATTACAGTGAAGACAAAACGAGCCTGTGTGTGCACTGAGTTTGACCCTCCATGATAAATGAGGTTTCACACCAGACACTGTCTTTAAGAGCATGCACTGAGGTACACGGATCTGCACAACTGTGTCTAAACCAATGAGTTAAGGGTAATACAAGAAGGATAGGACCCAATGCCTCATGTATATAATCTTCTTTTTCATGGTTTCATAGTCGTCTTACACAGACAAACCTGCACTAATCTGGAGTAAAGATAATCAAGCCAAAGGCACTGCTTTGCCTGTCAGTCAAAAAGAACATGTGTTTTAAATAAAGAGTTTTTTTTTCATACCATTTCTAGAAACGTCCAGTTCAACCAGCTGCATGAAGTTGGCGATTTCTGGGGGAAGCCTCTGGATCTCATTGTCACTCAGACCAAGTTTTCGAAGTTTGATTAACTGGAAGAAAGGCTGGAAAAAGAAAGAAATAAAGAAAATTCGTAAATTATGTCACTTTATTACTCTGATGTGAAATAATGTCTTTGTACTAGCTTGACCAGAAAAGCAATGCAAAGTTCAAGTAGTGGGTAAAAGCAATTGTTTCAAAACAACAAACAAAAAATCTTCGAGAGTGTTCGCAAGTCCATTCCAGTTAAAAATATATATATATATGGTCATATATAAATAATTTAGACCACATTTTTAGTCCTGTTAAAATAACAAAAGGCCATTAGGTGTAATTACGTCTTGCATAATTTACACATATTCTAATTATAATATTAACCAAGAAAATGAAAAACAAGGGACGGGCCATACCACGTGGCTCTGATTTAAACCAGTCCGTTTTGTCTATTTATTGTTAATACCTTTTTATAATAGGTGCTTTACAAATAACATCCAGGAGTCCAAAAGTCAAACTCCACCCTTCAACGAAATGCCTGGGTAATACTGAAGACATAAAACCGTTCAAACAGTCATCTTAATCCTCCATCTCACCAAGCAAACAAACTTGGGATCTATAGAAGACATTATCTCCGGCTTTTGAAGCATAATCTCAGTCATTTCACTTTCGTGTCTTCATGGTTCATAAAGCCATGCTGTGGTTGCACTAATTGAGCTATGCATCATACCAATAATTTATTCTAGTGTCCGTAATCTGTTTGTGGTGCTTTTTTGTTATAATTAGATGCAAAAATTTTAAATACTGAAAAAGGTGCACTGTGTAATCTATTGGTCCATGGAGATCTTCATACTTTGGTTTAAACTGTTCACAGTACGGCATTAAACAAATCTACTTTACAGGTATTTGGGTGTTATTTATTATTCAAAAATATCTTTAAAAACATCCATTCTTACTGTGAGTGGGGCCACCTCTACACAAATCTAAAATGCAATCTGTCTTGCACGCCTCCATGGAGATTCTTAAATTTATGGTCATACTGTGGAACATTCTAGACAAATCTCCATGGAGACAAGCAGCTGATGGACCCTCCACCAGACAAGTTGAACAGTGCACCTTTATTTAAGCATTAAACTAAATTAAAATCCAGAGGAAGCTCCATGTCCATCAGACCCTTTTGCCACTAAAATCAAAGTAGGAAGTAAACAGACACCAGTTAAGTCTTCTCTACCACAAACAATAATGTTATGAGCAAGAAACCTGTTAGAGAAGACACATTATCGTAATTTACTCTAATCTAGTATTTTCCTAGGTTTTCCCAACAGCTGAATTGTATTAGGCACACATCAACACCAAACCAGTATTTCCTGTTGGTATCTCCGCTCCACGCCCCGACTAGCTACCCATGTGTGACACCAAACCAGACAGCCTTAGTTAAGAATACATTAACTCCACTCTAACTCTTGCGTAAATGTTTGAATGCCTCGTGTAGACTGCAGTTTGCTGGGGGATAAGAGTTTGTTTTGTAGGATTAGACTTGGTATAAGGACATTACAGGACGAAACAAGTGGTTCTCAAACAAATGGTACAGTTGGTATTGCATTTTACGTGGCACTTCAAAAGAAAGCGCAACATAATAATAAATCTTCATTGTTCTTTTTTTCTATTTTTTGCATGAACTTCTTTGTGACTACTTTGTCTAACCACAAACTTCCTCTAACAGCAGTTCATTCATGTGAGGCTTCCTGTATGGGCCAGGATATTGCCACTTTTATCCGAGTGAACTGTGGCCCCTCATTTGATTATCTTCTTATTTACAATAATAACAAAATTGATTCTAAGCAGAAATATTTATTTATAGACAATAAAGTCACAAGTATTCAAGACTAAATTGTTCGGGTCAATGTGGAAGAGCGTTTGGTGTATAATAGAAATAAGAAATTCATCATAAAGGTTAGGACTGGCCTAGAGGCAGATGATTTGTGGAATTCTCAGAAAAAAACACGTACCAGAAAACACAATCAGGATCAAACAATCTGAACAAAGATTAAACTAAACTGACTGGTAGAAAGTTAGTTACAGAGTCATCTGACATTTCTGTGTAAAACTAATGAAACTTTCCTCTATGGCTGGACTTGCCTCATCTTGTTGCCGTTCAGATCACATACGCATGTTTTTATCTGCCTGCTGGGTTATACAATTAACCAGAAAAGACTGTAGATTTGGCTAGATTAGGTATCAGTTGTTGTAAAGTTAGTTACCAGTCTACTATATAATAATACAGGTCGGGTCAGGGCCAAAACAAAGCCCTATAGAAGAGATGTTTGCGGGTTTACTCAGCAAGCTGCATTCCTATCAATGTGAGTTGATGCAATGAGAATAATACACTCTTCTATGGCCAAAACATACCTAAAATATCTACAAACTGACTATTGAGACCTATACAATGGAATAATTAGTGGATGTCGTGTCAAAGAGTATTTGTGAGGCATTGTGTCTGTGGTAAACAAAGGTAAATTTCACAATAATGAAGACAAAAGAACTGCAAGGATAATACAAAGGTAAACACGTTTAAGTAGGAAAAATGTGTTAAGACTAGAACTAAAATGTAATAGATCTTTAAAAGTTTTCTTGTTCCATGTTCCTCAAATAATACCAGTAGATCTAAAATTATCCAATGTATGATCTAAAACAATTTTACTTTCAGTTTCTGTTGTCAAAAGTAAAATAAGTAAAGCAAAATTTACTATATATTTTTAATTTAACTTAAACTCGATAAAGGAAACTTTCTACCATAGAACCTCATGATGCTGAAATCTAGTAATTATGTATTAGCCCTGCCATGTCTGTAGTTACACATGAAAACTGTCCACTTTCAAGGACACCTTTAAAGCCAATATAGTCCCTAACACACTCCCTTAAATAATGAGAGGTGCATTGCTAAATGGTAGCATTTTAATATAGACCGGAACAAGGAGAAGAAAGATGGCAAACCTGTTAGGCAGGAAACAATGTTAAAATGTAAAAAGTTTCCAAACAATCATTGTTAAGCTTCTGTCAACACCATACAGTCTATGGTCAACACACAGCTCTTTACTATAGACTTAAAGAGACTACAGCTCATAACATTATACTAATTTAGAGTCTATGGAAATGAAACTGCATACAAAACTATTAAGTACATATATAGTTACCCAATCATGCACAATGTCACCCATAATCCTTTTTTGCATACCTCAGTTCCAACACTGAGGTATGCAAAGAAATAAATGTATGATCTTGTTTAACCCTCTTGAGTTCTGAGTGTGTGGGTTTGTGAAGGGCCCTTGAGGGGCTGGTGGTTGTCACAGTAAAATACAAAACGCAGAGCAGTGGGAAGACTACATTATGAACAAGTGTAACTATAATAAAACATATTTTTAGCTCAATGGGTGATAAAGCTGCAAGAAGATGTCCTCTTTGAATTATTTTGAATTAAATAAAGGTAAACTAACTTACTTCAAAGACAAATGCCTAGTGTAATTTTTAGTAGTGCATTTGTGTGAAAACTCAATAAGAATTCATTATTTATTCAACCATGGTCAAAGGGACCATAAGTGCATACTAGTATTAGCTGGCACACTTCTGTCCCAGGACAGCTGTGGCAACCAAAACCAAGTGTGTTTAGAATTGATGAGTAATGCATTTAAAGAAGACCTTGAGGATAAACTAAATAATTAATTTGGTGGGTCGTTTATTTCTTCAACTGCTGACTTGAAATTGTCCCATTGCATGCATCTCTAATCTCTGTGGCCAATCACAGAACACTGAAAGCTGCCAGCAGATACACAAACACAAACAAACTTATGTAGAGGCAATAAAACAGACATGGGCCAAGTCTCCTTTAATAAATAAGTCTAGGCTACAGTTGGTAAAAGCTAGGCCATGTTTGCATGGTGCACAAAACGTGTCTGTGGATAACAGATGCAGGCACCATTTTCACCTGTAATGTCAACCACCACTGGAAATATTTACCCAATATTTCCAGTAGGCCCCATTTGTTGAATCAAAGTGTGGTCCATTCGGGTACAGTTTTTTGCATAGGGATTTCCTTGTCTATCAGTGAGTGCATCAGCCTCCATCAGCGCCTGGGGTCGTGGTTGACCTCAGCAACAGGTTTGACTGCAGACACTTCCAGGGGCAGGCTGAGCACTCAGTATCACCAATACCAAAGTACCCAAGTGTTAACCTGATGTGTGAGGTGCACTTGGGAATTTTCCGCCTGCTCAGGTCGTGCTGATCTTGCGTAATGACTGTCCCGGGTCCCACGGGACTCCCTCCCCACAGGAGGTCATTTCATTAGATCAGACAAATAACTGCGGTGTGTGCGAGTTCAAATGAGCGGAAGCGGTTTGTGCTTACCTTAGGCAAGTCTCGGAGTTGGTTGGCATCCAGCAAGAGCTCCTCCAAACTCCGTCCATAGCGATAAATCTCATCGGGCACATAGAGCAGGGAGCAGTGGCGTTTATCGATCACCTCCACATGACGGTTGCACCGCCACAGGGGTATACACTGAAACATAACGGGGGTGGGCGGCTATAAAGCTCGTAGCACTGCGATAAACAAACAGCGGGAGAAAGAGGATGCAACAGTTGCCACGGCGGTACAGCCCTCCACGAAACGTGCGCTCAGGCAAAACTCACAAACACGAAACTCCGAGCGCAAAGAACTGGACCAGCGTCGTTCGCTTCGCGGCGAACATGGGAACAGTCTCCGTCGTGTGTCACTTTGGTTAGATTGTAGGCACCTGTTTTTCAAAACTCGGGCCCTTCTTGCACGACGTCCATCCCCGCGACTTAACCCCTTTTTAGCGTAAAAAGCACAGGCAACATCTCAGTGTACAGGAAAGCAGCATTATCCTTTTTCCTCTTCTCGTCCCAGAGTTAATTTCCTCTCTTGTCCAGTTTCTGACCCGGAACATTCACTCCCTCATTCCAATCCTGCGTCACCTCGGCAGGCTCCTCCCCGGTCCCACCCCCGGCCCCCGTCCCCCGTCCCGTACAGTGCGCCATGATTGGAACGGGCCACTGTACAGGCCTCATACCGCCAGTGCTCCCGTGCCGACCACTGGGGGCGTCATCAGCCTCAGGCTTTAGGCCCCAAATTCAGTTATCAATTAAAGCCATGTGCATGCTATTTTAGTCTGGTTTGACTTTTTCTTTTGTGGATTATTCATTTGCTCTGTTACTCATGGAGTCGGTTCATCTGTAGGCCAGAAAAAGACAACAGACACTTGTAGTCCTGTTACACAAGTCACAAATTGTCCAAGAGGTTAGCCTAGTCGTCTTTCAATATCGTTCAAAATATGGCAACCTATTAAAAGAATAGGCCTTCCAGTTTGGCTATAATGTACTTTAAGTAGACTTTTTTCATTCCCGTAAACACCAGCGTCCTCTATAAAGTAATAAGAATGTCCTCAAAGTTTTAATGTTCCATGTCTCAAATCAAATTACTATTAAAATATATTTAAAGATTTTAGTAGTCCCTGGTGTTTTTAATAAGTGTTACCATCAATAGCAAGTCAATTTGTTCGGTCATTTGTTCCTTGTTGAGGTTGAAGATTTAGATACAAAATTAAACATTGCACGTAGTTGCAATATCCACTGGAGGGCGCCACACCCTACAAATATACACTATACAATTGAACACAGGAGACATTAAAGGTGCACTTTGTCTGTTTATTGGTGAATACAACCATGTGTACATTTGTTCTACTGTCCAAAATAAATAAGTGATAAAGGTGAAAGTATCCCATAACCTTAAGACTAAATAGAAGAGCCTTTATCTGCGACCAAACTGTTTCTTAAAGGCTTTTAGGGATTTGGCCATCATCGGAGCAACTTCTGCAAAAAAGATCACATGTTATTAGGAACAAAAAGTAATTTAAAAAACTGCTACTGACTGAACCCACTGGTCTTTTTTCGAGGATCTTGTAAATTTGGAGTAGCAGAGGTGGTGCTGCTGGGCCTGGTGGTCTCTTTGGGGGTCTGTCTGGGTTTGTTGTCTGGAACTTTCACACTTCAGTACAAAAGCATTTACATTTTCAAATGCACCACGACTGACTGAACAACATGATTTTAGGCATATATTGTAACAGACGGCTAGTGTAGAATGACAGAATTGCACATGATTGTAGTTGAAAGCCCTTATTCCCCTATAACTGCAAGAAATATGTGAAGCCTTTTCATTAAATATAAGGCCAATAAACACAGTCTCAGCACTCTAGAGGTTTGCGTTTGTCTCTGGAGCTCACCTGCACTTGAGCAGAGGCTGCTGAACTGCAGTTCCATGGATTTCCTGCTTAATTCGCACATCTCTTGGTGGCTTGGCAACACTATGAATAAATGCCATCTTCACCTGCCGACCTAAAAAACATCACACTGAACATTAGGATACATTTGTTATTAAAGTAGGTTTCAGAATTTCTCAATCTCAAAATATTTGTCATAATTCATGCATTTTAAATGGTGAATGGGTGAATGAGAGGGATAGAGCGAAACAGTGAGACCATTTTAATTTGTATGAGTCTTCAGTTGTTTTAAAGTCTTAATTTGTAAATGTTTTATGTGCATATTGTTGACGTGTACCTCATTGGTTTTCTTTTTGTAATTTTCTGTTTTTGTTGGGAAAAAAAACAAACTTTTTTTTGGTTAGCCATAAATTAAAAGATGAAGTTGTCAGTAAATACAATGTGACTACAGACCTTTAGGTTTGGTGGACTGTGCTGATGAAATGGTTTTTGTAAGCATTTTAAACTTCCTCTCCCTCTCCTCAGACAGTCGAAGGTACATCTCTTTCCAGGACTCATACTCCAGGAGTCTGGCATCTTTAAAGTCCCTCTGACAGTGCTTTCCCCACAGATGATCCGTTTCTCCAATATAAATCTGCAGAAGAGCACAATACAACAGCATGTCTGAAGGCTGTGGGTGCAGAATGACACTTCTATGCCAGTCTGCCCCAGGTTATCAGTAGTACCACCAGTGTAGGTGTATAAAAAAACAGTGTAAATTGAAGGTTTTCAGATTCTAGGATGTAATGACGTATGTTGTATTTTCCAATAAAATAAAATCACAAATATTGAACCTGATCATTTGTATTAGTGACTAGACACAGGAACTAGCTACATTACAACAGCTCTGTATTTTAACATAATTCATTATAGCCCCCCTCATCTGTTTTAAATATTATTGGCCTGTAGAATGTTGTGATGTGATCTGAAACTCAACAATGGATTTGAGTGACTGTATTGTCTCACTGGGTTGTATTCTTCAATGCGGAGGAGCTGCTCTGGTGTACACCTCTCCAGCACAGGCTCTAGGATCTCAAAAGGGACTCCTCCAGTTTCATACAGCACTAGGCAAAAAATACACAGTAATAGATTACCTTAAGTAAACACATAGTATATGACATAATTAAACAGAGGGCCTACACTCACAGTTTATATTGTTCTGAAGTGTGCGGATACACTGCTGGTAAAGGCTCATCATGGCTGGAAGGAAAATGGTCTTTGCACCAGAGTAGACTTGCATTTTCTTGTTAAGTCGCTGACCAGTAAAAATGGCAGATTCTTCCAAAATGTCACATGAATCGTCTTCTTTCTCTGCTTAAAAAAATTTAATAAGTATCATCTACTACCACTGGCAGTGGCTGTTAAAGGTTATTTAAAAAATCTACCTTTTCTTTTAGTTTCTACTTCAGGAAACCATGACTCTAAAGGAGGGCTCTCTGGAATTTTCAATACAGACTCTGAAGAGATCTAACAAGCAAATATGAATTGATAAAAACAGAAGATTAAAAAACAATCATGTCAAAATAACATTACAACAATATTAAACAAATGAGTTTCGGAACAGGGATGCTAAGAAAATTAGAGTACACATTACATAGAGAAAACATTTGCTTTCAGTACAAAGGTTGTAAGATTCATAAAACAAAACAAAAAAAATTAAACAAACTAATTTTAATATTATACATAATAAAGTACAAGTGTACCTTTATCGGAGAGTCCGGACATATTGGCACTGGAGAATTCTTCATTGGTTCTTTCATTAGCTCCTTCATTGGCTCCTCTGGCTTATTGTTTACAACTTTTTCTGGTTCTTTTTTAAACACTGGTTTGAATTTGGGAGGAAGTTTCTTAGGTTTGGGGCGTTCTTTCTTCTTGGACACATTTTCATCATAATTTAAGTAGGATTCAAATGACATAGTTGGCTCTTCAGCGTCATTGTTGGTAACCTTCTCTCTGTGTTTTGACTTTTTGTCTTTAGTGACTGGACTTTTCTCTTTACATTTGTGATTGTCATGTTTCTTTCTTCTCCTGTTTTGGGCCTCTGAATGCCTGACCGGGGCCTGCTCATCTTTAGGCTTTTTACGACTTGGTTCGGGAGAAATTCTTTGATCTTTGGATTTTGTCTTCTTCAGTGTTTGTTTGTCAGAGTCTCTGCCTGAAAAGTCACTCTCTTCATCAGAAAAACAATTGTATTTTTTTCTCTTGTGAGACTTTGATTTTCCTTTACCTAAAATATTCTCTGATGTGCTACTTTTGAGTGTGGTTTCATCACATGATTCATCACCGATATATATTTTTTCCTTCTTGATTAATTTGGTTTTGCTTAAAAATTCATTTGTAGATGTCCAGTGCTTTTTCTGCTCATTTGTGTCTCTATAATCTTTGCTTGTATCAAAATTAACCTTATTGATCTTTTTGTTTACAGGCTTATCTTCTTCCCTTTCATCAGTCAGACAGTTATTGTTAAAGTCATCCGTGTCTGCTTTCTCTTTGTCTGATTTGACTGTGCATGATAATTCACCTGTTGTTTTGTCATCTATTGAGGGACTGCAGAGAGAGACAGGTCAACAAGATTCACATTTACATTTCTGAGCAATAATAAAATGGTTGTGCACACCTTTTGGATCCTTTTGGCACCAGTTTCTTCCAGTCTTTCACAAGTGATTTGGCCAAGTCCCCAGCGAGTTCATGTCTGCGCAAAGAGTTAACAGTCTTTCCAATTCCAGTTTCCTGATTTGAATGGGAGAGATAATTTGGTTCATAATGGACATATACATTGATTACAATTGGTTAGTTTTCATACGGAGTTGACAGCCTCGAAAAACTTATTGAGACTCACTGCAAGAACATCCAATGTTACTTCTAGACCTTTGAGTTTCTTCAAAGTTTTTAGAATCTGAAAAATAATCATGCATAAATATAATATTTATACAGGCTGCATATATAAAAACATTTTCGAATTGTAATTAATAAAACATAACATGCCGAATATGGAAACCCTGGGACCTCCACAGTTGCTGATGGTGCATTCATTGCAGTTCTATGTATGGGAACCTCACACCCACCACTCCTTTTACTGACAACTATAAATGGACAAGGCCACTGTGGAGGTCACCTTTATTCAATGATGTTTCATAACCATACAATCTTGCACATTTGCATATTTCACCTGCAACTAGATGTGAACTTTAAAGTAGCATGATAAGTGAGAATCGTACATTTCACACAGAGTTTCCAATGCCCCGCGAAGCGCGCCTGTCACAGCTGAGGTCTCGCCTGTCGGACTCGACAAATTTAGCCGTAAAGGCCCTCCCCTTTTTAAAGCACAGTAGCTAAGGTGTTCTGAGGGGGCAGAAAGCACATGTCAGGCACTAAAGTGCACTCGAAGGTGTTATCACTGTCACTAAAGGGCCATAGGAAATCCACGGGGTTTTTGAAAGTTCAGATAACTATGAAATATTTTAATTATTTTTGTTTATTTTACTGTAATTTCTATTATTATTATTATTTATTTTTTATTTTTTGCAATTAAGACCTTGTAAACTGTTTCATAATAGGCTATTTTTAAACTACATTTTAAATAAAGAACAACTTCAGAAGGTCTCCTTCCTACTGTGTTGTTGTTGTTCTTCCCTAACAAATGGCCCTGTCTCACAGCTTGCGCTCAGCTGTGCTGGTTTATGGCTGCTGGGTTTTAAAGGAAAAGTCGGTACCTTAGCAGCCTCGTCTGTGTTTGTTAGCTGAAGTTTGTAGCGTATTATTTTGTTCACGACATCAGAGCTGCCGGCCATCACGACGGTTCACGTGCCTACACGCACAGCTGGCCGCGTGTGCGGTGATGGCCCGTGGCACACAGCGGGGGCGTGGCTACAGGGATGAATGAAAATGACAACTTTAATACTTGAATGGCACTTACTTACGCCTACACTATAAGAAAGAGGGCCAATTTATAATTCTCTTTCTGCTTCTCAAACTGAGAAAAAACAACAGTATCCGCCTGTAATGCAAAGGCCTGCAGTGCAACACACCATTCAAAAATGCAAAGCAAATATAGGCCTATTCAGTGGTTGCATATTAAAGACGTAAATGGTCCACTGATTGTAGCCTACAAAGATCAACCTGAGATTGTTTATGTTTATAAATAGTTTATAAATAGTTTAAATTCAAGTTTCTCTTATTGGTAAGAGACTTGGGCCAGAGTGATGAGTTAAAGAGAAATCTTCTTGTTATTTGCTAGGATTTCACACGCTCTGTTGACATGAAGTGTAGATGCTATTGTGGTGCACCATTTGTTGGAGGAGTGAAGCCCCTGCCCCATGCACAGAACAGTAGTTGATTGGCACTGACACCCTCAGAGGAGGAGTTAAGCGCATGTGTGTCTTCACACAGGGACTGCTGCTCTCTCTCCTGCTCCAGTAACTGGAGGCACAAGTCCCCTCTTCTCCAGCCTCAACACCATTCCTCAGGTAAGCGCAGCTGTCCTTGTATTTGGTAATCCTGTAATCTTGCAGTTTGCGTAGGATTCCAGGCTACTGTGAAATGTAAAGTCATTGTGTGACTTTGTAAAAGCTGTCAGTGCTTTTGTTATTGTATTTCATTGTGACTATTCTGTTGGGTCTGTGTGAGGACCAGTGGAATTTATGCAAATGTGTCACATTTGTGAAACTGACAGACTAAAATAAGACAACTTTAACTTACTGAGTAAACAGGGTAGAGTTTATTCACGAATTCATTTGTCTGTAGACATGAGGCCTGTTGCTCAAGCCTCAGTCTATAAAAGGAACACTAGTGGCCAGCGACCCAGAGCTGCTATTCTTGGACATACTGCTGATAAATAGTGACAGATGCATTGAGGGGTCTGATGACGGACTCAGTAGCTTTAGCATCACCTGGTAGCACACATTTGGGGAGCTGTTCCTACTGGTGTCTCAACATCTCAGACTAACTTGAATATGTGTTTGAAGAATACTGCTTCATTTAAAATCTGTTTATTGACATGAGGCAAACTGTGGCATAATACAAAGGTTTCATTTCTCTGTGAGATGCTTGCATGGTTTGGGTCATTTTCCTTTAATTTGCTTCAATTTGTTCATGCTACTTCAGGCATCCCCTCCAAAATGCAAAATCATTAATTTTATATTACATTATGAATTCGACTTCTTTTTTTATAGCCTTCCATTATACATGTATTTTTAAACATAGTCTTAATTTACCTGGAAACAGCACTGATGTTGCTTGTTGTTGTTGTAACTTGTTGTTACCACCTATGTTTAGTACCAGTCCTGAATGAATGTAAGAGTGAAGGAAGTTTGCCATGTGTGTATCAACTGTGAAGCAGGCCAATGTCCAGGGTGTACCTGTCTCATATTGCAAGATTAGCCCATTATACTAAAGGCGATAAATTGGAATAGGTAGCCAGCACTGCTTGTTGTTCAGGCCAGCCTCATGTTAGACTTATCAGAGTTCCCCATAACCCTTTTAAGCGAAACACATAAAGAATTAAAGATCACATTTGAAATGCAATTGCATCTTATTTTTTGAGTAACTAATAGGCCCGTCACAATAACAATTTTTGAGGCATGATATATTGCTAAAGAGCAATATTTAGATAAAAACTAATATTGAAAATACTTTATGCCACTGACACAAAACAATAATGCAGAATAATCCTAGTAAACCATTTTTAAAAATACTGTATTATTAAAACCCCTGAGCTGCAACAAATAAATAATAGAATGAACCAATAATTAGCCATAGAAATTATTTATTTGAGCCTCTACAGCTCAAATTTGAATTCTCTTACATAAAAATGGCAAAAAACTCTTTTGGGAAGAAATTGTACACATAATAAATATTTGCCCCAAAATATATTGTTCCAGCTTTCATTTTCAAAATAAGTTGACATAGTATTTATCGTGATAGACCTTGTAACTAACATACAGTATGTAAGCATGTTTAAAAGATAACATGATGACTAAACAGTGTTAATAAGTCTACTGTGTTCCTCTGCAGCAGCCATGGCACCCAAAAAGAGCAAAGCAGCCAAGAAGAACAAGGGAGACATCAATGAGATGACCATAATGGTGGAGGACAGTCCCATTAACAAGATCAATGGGCTCAACACTCTGCTGGAGGGGGGCAATGGCTTCAGCTGCATCTCCACTGAAGTCACTGACTCAGTGTATGCACCCAACCTGCTGGAGGGACTAAGCAACATGAGGCATGAGAGCTTTCTGTGTGATCTGACCGTTGCCACCAAGTCCAAATCCTTCGACGTGCACAAGGTTGTCATGGCATCTTGCAGTGAGTACATTCGTAACATACTGAAGAAGGATTCATCTCTTCAGAAGATTGACCTGAATGAGCTCTCCCCCGTTGGTCTGGCCACAGCCATCACATATGCATACTCCGGGAAACTCACATTGTCACTCTACGGCATCGGTAGCACGATTGCTGCGGCCAGACTGTTGCAAATCGGCACCCTTGTGAAGATGTGCAGTGATTTTCTGATGCAAGAGTTGAGTGTGGAAAATTGTATGTACGTGGCAAATATAGCTGATGCATACGAGCTCAAAGAAACGAAGGAAGCCGCTCAGAAATTCATGAGGGAGAACTTTATTGAGTTCTCAGAGATGGAGCAGTTCCTGAAGCTAACTTACGAGCAGATCAGTGACTTCCTGTCTGACGACTCTTTACAGCTCCCATCTGAGGTTACAGCTTTCCAGATTGCAATGAAGTGGTTGGACTTTGATGAGAAGAGGCTAAAGTACGCTGCTGATCTGCTGACTCACATTCGCTTTGGCACAATTTCGGCTCAAGACCTGGTGAACCATGTCCAGAACGTGCCCAGGATGATGCAGGATCCCGAGTGCCACCGCCTCCTAGTGGATGCCATGAATTATCACCTGCTGCCATACCAACAGAACATCCTCCAGTCACGCAGAACCAAAGTGAGAGGAGGGGTCAAGGTCATTTTAACTGTGGGCGGTCGCCCAGCTCTTACAGAGAAATCTCTCAGCAAAGATGTGCTCTACCGGGACGATGATAATGTGTGGAATAAACTCACAGAACTGCCAGCCAAGAGCTTTAATCAGTGTGTAGCAGTGCTGGATGGGTTCCTGTATGTAGCTGGCGGAGAGGACCAGAATGATGCAAGGAACCAAGCTAAGCATGCTGTTAGCAACTTCTGCAGGTAAGAACTTAATGTGAAAAACAAAGTCATCACAGTATTTGTATTGCTTTGTTACAGAATGTCTAAATTGTGTTTTGTAGGTATGATCCACGCTTCAACACTTGGATTCATCTGAACAACATGATCCAGAGACGTACTCACTTCAGCCTCAACACTTTCAATGGCCTGCTGTTTGCTGTGGGTGGGCGCAATGCTGATGGTGTTCAGGCCTCGGTGGAGTGCTATGTGCCTTCCTCAAACCAGTGGCAGATGAAGGCACCCATGGAGGTGCCACGCTGCTGTCATGCCAGCTCTGTTATTGATGGGAAGATTCTGGTGTCTGGAGGTTACATCAACAATGCCTACTCAAGAGCAGTGTGCTGCTACGACCCATCCACCGACAGCTGGCAGGATAAAAGCAGTCTGAGCACCCCACGAGGGTGGCACTGCGCTGCCACAGTGGGAGATCGCGCATATGTGATTGGGGGCAGTCAGCTGGGAGGGCGTGGGGAGAGGGTGGATGTTCTGGCTGTGGAGTCTTACAACCCTCACAGTGGTCAGTGGAGCTACGCTGCACCCCTGCACACAGGAGTAAGCACAGCCGGCATCTCCATCTTGAACAACAAGGTCTATCTACTCGGAGGCTGGAATGAGGGTGAGAAGAAGTACAAGAAATGCATTCAGGTTTACAACCCAGATCTAAATGAATGGACTGAAGATGACGAGCTGCCAGAGGCGACTGTTGGCATTTCGTGCTGTGTTGTTACAATCCCCACAAGGAAAACACGAGAGTCCAGAGCCAGTTCAGTGTGCTCTGCACCAGTTAGTATATAAAGGCTGTCCAAGTGAAATTCTGTTTGAGTGCCTTATGACCCATTATATTTACTACAATTACAATGTTTCAGGCGTCTGTGTTAAAGACAAAATCTTTATTTATAGACAAATATATAAACATCATAGCATCATATTTTCTCACTTTTAACAAGGGATTTGGGTCCAATTGTACAACACATTTACTACTGTATCAACATTCATTCATTCATCCATTTACATACAGGTGTATGAAAACAGCCCAGTGTATTGTGCTAATAGCTACTGTGAGTCTTTGATACTTGAACTGGAAAAGGCTGAAGGTGTTTCAAAGGTTTGAACCACCTGCCAGGAGGGTGCTTCCTGAAAGTTACCAATGGAAGCAGTGTCTCTAAACCTAGTACTGCTCAGATATAGTGTAGTACTGCAGGTATTGCTGCACAGTAAAGAGTAATGTGTTTGTCAAAAACATGAGCTGCAAGAAGAAAAGTGTTATTTAAAATATTGGTACAATGACAACTGATATATACATGACAGGAATTTTGTAAAAAATAAAAATAAAAAATACTGATGTACCTTAATTATGTTTGCTGCCTGAGCATGTGAACATGCTTATGTCTAATGTTTGTTTTTAAATTAAAGAAATGAATTGTATCTCTCTGTTGTGTGTGTTTTATTTACAAAGTGTAAGCAAAGTAACGCAAAACAAAGTGTCAGTTGAGGTTGTATGTGACAGTCATAGATTGTAGTACAGGTATGATCAGTTCAGAAATGTCAGATTATGCCAAAAAAAAAAAAAGAAAATTGCTAAAATCAACTCATTAAATTAACTTATTTGAAAAAGAACTAAATTTGGAGGACCTACCAACATCTATAATAATATTCTACAAAAAATGGTTGCACAACGAACAGTGTTGATATGTGAGTTATTTGCATGAACTCGTATTAAGTAAAAGGGTTTCTGGATCTTTTGTTTTGGTTTGCTGAGTCATTGGACTTACCTCATATAAACTTACAATCTATCAACACAAATGTTTATATGAGTAACCGTGACACATCAAATCTTGTATTAAATAGGCTATCATGAATATCATTGACAATGATAATGCAAAAAACGAAACCAATAAAAAGTGCAACTGAGTCTGATTACTTACTTGTTAAATCTTAGTCCCCTATTCTCGAAAAGCATTATGCTGTATTTAAAAGTCATTATTCATTTTATTATGGGATTAAACTATGGCATTTAACATTGCAATTATGTTTCAATGGCTTTGTAATATTCAGACTCTCTGGGGATTTTAATTGATGCTACACTACAGTAGCAGGAGAACTAGTCTACATCAGGTCAGTGATAAAAACAAGCACACTGCATTTGAAATGTATATGATTAGACGAGAACAACAATGATATATCTATATCTATATCTATATATCTATATATATCTATATCTTTCTATCTATATATGTGTGTATATATATATATATATATATATATATATATATATATATATATATATATATATATATATATATATATATATATATATATATATATATATATACATATATATATATATATAGAGAGAGAGAGAGAGATATAGATATAGATATAGATATATATTGATATGTATACAAATTACCTGTCCGAATTTACCCACCTTAATATTTGCACCTCCGCGGGGGGAGGAGCAAAGAACTGCTGAGTCACTGTGCTGATGTCATTGCGCTCCGCCTGACGCTGTCACGTGTCCAGCAGCAGGCAGCGTGCAGCGAGCAGGGCGTTTATAAATGAAGTGTAGCCCAACTCTGAGAGAAGCAGGTTGGATTGGCATAAACGATCTGTACCGGTGCACCTTGCTGTCAGTCCGTCACAGAGCGGCGTTTTATCGGCTATTGTCAAGGCTTGTGGCCATTCAAATACTCATCAAGCTTGTAAGCTCGTTAGCATTTAGCATTATCTTGTGTTGTGGCGGCTTTGCAGGGCTAACTAGGTATTAGCAGGTGATGTGCAAGGGGCCTTTTCTTTATGTTGTTGCATAGCTAAGGTTACAGACAAGGCACGCCGTTTATTCTGTTCGACTGCAGCTCGTAGAAATCTTGAAGGATCATTAGGAAATAGACTTCTACCGGCCTTCGCTGGGACTTGAAAGAAGAAGCTAACTAGCCCAGACTCGCAGACAGTTCAGAGCCTTACGTGCGATGGGTTTGCTGTCACAAGGGTCTCCACTCAACTGGGAACAAACCAAGAAGTATGCCGACCACATTAGAAAACACGGAATTATTCAGTTCCTCAACATCTACAACAAGGTCAAAGATCGTCAGAAAGATGTGCTGAAATGGGGCGATGAGGTAAGAACCAGAATAGTGTGGTGTTACTACTTTATTTTGGTTGTGAATGTGTCAGGTAAATGATGCAACAACATGACTGTATTGACAAAATAGCTCAAATGTAGCCCCTATGTAGTAATTCAACCTTTATCGAACCGTTATAACAATATATACACTATTAAAATTACTACTAGATGACAGCTTTGTCTTCTATTCTTTCAGCCCATATAGTTTATCCTATCTATAATGTCCTTGTAGAACTTAAGTCTAAAACAAACTTTTGTATGGACTTCTAATTCTGACCTTCAAGAATTCATACCACCATTTGCCCGCCAGTCCACAAACGTCACTGTGCTGCAGCTTAAACCAAGTGTTTTGATTTCGAACAATGTGGAATGCTGTTGTTATAGATTAATCCCACTTTCAGACAGGGATTACAGCAGTCAAAGTGAAGGAAACATGACTGCTGGATTGGAATTGATGTGGTGGGGTCCATACCCTGATCTTGGTATATCTTAGACCAGTTTTAGTTTTTGCTCTCTTTTAAATTATGTGTAATCAATTCTTTATCTTAAGGTAAAGGTTAATTTTCACCTTGTCTTTGCTATTTAGGTGGAGTACATGTTGATGGAGTGGGATGACAAAGATGAAAAGGTGAGGCTTGTCCTAAGAACGGCTGAAATTTTGGAAACACTCCAGCTGCAGGGGGAAAAGACAAACCCAAAGTAAGTAAGCTCTCCAAGTCACATGCTGTAATTGTTTACATCCATAATATTGGAAAAGCAATGTCTGTTAGTCTCCACAATTAAATGCAACGGTATATGGAAATAAGAGGCTTAAATAACAAGAGACTGTAACTGTTTATTTCACTCTTCTTGTTCTGTAAAGCATTTAACAAATAAACTAGACATGCCTTGCCTTGCCTTGCCTTTACTCCACATCCCACGCATAAGGGTATTATTTTTTTAAATACTAACTCAAGCACACTTTTAAAAATTAGCATTATGTGTTCCTTTGTTGTTTACCAGCGGTCTGAAAAACAGGTTTTGTTTTGCGAAACAGTTCAGTTAGTAACAATTTTAAGGCAATGTTGTTGACAGCACTCCTGCTGATGATTAATGTATTTCCATGAGCCAGGGCTAAACTTAATCTGCTGAAAATTGTACTTGTTGAACTCAGTATTTTATTTTACAGTAAATTTGTTAAGAATTTGCCTGAATTTGGCAGTGAGACTCTTAAAGCATGTCTTTTAAAATATAAGAATGCACTGCCGTACATGTGTTTATACAGGAAGATTGTGGGTGTTTTGCTTGCCCGCTGCACATGACGTTGGTTTAAATCTATGGAGCCGATTTCACACAGGGGAAATACCAGTGCCGGGGGAATAGTGGAGCTGATGCATTCCTCATTACTGCCCCTCTGTCGCACACACCAAAGAGCACACTGTGGACCTCTCATACACCCCTTTGGTTTGCTGGACCGAAGAATATGAGTGACATGTGTAAAGATTAAAGCAGGAAGTAGGCCACCACATGACAAAGATAACTGTGCTAATTAATATTATTACTGTGAAAATTTACATAATAATGATTATTACAAATTTATAATACTTCATATAGATGGATAGATATAGCGTTTTGAGTGCCTTGAAGGTGGAAAAGTTGTATATAAAAATGTGTGACCATTTATATTGCTTTATTATCCACAACACATTTTAAGGCCTTATCAGTAACAAACTGAGTGAGTCTTGTTGCAGGGTCGGACATCCTCATAACTATTTGTTTTTGTAGTCATCCGACCCTTTGGAGACCAGAGTATGGCAGTTACATGATTGAGGGGACCCCGGGACAGCCCTATGGTGGGACCATGTCAGAGTTCAACACTGTGGAGGGCAACATGGGCAAGAGGAGGCGAGAGGCGTCATCTCTTCTCAAAGACAATGAAACGCTCGCTACCATCACAGCGTTTCCGAGGTACTGCGTCTTATGTACAATTATAGTTTTTCTGTGCTCACCACACGGGTTGTACTGGCACAACCAGTATATTGTCTTAATATAAGTATTCATATCTTTTGTCTCACTGTGTAGATTAGGTTGCCCAGGTTTTACCAGACCAGAGCATGCACCAACCCCTGTAGAGAAGGGAGTATCTAAGTCACTGTTTTTCCCCGATCAAGCCATCAATGTACATCCCAGATTCAGGTGGGCCTCTTTATAAAGATGAAGCTATGAACGCATGAATGTGTGGTGAAATGATTTGTCCATCAACAACTCTTTTTTTAAAGGTCTGTAAAACATATAATTGCAACAGTTTTAATATTTTATTTGCTATATTTCAGTACTCTTACCAGAAACATACGTCACAGAAGAGGAGAGAAAGTTGTTATCAACGTGCCTAGTAAGAGACTAAGCAATGTAAAGGTGTATATTTGGATAGTTACAATATATAAATCTATATAAATCTGTGCTTTTAGTTTTTAAAGACAAGTGCACTCAGTCTCCTTTTGTGGAGGTCTTTCCTGAGGACGATGGCGAAGCTGCCCGAGCAGCTCTGCCTGATCACATCTACATGGACGCCATGGGCTTCGGGATGGGCAACTGCTGCCTGCAGGTATAGAATGGCATAACTCTGCAATCAAGACTGTTCTTATGTAAATGAGGAGTTACCTCATTTGAATGTTGTTTGTGTGAGTTTACAATCAGACTAAGTCATGTATAAATGTACTTTGCACTCTGTGTTTTGATGGTTTTATAGGTTACATTCCAAGCTTGCAGCATTGATGAGGCAAGATACCTTTATGACCAACTTGCCACTTTCTGTCCCATTGTGGTCAGTATTGCTGTTTTATATGTTAATTAATTATTTAAGTGGCTTTAAAAAGCATCAATTGAGTTTGCCGTTTTTTTTAAATTCAGTGTAATTCCCCAAATATAATTTGAGCACTTTGTTTCAGATGGCTCTGAGTGCAGCTTCACCCTTCTATAGAGGCTATGTGTCTGACATTGATTGTCGTTGGGGCATTATTTCAGCTTCAGTGGATGACAGGACAGAGGAGGAACGTGGATTAAAGGTGAGCATCCACCATAACATGGTTTCATGCATAGTCATAATTTTAGTCCTTCTTGTTAATATCTGAGTCTCTGCTGCAGCCTTTAAAAAACAACAAATACAGAATCTCAAAATCGAGGTATGACACAATTGACAGCTACCTTTCTTGCTGTGGAGAGAAGTACAATGACATTAAATTAATAATAGATGAAGAGATCTACAATCAGCTACTCAGTGCAGGTATGACTTTTTGAAGATTTGGAGATATCTGATTCCAGCACCTGATGTCACATTTCACAAACTGCTTTCCTGTTCACAGGGATTGACAAGCTGCTGGCTCAACACATTGCACACCTTTTCATCCGAGACCCACTCTCTGTGTTTGAAGAGAAAATTAACCTGGATGATGAAAATGAGTCGGATCACTTTGAGGTATGTTACTCACAAATTCTGTTTGTTTTTAGTGTTTCCTACATGTATTAAATTCATATTATGTTCTTAAAGAACCTCCAGTCAACTAATTGGCAGTCAATGAGGTTCAAGCCCCCTCCCCCTAACTCTGAAATTGGCTGGAGGGTCGAGTTTCGTCCAATGGAGGTAGAAATGCTTATATGATATTCTCATTAATATTAAAATTATATCTAAAAACATGGCCTGTATTTTTCTTTTAAGGTCCAGCTAACAGACTTCGAAAATGCTGCGTATGTGGTGTTTGTTGTGCTCCTCACAAGAGTCATCTTATCTTACAAACTGGATTTTCTAATTCCATTGTCAAAGGTGATTATCTGTTTTTTAGCACAAATCTGGCCGGAAGAGTTACACCTGCTTGTTTTGCTTGTTTTTCCAGGTGGACGAAAATATGAAGGAGGCTCAGAAGAGGAATGCAGTTAATGAGGGCATGTTTTACTTCAGAAAGGACATGTTCAAAGGTGGGCTGTTTAACAAAAGCATGTATATGTTTTGAGACATATTGTAACATTTGTATATTTCAACACACAGGCTGTAACCCAGTGCTCGATTGTGCCAGTGCTGCACAGAACGGCCTGGAGACCGACGGCACCAATGAGGAGTACACACTGATGAACATTGACACCATCATCAATGGAAAAGTGGGTGTCTGGAATATAAAGTTATTGAACTCAAAAACCAAAGTCATGACCTGATTTTCATGTGTGAAGTCGTATTTGTATAGATGTTGTATTTGTCAGGTTGTTATAAGATTTATATTTTAAATTTCCTTACTGGTAACACTTGATCCCCACATATTTGTATACAGGAAGGAGTTTTTCAAGGCCTGATACCTATTCTGAACAGCTATCTGGAAAATATGGAAGTTGACGTTGACACCAGATGCACCATTCTAAATTACCTGAAGCTTATAAAGAAACGTGCCTCAGGTAACTAAAATGCCTTTTTAAAAAGTATACCCTCAAGTGTAACGTTTTACTTTTTTAAATAGGGGAGCTGATGACCATGGCCAAGTGGATGAGGGAGTTTGTTGCCAGCCACCCCCAGTACAAGAAGGACAGTGTTATAACTGACAAGATCAACTACGACCTGATGAGAAAGTGTGACAGGATCGTCAAGGGAGAGGAGCAGTGCCCTGAGCTTTTCGGCAATCCACTCAACAGGGTCAAATAAGTTAAAATATACATAAAAATGAAAAAGAAGACCAAATATGGGGCACAGAATAACAGTGGTCCAAACACATGTGAAGTGCAAAACCTATATGTGTTATGAAGAACGTGTCTGCATAAAATGTATGTAAATATTTACTCATATCAGATTTTTAAAATTCTACAATTATTTTAATAGGGTTGGAACATGTATAAGGGTTGTGTAATAGAAATCAAATGTGTATTTATTTTTCTCTGGAAATTGAAGCCGTGTGAGAATGTACATGTAGAAAAAAAACTGTATAGTGACTGCTTTTAACCTTGTCTCTGTATATACTGTTACTCTTAATTAACATGTCACCATGTGTCTGTGTGCAAGTTTTCTTTGCATTACAATTTTTTTTTTTTATCTTTCTTTTTTCATTTTGCAAGAAGTTTGACCTGCTGACTGATTTTGTAGTGGGACCTTGAAGATGATGTTACTTTGAAGTGTGGATAAAAAAAGCTGTTTGCCAAGTGATCCTGCTTCAAATAAATTAATACAATGGAAAAATGTGTCATTACAAAGTAATTATGAACACTGTAATTTGATTCATTAATGAAATTTAAAGTTCCTTACAGTTTAAATGCGTGTCTACACTTGACTACACGCGTCACTGTTGTGGCAAGTTTTTGGCCATAAGATGGCGCTTTTTAGCTAAGCTTTCCATAGTGTTTAAGTTTATACCTTCCAAGTTTGGAGAGCTTATTAACGCATGGTGTTAATGAGTCTAAATAACTACCATTATGATTACAGATGCTGCTAAATGTTTAAAGTAGGTGCGTAATATACACCGGTCGTTGACATTTTAATTTGGACAAGTACACTCTGGGCTTGATTGGTTTTCACTAGATGTGGATATGGCAGGGCGGGCACAGGCATGCCTAAAACTGATTCAGTAGTGTTAAGACAAATGCTTTTAATTTTATTGAATTTAATTGCATGCAAATATTGTAACCATAAACTGACGTATCACGTGAGCAGGGCATGTCACCTCGTCTTCATGTAATCTGTTCAAATTCCAGTTAATATATGACAGGACCATGGCGTGTTTATCGTGTAGCCTACAGCAGTGCTCGGTCCTTGTTTATGTCACCCTTTGAGCCGTGGATCACTACATCACACCGGGTCACCTCGTGGCTGGAACCTCCTGCAGGGCATCGGGCCAGCGCGCGAGTTCCTCCCACTATTTTCCACTGAGCCACAAGGCGACACTGTGCTCAGACTGACCAGCAGCCTCCCCCGCGGTACACAGGCAGCAGGCGTGTTCCCCCGCTCTCAAGGTAAGCACCTTTATAGGACCACATCGCTTTTACCCTCTTTACCGGGTCTGCTTAACTTTGGTACGGATTTCATAGTGTTCCGCACCGCGGCGCGCTCCGTTTGGCAGAGATGCTGAAGCTGCGACTGTATGAGCTTTACGAGCACAAGCTTTACTTCACTGTGTCAGTGTATTGGCTATTAAACGATGTTTAACTTTTACTGAGTTTTCCCCCTCAGTTTCATTTAATCTGTGGCTACGTGATTATGCCTAAAACAGAGGTGGAGACTTGCAAGTCGTGACTTCGACACGATCAGATTTGAGTCACTATTTTGAGGACTTGAGACATGATTTGATCAAATGGACTAAGACTTGGGACGCGACTTGAACTTGAAAGCCAATGATCTGGACAGGACTTGAGCCTTGTGTGAACATGTCCCATCACACTTTCTTACCAGGAATGTAACAGTAACTGAGATAATGATATTGTGTCATCAAATGTCTTAAAATAAAAGTGGGGGCTGTCACAATAAATTAGATTACAAGCTCCATTGCTTAAATCCATTGTTTTGTTGCAGCAACAGCTAAAACAGGGTGAACTAGCCACATAGACCTTGATCCTTTGTCTCTGTTCAGTGCAGACTGCATGACAAAATAATTGTTATTAAGCACTTTTAAATCTTAAAAAGGGGAAAAGGTAACAACTTTTAAAACTTGCAAAACAACGACCTGATCTCACCTCTGGTGTTAACGCACACGTAGACTGATGATCTGATGGGAATTTGCCTCTTATATAACAATGTATAGACTACACTCATCAGCAGAGGGACGTGATGCTCTTCCACTCCTCTTGTTTTAACCAAACGCTCTGTCTGTTTCTAAACAGTGTAGTTATTGTTTGAAAATGACCTTAACATCAGGATGTTTTCATGTAAATGTCTATAGACTTAGGCTGTTGCACAAGTAAACGAAGTACTTACTAAATTTGATGGTTAGCTATTGCGAAATCCAGGAATACAAACTAAGAGAAAATGTACATAGGATACAAATCGAATGAGGCAGGCAGTACTTGATATGTCTTAGTCATCTAATACCTTAAGAGATCCTTAAATAATAGTTTTGATGGGACACGCATAGAGTTTGAATAAACTCCTTGTATTTTATTGGTTGAAGATTCATCTTTGCATCCTGCCATCGTTTATTCTCAAAGCCAAAGTGTCATTTGCTGCTTCTAGCTCTACACTCTGTTGTGGCTCATCCTGCTCTGACTCCTGCAGATGATATTTTGGAGTTGCATCGCTAAGCATCCACACAATAACTACTATTTATTCTTTGTCTGTGTGCATCTGTGTTACTGTAACCCACAATAAGAATATAGTCACATCATATCATATCACATTGCCAGTCAAGGTTATTTTACATTCTTGTCCAGTATACTGTCACATGTCTCAGATATCACAGTAAACCAATGGTGAAGGTTAAAGACTCAGACTGAAAGATCCTACAAAAATATAGCAGAATCCTGTCCAAAATAATTGTTGTATTGATCTTGTGACTGGCCCAAACCAAAGGGTGTTTTGTCTCTCAATGAAATGTTTGCAAAAAGTATTTGCACATTCCATAGCGGCAGCCCTGAGACAAAGTAAAACACATGATAACTGTGCTGAATATGATAACAAATTGCACTGTATCAAGCCACAGTCTGCAGGCAATCTTTGTATTTATACAGAAATTACAGTTGCGGTTAGTTGTCTTATCTTTTGTTGCATTTCTGAAATGTCTTCACTGTAAAGTTGTATTTATTATGTATCTTGTTTTTCAGGAATGGCGACATTTAATGACAACTTGAATAGTCACTTAGAGTCCTGGATTGGTCCCAAAGGTAAATCTTTTGACAATGAATGACTATGTAATAATAAAGGTGCATAGAAAACATTCTTATAACCTCAGCATCTGATCCACACAAACCTTGTTTTCACCTTCACAAGGTAGTGCAGCTGACGGCGTTAAATAGAGCTTACACACAATGCAGCAAAGTAAACACAGATGAAATACAGATAATAGGATAATAGGTTTTATACATTTACATACATTTTTGACCAATCATCATTATTTAAGTAGAACAAATGTCATAGTAACGTTTGACAAAGGTAGTTCAGTAATCATATTTTGGTAGTTAAACCGTGTGTTTGTTTGCACTTGCTTCGGTTTGGTTCTGGATTCAGCCCAATTTAGTCTTAATGGCTTTGGCCCTGTTCTAGTCCTGTTCAGTCCTGTCTACTTCTGGTCTAATACAGGTTTAGCTTTGGGTTTTGTCTGTTACTTCAGGCATGTCCCCTCAGCCCAGAAGTTCATTTGATATATTGACGTTATATTTTTGCTATTAAGAGTTATAGTTTGTCAAGAATCGTCATTATATTATATTGCTAGAGTTACTGCATCCAAATTATTTCTCCATGGATAAATAAAGTTTGTTCTAGTCATAGGAGATGGAGACCCTTGTGGTTATTCATTGCTACTGCAGTACCCTGACTACTGCAGTACCTTGAACCTTCCTTTCTAACATTTAATAGATCCGCGGGTGCGAGGATGGCTGCTGCTGGACAACTACCTCCCGACCTTTGCCTTCACAGTCCTTTACCTCCTCATCGTGTGGATGGGTCCGAAGTACATGAAGAATAGGCCGCCATTCTCCTGCAGGGGCCTTCTACTGATCTACAATGTGGGCCTGACTCTACTCTCCATCTATATGTTCTGGGAGGTAATTTAATTTCACATGTAAACTACAGCATATAAAATGAATGTACTTCCATCAAGGCATTCAAGACATCTTGTGATATCGATCAGACTCTAACCAGGAGTAAATGCTCATTGCTAGGAATCATTCATATTCAATTCCTTCTGTAATTGGTTGAAATCCTTTCCTTGTCACCTCCAACTAAAAGGAACTAGATGTAACCTGCACTCTTACAGTTTTAAAAAGATATTACAATCATAATTGAACCTGGGGTGCCAGTGTCTTAACCTGTATATATATTTTTTTTCATTCTTAGTCCAGGGACAGCTTATACTGCAGCAGTACTGATTAATATTTGGCTCCAAGTGCTGGGGTTTAGGTAGTGAAGATTCAGATCAGAGAGAGGTCTTTTAGGTTTAAACCAACTGGATTTCAGTTGGGTAGGTTATGTTGATGGAATTTAAACTAAAAATCTTGGGCTTGATAGTGTCTTTTTAAAACACCATAGAGCAACTTTAACTCCAGTTCTCACTAAAGCCACTAAAGAGTCTTGTAAGGAAGGACATTTTCCACCTAACTGTGAAAACTGCCTGTGCATACGTTTGGAGATAAGCAAGGGGTTAGTAACTATCAGCTCGTAAGGATAAGGTCTATAAGAAAATTGAATCTGGGCCACTCATTCAACACCTTATTCCAGTCAAACAGTTTACTGCTGTTTCCTTGAAGAGATTTAGTTTAGGCTAGAGAGGAGTAGTTGCAACTTCTTCACTGACTTACGCAAGGTGTTTAACACTATAAACTGCAGTAAAAATATGAGTTTGTGTTAGCATAATTTATAATAAACTGTTTTAAATCTCACCAGAGGGGGTGATGGACAGTACCTTATTCTCTCTCCAGAACTATACAGGGCTCAATATTCATTTATATGTAAACTACCTCCCCTCAAGTGTGTGACGTGAAGATAATTATGTATGCTGACAACACTGTCTTTTGTACCCCAAAAATCTGAAAAAGGGAGGAGTCAGGAGAGAGTCTTCAAAGTGCTTGTCTTGCATTAAATGCAGAAAAGACTGTTGTAGTGTATTTCATTTTAACAGACAGATTCAACTTTGAATTTTTAATATCAAACCATTTTCGTAACTCTCAAATTTAATCTCTCAAATTTTAGACACATGCAAGGGTCAGTGTATTACACAAATATTTGAACTTAATTGTCATGTCACGTTTTAGTATATACATTTAATCTGTATAATTGGGTACTTGATGTGACACCCATTTTTGCCATAATCCCTTTAAATGACTTTGTATTTTCTTCCTCCAAAATTCACCTCAGCTGTGCACAAATATGTATTTTATAAATTACATATAGTTTTTTAAATTTTTTATTTAGGAATCAGTCCCGTGAGTCCTAGTTCATAACTGTGTTTGCAAAAAGGGAAGCCTGTGTACATTATTTATTAATATCACACTTTTATCATTACTTTAACTCTAAAAAAGCTATAAGCAGTTTAATGCTTTAATCCAGAGGGCGTCTTGAGGTGTGACATGAAAAATCACAGATTTAAAAAGACAGTTACACAACAACTAGAAGGAGCTCACCTGTCATTTATGTATCAGGAAGAGCTCAAGGTTTATGGGTTTAAGATACAGAACAAATTTAATAAGTATCATATTCTTTTTTTGTAAAATCCAACTTCTCATGTGCAGGTGTTATGTCCAATGGGGTGACAGGAGTATTTCCTGAGAAAAGCACAATTCTAATAGTTAAAAATGTATTCTTTAAAATGAGACTGTTACATAATTATTAAATCAACAATATAGACGTTAGATGTTAAGTAATTTATTAGAATTTTTTAACATGCAAATTTAAAGTGAATGTCCAGCGGGTTGACAGGAGACGTCACACCACAGGGCATGTTAAAATGTCTAAAATTAAAATGGTTGCGCAAAAAAATTATGCAACGTTTGTGGAAAGACTTCTCTACAGTTGTTGTAGAACTAATTTGTTTTGGAAAATATTTTTGGGATTTTGTTACAAAAGTGTGTCACCCCGCAGGACAGAAGTTACATAGCCAGTCTGGCCCCACCCAGTGCCGCTGTTCAATTTCATTTCTCTCCAGCGACTAGGTCAGGAATCGTAATACACTAGACGGTTTGTAAAAACCCCGGAAGTGCGAGTTCAGGCACCAGCCAAACGGCGAAGAGCCATACATTCTGTGTTGTCAACAATTAACGAGATCGAGGATTTAAAGCTGGAACAAAGAGAATGTTTGGTGATTTTTATCAAACAGAAAGACATTATTGCCCTTCTTCCTACAGTATTTGGGAAAAGCTTAATATACCAGTTAACCCCATTAGCAGCGCATTACATACATCATAACCAAATAGCAGCGATTGGTTAAATTAAAAAAAGTACCCGCCTACCATCAAGCAAACGAATTCTAACACTGCAAGGTCAGATGGTTTCTACGAAGTGAAACCGGTTGATGAATCAGGCTAGCAGTTACACCCCAAACATCAAGTATCCAGTTCCAATATTTACCTGGTCAGGGACTGCAGGTGTAAATTAGCATTAATGTTATAGCCAGTATCTTTTTTGGTTAGTGTGCTGTTTTGCACTGTCCTGGTTCAATACCATAAAAAATACCATGCCATAAATATTTGCTAATCACTAATTCTGCTAGATTTATTTAATCAGCACATTAGATCAAGCACCACGTGTACCTGGATTAGATTAATCCATTTTGTCATATGAACCACTAACCTGCAACAGATGTTTGCCCTTTATAATAGTTTATAAATCCTCTTATTGGCTTTGACAAAGTGACTGGATCAGTTGGTCACTGACCTTCAACAAATCTGTACTTTTAATTTTTGATACAATTACACAATCTGCCATTTCTCAAGTCCATAATTTCACTGCCAGCATCACATTTATGGTGTAATGATGGATGTTATCTGTTATTGGTGACATGGTATATTTTTAGTGGATTCGTATCAGTTGCACAATCACAATAAAAGCCCAGTTATCAGGGTTGATGCTTCATACCATTACTTTGCACACTTTCTAACTGTCTGATTGATTTCTTTCCTTTAGCTTGCCTCTGCAGCGTGGTATGGGAGCTACAGTGTCTACTGCCAAAACACTCACAGTGCACCAGACATTATTAACATTAAAGTAAGTCTCCAAATGTTTTATTGGTCTGCAAATCACAACATACTAGATTAGATTTAATTGAAATATAGAGGCCATTAAATGTTTATTGCATTTTTGAACTGGCAGTATTACTGAAGGTAATGCCAGTAAAGAGTTCAAAGGATTTTCTATTCTTTATTTATTTATAGATGAACCGATGAATATTCTTGAGCTAAATTAACCTACAAAACCATAAATCATCATTTTGAACATTACTTTCTTTGACTTTTTAGTGTATATAATTTAATTCAAGTGAATTGTTCTCATGTCTTTTTGGAATAATGAGGTACAGTAAATTATAGTCGTGTATTTTTAGTACATTGATCTAATTGTTTGATTGAAGTTTACTTTACTGTACTCAAGTTTTCATTTCTCATTAACTTTATTAAAGCAACCATTTGGCTTTTTTTTTTTTAAAGTAAATTTAACATTGTTAATAATTTGCAGGCATGATTGCACATAGATACAGATACAGATAAATTTGCTCTTCCAAAAACACCTCTTTTGTATAATGATGCATTTTCAGTGAATGCCAATGCCTGGATCTTGGATAAAGAGTGTCTTCTTTCCTAATTTATGGCTCTGATGTGGTGCTGCCAGTACCTGTAAATCCATCAGATAAGCCTTAGAGATAGAAGGTCGATTTAATCCGACTTGTGTCATGATCAGGACTGGTCAGTCTGTAGAGGCTCACCAGAAAAATGTGCAGAGCTTTGCAGTTCTGATGTGATTAAAAGGTTTTCATTGTGTTCCTGCTATAGAAATGCCTTATGATTCAACCTGGATTTTGTGAAGACCTATTGGAGAAAAAAAAAAAAAAAAAGTAACAAACTCTAACGTAAAGGTGCAATATGAAACTTTAAAGATGGGGCTCAGTCAACGTCTTGTTTCTTTGGATTTGTCATTATTTTGCTTCAAATGTTCCACAATATGACATGAAACAGATCTACCTTATATCTATTTTATTACAGGTGATTTTATAGCTCAAAAATACCTATAAAAACAGGCATTCTGACTGTGAGCGGGCTTGCTTCTCCACAGATCTGAGTGGTAACTTGTTCTGGTTTGTTCTCCATGATGATAGAAAGATTTAATGCCATACTGTGAAATATTTCAGACATAACAATAACACCTCCTTGAAGAAAAGCAGATGATGGACTCTCCAACAGAAAAGTTACACAATGCACCTTTAACATTTAAATATTTTTGAAAAGATTTATTCTTTTTGATAATTCAATGTCTTAGCTTGCAGTACCAGTTGGCAATGTGTTAGCTACAGCGATTTAGGATAGCAATGAATATCTCCCCTCTCTTCACCCTCTTTTACACGTGCATCTGTCCTGTGAATTAAAGACTGATTAAAAAATTGTCAGGGTTGCATTTTCTTTTTAACAAATTGCACTCATTTGTGAATTTTAACTGGCAGTGCTTGTAGTTTTCTGTATTACATTAAAAGTTGCTATTTTTGTTCATTATTTATTGTTGTTTCAGGTGATGAAAGCCCTTTGGTGGTACTACTTTTCCAAGCTCATTGAGTTCATGGACACCTTTTTCTTTATTCTACGAAAGAACAACCATCAGATTACATTTCTCCACATCTACCATCATACCACCATGCTCAACATCTGGTGGTTTGTCTTGAACTGGATCCCCTGTGGCCACTGTAAGTGCTTATTATTCACATTTTATTCCACTAACCACCAATGTTGGGCCCTAGTGAGTTAAATAATTCAGGCCCTAATGCCATTAGACAGCAGTTTTAGCCATGTTTTACAGTACACAAAACAATGCTTATTGACCAGAAGTCTGCAACTAATAATGCACTGCCTTTACTTGTTGGTAGGTTCATGCATAAAACATAAACATAAAACATAAACATAGAACAGACATAATGTACCTGGACCTGTCACAATAACACATTTTGAAGAGTGATATATTGCTTAAGTAAACTTAGATGATGCATATTATATATATTATTGAATTAATATATTTAACAAATGTATGCCACTGACAATAATCCTAAAGCAGGATTGGCCAAACCAAAAACTATTCTAAATGTATAATATGGTTAAGAAAATATAATAAATAAATAGCTAATGAAACACTTAGTTATTTTGCATCTAAAAGGAATAATAGAAATTATTGAGTCAACCCCCTATGGTTTGTTGTGGATTTTTTAAACTGCTAACAATAAAAACTGGAAAAAGTTGTCTTGAATCAAAGAGTCTGTTTTATTCAGCAATTGTGCAATTACAAAAATATAGGGTAAGACCTAATCCTCATTGATGTATGATGGACACATATCTGGGTCAACAGTCAGCAATGGATGTTATAAACAAGTCAAAACCAGTTCTGGTTCAATACAAGTGGCAGATTCATAGCAAGAACTGATTACAAAGAAGATAGGAGTGATACAAATCTCACTGTAGTACAAACAGATTAAAATATCCTCTCTAGTACTAAGAAAACGTATCCATGATAAATATTAATCTCCAAAAATATTGTTAAATTTTTTCACATATTAAACAATAAGTTGTTATAGTAATTACTGCGACAGTACTTCAGTAGTTCACTACCACAGACGCTGCTTCATATGCAGGTTGTAAAGATTTAGTTTAACTTATCTATTGTCTTCCATGCTGGCAGCCTTCTTTGGAGCCACCGTGAACAGTTTTGTCCATAGTGTGATGTACTCGTACTACGGCCTGTCGTCAATACCAGCCATGCGCCCATATCTCTGGTGGAAGAAATACCTCACGCAACTGCAGCTTGTAAGTTAACTTTTTTTTTGTAATTTTAACCCCTCTCTCCACACTCAGTACAACACAACTCAAAAACTATACAAACACCACTGGGTAAACAAACATCTTCTGTCAGTCAATGCAATTTTTGATGTAATATAACTGATAAATAATTAATTTTACACATTGATTGTTAAAAGATTTATAATTTAGGTTTAGGGCTTCAAATTATTTTGGTGTTTTGTCCCACACATTCAGGTTTATCCATCTATTTTTTCCATTTTAATAGTGAAATGATGTTTTCTCCATCCATTAAAGATATTTTGAGCTGTAGATCGATATTGTCCTATACATGTCTCGGTCACCTTCTCATGCTGTGTACTTCTCATGTTTCCTGCACAGATCCAGTTCTTCCTCACTGTGGCCCAGTCCTCATTTGCAATCATCTGGCCCTGTGGTTTCCCATTGGGATGGACCTATTTTCAAATCTGCTACATGTTTACACTAATTGTATTTTTCACAAACTTTTACTTCCAAGTAAGTAGAAAAATTTAGGACTGTTGCCATAGCAATTAATAATAAAAATTTTCATTGTGACAAAGTCCTCAAAATATATACATAACATAGGAAGCTGAAACATATGAATAGATTTAAACTATAAACTCCCTGAAAAACTGACAAAAACTTTTTAGAATAGGTTTGTGAGTACTCCAAATCTATCAACAAAGGAGTTTCACTTAAATACAAAGTAAATAGATAGTAAATAGTCTATATAATTCATATATCCTGTGTACCGGTACTCTTGGTGTAGGTCTTTCAACCGTCTTAGCAGTTTTTGAAACTTGTTTTACTTGGTTTGGTTCAAACATGTATCTAAACAGAGGCACAGGTGGGCAGATCATTTGGAACATTTCTCGTAAGTTCACACACTTGACACAGCTCTCATTCAGAAACTTATATGATCTTTGAATTCAACTTGTTTTTTCAAAACAGGCCAGTGTTCTTCACCACGTAAAGGACACTGGCCCAAATACTGTCACATTCAAAATAGACATATTGAAACATGACGGCAAAAAGCAAACATGACATTTACAATGTGTAAAGTTCACACTTTTTCTCTTTTTCCCTTTGTTTTCAGACATATAAAAGACGTATTGTTTCCTCAAAGGAGCACCAAAACGGCTCTGGTGCTACAAAAGGACATGCAAATGGGACTGAGACCTACGCTCACAAGAAACTCAGGGTGGATTGATGTTTTGGAACATCTTTTACTTCCTAGCATGTATGAAGTATGAAGCTATGTATGCATTATATTTTTGCTATTTAAAGTCAATAGCTTTTAGCCAAAACATTTATAACACTTTGCACAAAGCCTCAAAGGTAGCAATGCACAATCAAATACTCTTGTCTTATACACCAGAATTTACCTCCAAGTGATGATTCAATCTCAGGATAGGGAAATATGTAAAAAGGGCAAAGATTAGACCAGTTGGTGTGTTGGCAGGTTTTGTTTACACCACACATAATGTATCCAGGGGAAAAGTGTGGTGATGGACTTTATCTCACTCCTCTGCACTGTTGTGTAATATTTAAATTGGCCAAGTGTTGAAATATGATGCAATAATATAAAACATATCCAGTGAAAAAGCAATAAACCACTAAATAATCCTCTAAACAGGTTTTCTTTGCAGTGTAAATGTTGCTGCAGCAAAACTAGAATTTCTGTTTGAATCAATAAAATCTCTCTCCATAGATCTCTAATGATTAACATAAAATGCAGCTATTCTTTTAATTAGCTATTTCAAAGTAGACATTAGACCTGCATCTAGTAATAACTGACATTATGTAACAACACATCAAGTGAAGAACGTTATGTTTGCAGATAAAAGGAATTCACTGTCATATTTGTAAGGATTAACCGAGGAGCAGTGCGTTACACTGTTTTAAATCTAGAGTCTAGAACACCACAGCGCTGTAGTTGTAGCTGTTTAATCCACTTATATCATCGTCCCACCTGAAAGTACTTTTTAAATCAGACTGTTTGGCTGTCCATGGATGTTCAAAGCATTAGTTATTTCTGTTTTAGTTGAAGCTAGTCCCTCCTAATAAAAGTAGTTCACTTGTTTAGCTGTTCACCGTTATAGTGATCCTCGGAGCGTAGTGATATAGAACAGGGATTAACTGTTGCCGAACCATAAAAAATACTGCAGGGCATTTAGTCTTAGAATTCTCATTGACCTACAAATAATTGCATATATATTGTATATTGTACTTATGCTTCAATATAATCAGGGATATTGAAACTTTATTTAGTTGATCATTTGATTCAAATATGTATCTGAAAAGCAGCTTTAAATAATTTGGAACATTTCTCATCAGTTCACACAGTTCTCAGGCTCTTTGTCAGAACACTTGACACTTCTCATTCACAAACACACATCAGAATTCAACTTGTTTTTTCAATACGGGACTGTTCTCATATGGTAAAAAACTTTGGTTTAAACTCTGTTACTTTCAATAAAGACATTTAAACATAACAGCAAAAAGCAAATATCTATGAATCCCAAAATCTATCAACAAAAGATTTCATAAAGGAGAGACATCCTACACTATATTTCGTGTGCTGTTGGTGTAAATGTCTTTGTTTTACCAGAACACATAAATTATGTAAAGCAAATGTTTATATATTTGCTAATCTGACATCTCTTCATCAGTATTTATATTTGGATAAAACGCTGTAAAATCCAGTGTAGAAAAAATTAATATGTACATGCACTGTATTTTAATTATATTTTTTTTACAAAAAAACTTTGAATATATCGATAAAAATACTCTTCTAGAACCAAATGCCTATGTGTAAAATGTGAACCCCAGTGTAAGACTGCACTAAACCAGTGATTCTGTCTCAAACTCAAACCATAACCCTGTTTGAGATTCTGTGTGAGCTGTTTTGCAAATGTCAATTTTCGATTTTTTTTCAGTTGCCTTGACACACTGCTCTAACTATATAATTCACTTTTGGCCATTGCACACGGCTTGGTGAGGAAAATGTAAGAATAATTTAGATATGTGAAAAATCCCTCAGTCGTCCAGGAAGAATCCATGGTAAAGGAGAGAAATCAATGTCAACTGGACAAAAATTTTTAGTTTGGTCAAATACGTTTCGCAGCTCATCCAAGCTGATTCTTCAGTTCTGAAGAAGTTCAAACGTATTCGACCAAACATAATTTTTTTTGTCCAGTCGACAAACTGATTTCTCTCCTTTAGTTATTGTTATTGCGGATATTCGCATTGGGTTATTATTAAAAATAAAATTCTGTTCTAATTCTATAGATAATTACTGGCAAGCACTGGTTGTATTTTTCAAACAAAGCCATAGTTACCATTTACAATATAGATCATATTTATTGTTTTAGTTTTTTTACTGGTCCCTCTATATAAACACATTGAAATAACAGTAATGTGACATGTAGTGTCATGTATATTGCTTTGTAAGATGAAACTGCGAAATAAAAAATATATATATATTTTCTGAACTTAGCTCCAGCCTGATTGTACTTTTTCACTAATAAAAACAATATATTTTCCATGCAGACTGTTTGAAAGCAGTTGTGTAAATTGATAGACTATGAACTGATTAAAAGGTGGTTAGGCGTTTGTGAGGAAAAGGTAAATAAGGCTAGAAGGCTGGATCTGTTCACCACTGTTTATTAGATGTATGCACCATTAAAGATAGAGATACTTTAAACATTCATTAATAAGATTCAAGAAATGCTAATTATTTTAGCTTTGATTGTGTAATATTTTCTGAAATCAGAAAAATAGGTTGTTTCTATAACATAAATCTAAACATATAACGTGCCAGTGTATTCCACACTGCAGTATTGAGAAGAACACAAGTGGTGAATGAACTTTGATGTAATCATTGGTGAAAGCATGAGCTTAGAGTGGCTGGTTTGAGAAAGCTGTGTAACTCTTCACTCGAGCAAAGAAAAAAGGTGTATACATCTGGTCCAGGTCAAACGCTGTCACAACGGTTTCCCCTGTCACTCTGAAAGTTTAACATTAACATTACAACATGGAAATATATAGATTAGTATTTCAGACCCCTTTCTCATCTCTTGTACCTGTATTTGATGTGGCATGAGTGATGGACCCACACCAGCTTATTAGAACACTGGCGCCCCCCAGAGGACAGCTGCAATCCTACATGGAAGCTGTGCTCTGCATCTGGCAAGGGATTTCGCCTAGAGAACCGATTCCTCGTAAACTCATTCATTTTCTACAACAAAATACAATTTAGAAGTTAACTGTTGTCACCTTTTACTACTGCCAATTTTATATGCACACTTACCTCATCTTTTTTCTTGGCAAGAACTGCAAATACTTTGGTTTGATTGTCTGTCTCCTGCGACAGACGGTAATGGCCAAGCAAAATGGCATCCAATCTGCAAAATTAAATGAAAGAAAACAAGCTGGAGTTTTTGCAACGATGCTAATGCATTATGGTCTTTAAAAGCCTACCTTGTGTTCTTGGTTTTTAGGTGAGGAACAATAGTGAGTGGGTCCTCAGGGGTGGTCATCATTATGACCTGTCCATCAGGGAAGAATCGCAGGTACCTGTACCACAAGCATTTATTTAAAATTAAGTTTATGAGATTCATATAAAGGACTTACCTGTAGTATTCAACTTGTTGCCAAGGCCTGTAAAACCCATCCAGTGACTCCTCTCCTTGACGAATATATGATGTTTTGCTGATATAGATTCCTAAAGATGAAAAAGTGTTTGGGAAAAGAGTGTTTACATATTTTGTAGTGATTTAAACCTTCTGTAAATCATTTTAAGAAGCCTAACCATCATAACGAACACGTGGCTTCTGCAGAAACATCTCTCTCCATGAGGTGTATTGTTTGGAGAGTTTTGTCTTTCCCCAGACTTTCAAACAAGCAGAGCGCCAGATCTCGGAGTCCCTAGAAAATCAAAACAGAATTAAAAAGGATGATTCTGGATTCCACACTTGTTAAGCTGCACGTCAAACCTTGCACAAATGTAAAATCCACGACAAACCAAAGACAGCTGCTCCAGAGCTCGCATGTCCAGTTCACTGGACACCACCCAACGAAATATGTACATCACAATTTCTCTTGGCAAGACTGCAGAGAAAACAAGACCTCTTTGAGACTTCAACTGAAGTTTATTTATATAGCACATTTAAAACAACTTCAGCTGACCAATGCTTCACATAAAAGTCAACAAAAACAGAAGAAACATGCAGTACATATATACATATACAGATAACACAGTACATGTGAAAACTACAATTAAACACCAAGATAACCTGACTAGCTAGTACTAAATTCCAGGGAGAAGAGGTGAGTTTTCAGTCTAGTCTTAAACAGCATTACAGACTGAGAGGATCTGACAGGAAGAGAAAGGCTGTTATACAGTCTGGGCACTGCTGCAGAAAAGGCTCAGTCAACTCTCGTCTTGAACCTAGTTTTGGGCACGACCAACTGGAGCTGGTCAGTTCATCTTAGGACTCTGGACAGAATATACAACTGCAGTAATTCCCTCAAATAGACTGGACCCATAGAGTGTAAACATTTGAACACAATAACATTTTAAATTGTACCCGATACATGAGAGGAAGCCAGTGCAGGTCACACAGCACAGGTGTCATGTGTTTTCATCTCTTAGTATTTGTCAGCAGCGTTCTGGACATGTTACAAAGAACTGCAACAGCCCATTGCACCACTTTACAGACAGCATACCTGATATGTGAGTCTGAGCCATGTCCACCTCAGGTGTGCAGAACTTTGGATAGGAGCTTTCTAGTGTGAGCTGCTGCTCAAAATATGAGAGCAAGTCCTCAATGTCACTGTCAGCATCACTCTCCTCCATCCTACAACCAAACAAACACTCACAGTCAGACAAAATGTATTTAATGGTTGCTTGCGTTTCAGTGGCTACAAATGCCCATTTCCATTAAAAAAGAGGTTTGAGATGTTAAAGACAAAACAAATTCATTAAATCTAATAGACTAACATCTTATCTGCATCAGTAGGCCGGCTGTAGTTGATTTTAGACTCAATGTCAGGCACAAGCTGCAGCGCCATGCGATAGTATTTGATGGCTGAAACATAAATTAAAGGCTTCACATGTGTTTCTCAGTGTTTTTCAAATACTAGCAGCTGGTTTATTGGATTGTTGGTACCTTCATAGACTGCTCCAATCTGCTCCTCATGAACGGCTCTTAAGAACAGCTCTGTGGCCTGAAAGCATGGGGCCCCATTGAGGTCACAACTTTTACAGACATTTGAGCCTGCATTCCCAAAAAAGACTTGCCAGAACTGGAAAGATCACTATTAATTCTCACCTTTTCCTCCAGAGCCATTTCTTGCGTCTTTTTCTGCCCCTTACTTTGCAGGTTTTTACCCCTCGCTTCAGAGCTTGGTTTAAGTTCAGACATCCACTGGACTCTGAATGCATTAAGCTCTCCCTGAACAAAACAATAAACTACATAAAGTTACTGATCAATACAGCATAACACAATCACAGAACAAGTCTTAGTGGTTAGAGGTTAGTAGAAAAAGGATACATTCATAGTACCAATAGTTCATTCACTTAATACAACTGGCAAAGCTTAAATACCAAAGTGTGCATGACATCTATATCCAAGTTAAAAATCACTCTAATATTGAATGACAAAAGTCCCACCTGAAGATCTGGGTCTTCTGAACCCTCATCTTCATCCTCCACCGTACCTCCAAAATCTGCCTCATCTTCAGCCTGTTGCAAAAAAAGTCATATCAGTGGCACAGGATTTAAGAAGTTTAGAAGGCCCTCGTCCAGACTTCCGTATAATCTACCTCGATGCTTTCAAGCCAGGAAGGATACTGTAAATAGCATGTTGCTGTATGTAACCAGTCCTCCATAGTCCAGCCTGACTACACTATGTACGGCAGACAGTGGCAAGAGTACATGCTTTACTGTAAAACAGGACCCACAAGTATCTGTAATGCCTCGGGGTATCGCAAACTAGTCGAGTGATTGCAGCTATGTTTAGTAGGACACAATCACACAGTTGAATATTCTAACCAAATGTATTCCCATGGAGCAGACCAATTGCTTATTGAATGGACACAATGGGACATGCGCTCTCATGATGATAAACAACGAGGAAACATGAAGAAGCAAAGCCACAGCTAAAAAGTAGCCATAAGAGGAGCTATCTTTAGATGCGGATGACAGGTGACGTAGGCTAACACAGCACATCAGCTAACTAGCCAGTAAGCCTGTTAGCTTATTTTGGTCAGTAAAAAACACAGTAACCCACCATGACAGCTTGGCCAGTAGTTTTTGAGTTTGCAATTCCCGGTCAAAACGTTGCGTTTACAGTTCACGGTCGGAGAAACGCACAACGCAGCCAACATATTTACGAGCTCGCAGGAACGCAGCCATTTCGCTGAGCAGCCACGAACCTCTGAAACGGGAAGTGAACCTGGAGCTTACGAAAGATAAACAAACAGGAACAGTACTTAACAGTACTGTTCGATTATTACACTAGTACGTACACTATTATAAATTACCAAAAACAAAACAAAACAAAAAAACAACACATGACATATTTACTTAAGAAGATGTTTATGGAACTATGATCATGCCATCTTATGTCAGCATCAAGTCCCTCGAGGGCGATTTGGCGAAGACGCTAGTACTAAAAAAAATCCAACTAAAACACCATACACACAAGTTTCAGCCACTCATCCGTTACCTGTAAGGTTACAGCATTTTAATTTAAATGTATTTGTATGTTTATATTTACTATTTTATTTGATTCGATTTTATTTGATTCTATTGGATTTTTTTATTTTTATTCTATTTAATTAAAATAAAGGTAATGGTATTTTATTTTATTTATTGTTATTAGTTGTATTTTTGTTTTATTCAATTTTTATTTTATTTTCATTTTATTTTAAGTTATTATTATTATTATTATTATTATTATTATTAGTAGTAGTAGTAGTAGTAGTAGTAGTATTATTATTATTGTTGTTGTTGTTGTTGTTGTTGTTATAGTTATATTTATTTATTTATTTTTATCTGAAAGCCGAGCTTTTCGTGAGCAGTGATTTTATTTTCAGGATGACATGAGCATCACTGGATGGGAGCGAATCAAAGCATCGCGAGATTTTCGTTTTGGTTTAACAGAGTCTGTAGTGTACACAGTAAATCTCCTTGTACTGGGCTAGAGCAATTAGTTAATAGAATGTGACGCCTTGGTTATGTTCTCCCGTGGATATGACACGCGTGGGGTGAGCATGAGCTGTTTATATGATTTTATTTGTGTTTTACGTGTCGAGAGACCTACTGCGTCTGTCCAACTGTGTAAGCCGTGTATTGTTTTGTAGCTGCTGGGCCAAACGGCACTGAGATTTTTATTTTGTACAATATCGTAACAGAAGATGCATGCGTTTATAAATAGGCCAGAAGATTTACAAATGAACGCTATTTCTTTTATTTCCATTCAATACAGTGGTAAGCGGTATTTAACCACAAGAGTGTCCGACTCTTTAGTGGCTTCCTGCCAGTATTAACACATAGATGGCCTACTAATATATTAATAGCTTGGGGTATGCTAGCATTTGGGAAGCATGTTTCGATATACTGGGTATCAGGATTCTGATATGTTTAATATGTATTTTTCAGGTAGTAAGAAACAGTCCAATGGGTCCTACAGCTCTGCCTGAAGTGTTCTGTTGTTGCCACAGGAAAATCTGGCTGCATTCAGCAACAGGAGCACAGCACTTCCCAATTTCACATCCAGCTGATGGTGATATGGAAAACCACTCACAATGAACCAATACAGTAACATCAGACAGCTTGGAGATGGCACCTATGGCTCGGTCATCCTCGGCCGGAGTCTGGAATCTGGAGAACTTGTAGCCATTAAAAAGTAAGTGGGTCTATGAGAACAAAGCAGCAAAACTGGGTTTCAGAGTTATGAAAATCTTGCACTGTTGCCATACCAACAGTTCCGAACAAAATTTATATTTTGAATGGGCAAAAGTCCTGAAATTATCACATGTAAACCATAAAACCCATGAATAGAAGGACACATCAGTTGGCAAACTACCTCAAATTTTAGAAAAATTTTTAAAAAACTCAATACCAACTGCAAAGAATACCTAGTACCCCCACAAAGTCTAGATTTCTTTGTGATAAAAATCTGACTTTTTATAATTCATGTGGTATCAATAACATTCTCTAAATAAGACAGGGTCCTATTAATATACTGTGCAGGACAATCAAAAGAGGAACACGTGCTCAAACACATATTGTTATATAACATGCCATATTGTTTACACCAATATTTCATGTGGTTGTTTAATATTTTATTTTTATTTCTTCCAGGATGAAAAGAAAGTTTTACTCTTGGGAAGAATGCATGAACCTTAGAGAGGTCAAGGTAAACTACTTATTAGTACTATATTATTTCTAACACAGACTCAGTAATTAAGCTGTGATTTTGATTAAGTTCAGCCTTATGTCATGTCCATTTTATTCTTATATTATAATGTTGCTCTAAATTTCCTCACAGCGAAAAGTCACACAGCTGAGTCACTAAAAGTAGAAGGTGATTTTTATGTGCTGTTGGCTCCCTGACCCAGGCACCCATTTTCCATTAGATACGGCAGATTAACTAAAGTGGCCACCTATACCCCAGCAAATATGTAGACTGCGAATAAGCATGTAATAAAGGCTTCGTTAATTTATTATTTCAGCAAATTCTCATATTTGGCATGAAAAACAGTATTATGCCACTGCATGAGAAATCTATATCTACCCAATCAATTAGTCTACAAGTGCATTCCTTCATAAAATCTATGCTGTTCCCTTGGCAAAATTTTGTGCATAAATGAATATTTTGAAGCTTTTATTAAATAATTGTCTGGACCTGCTTCTGAATCCCCTGCAGTGACCCATGTGTTTTCTCTTCCAGCATGATTAGTTTGCCTATGAATAAATTGTACTACTTTATTATACGCATGCTAATTGTATCTGCTTGTTTCCAGTCCTTGAAGAAACTTAACCATGCAAATGTAATCAAACTTAAGGAGGTAATCCGGGAAAATGACCACCTGTACTTTATATTTGAGTACATGAAGGAGAATTTATATCAGCTGATGAAAGACAGGTCCATATGAACTTCCAAAGAGTATCATTCACATTCAGTTTTATTCCTACACTGATTTTTTTTTTACTGTGATTTTTGTAGGACTCGACTGTTTCCTGAGTCTGCTGTAAGAAATATAATGTTCCAGATACTACAGGGTCTTGCATTTATTCATAAACACGGTTAGTACAGAATGTGATGTAACTTCTGTCACTGATCTATTTGTGTGTATTTATTTCATGCATGGATTTTGTTTTACTCGTCTTTCAGGGTTTTTTCACAGAGACATGAAACCTGAGAATCTTCTATGTATGGGCCCTGAGTTGGTTAAAATTGCTGACTTTGGTCTTGCACGGGAGATTCGTTCTCGTCCCCCATACACTGATTATGTATCAACAAGATGGTGAGTTATGATCAGATAAGACGTTTTTTAAACGCTTAGTTCAATTTCATCCCTACTAACCGCCAGAGGCGGTGCTTCAAGCACTGGATGATCATCCTTGCGCATGCGCAGGTCGAGAAATTAGTAACAACAAAGTCACCCTTGACCGCCGGTGGCTCAGGTGAATCTATATAATCACGTGACACCGGAAGCTCAGTCCCTTTTCACCTTCTCGCACGCAGGTTGCATGGTGGATGGGTTGCAAAGCCTTTTGCTATTTCCACTTATTTTTTTTGTTATCGCTGCTTGTCGCGTGTAGCCCCGTGACTGTACAACAGTCGGTGCTGCGAGTTCCCTCGCCCTCCTGGGGCTGCACAAGCAGTGGATCGGCCTACTGGTGTCCGTTGTGGAGGTAGGCTGCTCTTATTTACATTGGTTTCGCCGTAGCTACACGCTCGGTAGATTTACGTTGCTGTTTTGACATAGCCGCTTTCGGCTTGTGTTTGGTTTCCAACTTAACTCTGATTCATTGTTTTTTGTTTTGTTTTGTTTTTTCGGATTCGCCGCGTTCGGCTAGTTCCTTCACTTTGTTTTGTAGCCGTATATTGGCGCGGCTACTACATTATTGATTAATACTGTCACTGAATAGCCGCATGCGCTTTATTCTTCGTGATTATTGCCAGTACAATTGATCGGCGTGGGTCTCTAGTGGCGTTTCCTGCTCGACCAGACCCTAATACTGAGCATCTGGTTTAGGATATGGCGTTGTTGGCGGGCCACTAGTGGCGTTCCCTGCTCGACCTGACCCGGCCTCGTCTTCACTGGTACACGCTGGATTATTGCTGAGTCGCTAGTGGCGTTTTCTGCTCGACACGACTCCAGCTTACGGACTTCTGGACTTCTACCTTATATTGGGCAGCGTTACGCCGCTGCAATGCTAGAGTCTTTATGTTGTCAGTCCTGTCTGGCTCCACTACAGCCTGATGATGGGCATGACCTGTGTCCCGCCTGCCTAGGGGAAGAACATCTGCAGGAGGCCCTCACTGAGGATGCATGTTCTAACTGCAGTATTTTGTCCCGGCCTGTACGTTTGGACCGTTTGACTGCATTCCGGGAGCCTTCTTTCTGGATGATTCCGCGGGAACTTCGGACCTCCTACCGGCTGGCCAGCCTCTTAATCGCAAGTGACATTCAACTGGGGAGGAATGTGTTCCACGTAAGAAGCCCAAGAAGAGGGTTCCGGGGAAGCTGTCTGCTAAGGTGGATACATTGTCATCTGAATTGGCACAAATGCAGGCCTTAATTCAGGACCTTCAAGCGGATGCCAGCCGTGTGGTGGCTCCCCAACAACGGCAGGATGTGGCCTCGGTCTGTGATGATGCCATGTCTGTAGCGGCCTCTGACACCCATTTTCAACTGGGATGTGATGACCTGAGTTCTAAAGTCTTAGACTCAGGGTCCCTACGCTCTACCTGTTCTCAGGCTGGGAGCGATGAGTCTGTCACTGCAGCGATACGCACAGCTCTTGGCCGTTTAAAACTGGATGTGCCATTGACTGAAACGGCTCCTTGTAGTGCCTTCTTTCGCCGGCAGTCTGCCACTTCTCACTTTACAGTTCCTCCCTCGGCAGAGTATGTAAAGGAACTTCATGCCTGTTGGACAGATACTAAGGTACTCACAAGGCCTACTTCAGATTGTCGGGCATTGGCAGCGATGCAGGATCCGCACAAGTTTGGTCTGGGACACATGCCAGCAGTGGAGCCGGCCATTGCTTCACTTATTGTTCCCCCTGAAGAGACACTAATGCCCGGTGTGCGTGACCACAATGCCGTGTTACAGACGATCTGCTCTGTAAGGCATACGATATGGGAGCCCGCATGGGTCGAATTGGGAATTCTCTGTCCCATCTGCTGCTTGGCCTGTCTGTTTCATTGGAGGCTGTTCCGGTGGACCAGCCTACGCAAGGACTTTTCGATGCATCCTTGCAAGCTTTCGCCCTCATGTCGTGGGAACTTGGGCGTCTCTTGTCAACATTAGTTCAAGCCCGGCGTCAGGTCTGGTTGGCACAGTCCCCTCTCTCGGAACCCAGTCGGCGAACATTACGGGGTGTTCTTGTTCTCCCAGGAGAGTTGTTTGGCTCCGCTGCCCTGGAAGCCTTGGAACGTACGGCACAGGCTATTCGCACAAGACAACAGTTTGCAGGGCTTCATAGACAAGCCCCTCATCGGACAACCCCGGTCGCCCCTCCTCCTTCTTCTCAGAGGTATCCAATGCAGCCCCACTCCGTTGCTGTACCTCGTGGTTCGGATGCTGGGACTGCTCCACGGGCCCAGACCCGCGACTCCCACCCTCCTTGGTCTCTCCAGCCCAGGCGCCGCCCCCCCAAGCCCTGCAAGGGCCAGGGGGCAACCAGGTGAAGCTGTGATACCGGCGGTGGGATATTTTGCCCCGGAACAATTTGATTACTGGGCCACCCGCAGCCCGGATACCTGGGTTGTGGCTACTTTGTCCCGGGGATATCAACTACAGTTCCGCCGCCGGCCGCGTGTTCCTGGTCAAGTCAAGATCACGATTATCCAGGACGCAATAAAGGCACAGACACTGGCTCAGGAAATACATACCTTGCTGGACAATGGCGCGATAGTTCCTGTGGACCCCCTGCTGGATCCGGGGGGCTTTTATTCTCGTTATTTCCTGGTACCAAAGAAGACGGGCGATCTGCGTCCAGTCTTGGACCTCAGGGGTCTGAACATGATGATCATTCAAGATCATTCAAGATGTTGGGTGTCAGGCAGGTCCTTCAAGCAATACTCCCTGGGGATTAGTTCACATCCATGGACCTGAAGGATGCCTATTTTCATGTCCCCATTGCTCCTCACCATTGGAGGTTTTTTCGCTTTGCTTTTCGAGGGGAGCACTTCCAATTCAGGGTCCTTCCATTCGGCCTATCTCTATTCCCTCGCGTGTTCCGCTGCCCTGTCCCCCCTGCACGTCCAGGGGTTAAGCATTCTGCCCTATCTGGACGATTGGCTCATCTGTGCTCCCACCCACATTCAGGTCCTTCAGGATACGCAGACACTGCTCAGGCACGTGAGCAGATTGGGTCTACAAGTGAACATGGTGAAGAGTTGTTTTTGTTACCATTGCAGGTGACCACCTTTCTCAGGATGGTTCTCGACTCACGGACAATGACTGCACGTCCTTCACCCAAGCGGATAAGGGACATTCTAGAAACGCTCTCGGAATTTCAATGTGGGAGGGCACTCCCTTACGTGAAGTTCCTCAGGATCCTTGGCAAACTGACAGCTGCCTCAGCTGTGGTTCCCCTGGGGCTCCTTTCCTTGCGCCCTCTTCAAAGGTGGCTCAATGGCCTACACCTGGACCCCGCGTGTCATGCCCACAGAAGGCGACGACTGCTTGTCACCTCTCAATGCATGGCATCCCTGTCTCAGTGGAGGAACGAGGAATTCATGTTGCACGGCGACAGAGGGCAGGACCCAGTCTGCTGCCGTGTTTCCATGGTTCTTACTTTCCTGCAGGAGTTGTTGAATCAGGGACGTACGCCGTCTACGCTAAAGGTATATGTTGCTGCCATTAACTGCTGGCATGCAGGACGGAATGGCTCTAATGTTGGTCGTAACCAGGATATTTTGGTGTTTCTGAAAGGTGCTCGCCGCTTGTGTCCACCCAACCGCCCTGTTGTCTCGATGTGGGATCTTTCTCTTGTGCTCGAGGCCCTGCAGGCTCCTCCATTTGAGCCACTTGCACAGATCGACCTTAAGTGGCTTTCGATGAAGACTGCGTTCCTGTTGGCCATGGCTTCCGCTAAACGGGTGAGTGAGCTACATGCGCTGTCTGTTCACGAATCCTGTTGCTGCTGGCATCCTGATGGCTCTGGGGTTTCCCTTTGGCCTGATGCAACTTTTGTTCCGAAGGTGCGTTCGTCTACACAGCACACTCTGCCACTACAGCTTTCCCGTTTTGAGGCAGGAACTCCTGAGGAATTGCTGTGTCCCGTACGTGCACTCCAGGCATATGTTCACTCCACAGCTTCTGTACGGAGGTCGGATAGCCTGTTTGTCTGTTTTGCTGGCTCGCGTAGAGGTCTGGCCCTTTCAAAACAGAGCCTCGCGCACTGGATTGTGGGAGTCATAACAAAAGCATATGCTTTACAGGGGAAGTCGTTGCCTCTGGGGTCCGGTGTCACCCCACGAGGGGCCTCTCGACATCATGTGTCTGTCCATGGTGTGCTGTTAGATGTCATTTGTTCGACAGCTTCCTGGACCTCCCTCAACACTTTCGCAAGATTCTACAGGGTGAACGTAGCTTCCCCACACCCACTGGAGGGGGTCCTCCGGCGACACTCCTACATCACAGTGAGGTATGGTTTCTCTTAAGTTGACGATTCCTTGTGACCTTGCTGGTATTCATCATCTAGTGCTTGAAGCACCACCTCTGGCGGTCAGTAGGGATGAAATAGAACGATAGTTACGACTGTAACTGCGGTTCTATGAATCCCGGATGACCGCCAGAGTGCCCGGTCCCTCAGAATCCTCGTGCTTTCACGAGAAGGATTGAGGGACTGAGCTTCCGGTGTCACGTGATTATATAGACTCACCTGAGCCACTGGAGGTCAAGGGTGAATTTGTTGTTACTAAATTCTCGACCTGCGCATGCGCAAGGATGATCATCCAGTGCTTGAAGCACCGCCTCTGGTGGTCATCCGGGATTCATAGAACCGCAGTTACAGTCGTAACTATCGAAATTTAATGTCTGTTCTGTCCACTGTGAATAGGTACAGGGCTCCTGAAGTGCTCCTCAGATCAACATCTTACAACTCACCCATTGACCAGTGGGCAGTTGGTTGCATTATGGCTGAGCTATATACCCTTCGACCTCTTTTTCCTGGTTCCAGCGAAGTAGACACCATTTTTAAGATTTGCCAAGTCCTGGGTACACCGAAGAAGGTATGTGTTTTAGCATATATAGCGTTGGTAAAGTAAATTTCTGTTGTGTGCTGGTCCCATTCAGTTTAATGTCTCTTTTTGTGTGTTTCAATTTAACAAAACTTTTCTTTTCCTTAGAATGATTGGCCTGAGGGGTATCTTCTAGCAAATGCCATGAATTTCCGTTGGCCACAGTGTATTCCAAGCAGTCTGAAAACACTCATTCCCAATGCCAGTCCAGAGGCTATCCATTTAATGTCAGACTTACTCCAGTGGGACCCTAAGAAGAGACCAGCCTCAGCACAGGTGTTCATTCATTTACGTAGAGACCAAGGCATTATGCAAAGATGTGTTAACACATGTTGTCTGTACTCAAGGCTCTCAGGTATTCCTATTTCCATGTGGGCCAGGCTTTGGGAACTCCTCAACAAATCTTAGAGCAGGGTAGACCCCAGCCGAACCTTGTGCCAATGGAGCCCCCATTACAGGCTCACACAGTGATGCAGCAGCCCCTGCTCCTCAAGCCTGTGCCCCCCTCACAGCCCCCTCCAAACCAGCACTGCTCCTCCAGACCCCTGCAGCAGGTCCAGCCCTCCCCTGTATCTGCCGCTGCTCAGGCTGCCATTTACCAACGGCACACAGATCTGCTCCGTGAGCAGTCTAAGCACATCCTGAACCCAGAGCCAACACAGGGCACAGCACAAAGTCACCTCCCCTTCATTGTGGACAAGGGACCTCAGACCAAGGTGTGACTCAAACATCATTATCAAACATCTCCATGGAGTGACTTTCACTCAAGTTGACGGGCCTGCATTATTTCTGTTTTTGTACAGACAAGGGAGCAATCAGAGAACACGAATTTACCAAATTACCATCTGAAACCCAAGGGAGGTCGTCGCCGGTGGGGCCACAGCACAGGACAGCATAAAGGGGATGAGTGGGAGGACTCTGAAGACATTGACTTGTCTTTAAGTGTTCTTGGAAAATCTAACTTCTCCACAGAAAAGTCTAGACACGGAGATAGTGCCCTCCCCAGGTGATGCTTTAAAAACATTTATTAAGATTTCAGTTTCATGAATGTATTATTATAATTTTTTTTTTTAATAGATACAGCAATGCTCTGGATTATAGTCGTCCTAAAGTGCAGGATGATGGTCCTTTGAATTTAAACAAAACCGCAAACTACCAGGAACCTTCAAGAACTGCCTCTGCCAAACAGCATTACTTGAGACAGTCAAGATATTTACCTGGTAAATGATTCAGTACCTAATGGTTGTGTCTTACAGTGCTATTGGATTCTAAGACTACATGTTGATTTTTTTTTTTAGGAATTGCTACAAAAAAGAATGTGTCTCTAAATGCAAGTAAAGACTTCAGTAATAGCCATCTTTGGGGAAACGGCACCATCCCATTTGGTGGCACTTTACCAAGCCGAGGTGCTCATGGTAAGACCACACCTTGAATTTTACTCATGAAGTTTTTATCATTTCATAATGACTTGCAGTGAATATTTATCATAGTTAGTTAGTCAAGTGGCAGTTTGTGAAAAATATTAACCATATATTCACCAACAGTGTCTGTTTTTGTAAAATCTTCATTTTACTGTAATAAGCAGAGTAGTTTAACCTGCTGTGTGCACTTTTACTGGTCTACATTTTTAATTATATATCTCATTTAGGTACGAACACAATACCAGGAGGATATTTGCCATCTTTTTACAAAAAAGATATTGGTTCTCCAGGTCAAAGAGGGCCTCAGGTTTCATTGGTAGAATCAACAACATCAAGTGAGGATTTTGCAAGAACACTGAATAATTTTTGGTGTTTCAGTTGTAATTACACATTGTCTGTCATTTATTATAGATTATGCAACTTGGCGGTCTGGGCGCAGTCATTTGAGCAGTAACATCTCATTGCCCACCAAGAGCACACTGGGTACGCTGCCTCGTGCACCAGTTCAGTCTATCCATGGACGCACGGACTGGTCTGCCAAATATGGACACCGCTAGTTGCCTCTTTGGGGCTCTGAACTTTGCTCCTCACATGGTTATGGCACTACTAAAGAACGCCTTTACCCCCAAAGAGTAGGTTTAGTGGTTTTGTGTACATACATCTTAGCACAGCAATAAATCTGTTTCATTGTATGTACTGTGGATGTTGTGAGTTATAATATAAAGGAACATTTTGTGTATGACAAAATGCAACCAGCCAAAAACTTAAACCTAATTGCTCTTCAAATGTTTTTTTCTTTTCTACTAAAATGTAAAATAAGTATTGCCTCTGGTTAAATTTGTATCTTTTATTAGTATCATAATGCAGTGCAAAATGCGAACTGAGGCTCTATGTGCAAAAATGTCCTAGAATTTAAAAAAATTTCACTCATTTGACTGAACTGATTTTAGTGAAATTTGAATCTTGTTAAACTCCCTGCCCTAAAGCCACTTAATGTGCAAAAATGGTTAGCGCCCCCTACAGATTGAAACAAAATTTAATATTTTTGTTGTTGGAAAATTTCTGAAAATTTGCACAAAATTAAGTTTGGAATCACAATTAAAAGTCAATGTAACTCATGCCATTTAAAAAAAAAAATTTTTTATACATCTGTAGCAATGACCAAAACACATTTTATTCCAAATAGTAAAATAGCCAAATCTCAACAGTTTTTATTTTTTTCACAAACTCCTCCTTTGGTGTTTATCAAAATAGTCTCAGATTTGAAGGAATCTAGAGGATTGGGGCATCAAACTTTATCAAAAGTGTTTGTACATGTACTACAGTGCCCCCATTTGTGTAGCAAACTTTGCAGTGAGTGTAATATAAAGAGCGAAATTGAAGACCCTCCTCGTGCACGACTGAGCAGTGGCATAGGTGAGGGCCAGGGCTGATCATTGTATTACAATTATTTGAATGTTGCACCAAACTATAAAACAATATGCATTCTATCATGAGGAAAACGTAACTGTGAGATGTTTTGGCTGCAATTCTGTTACTGTAAAATATTGTTTTTATAATGATTTTTTTTTTTTTTTTTAATAACTAGTCTTGTTAATTGGAAAATGTATTTGTTTTATTTTAATGGAAGTGTTCTATTTTATAGTAATGCTGATTGTTGCCATACATTTCAGTATGCAGGCTAATTAATTGATTTATTTGATTGCACTCCATTTGCCAGAGATGCAAGTTGCCAGTATCTTTAAATGGCTACAGTATTGTCATTTATTGCTTTATTTTTTTTAATGCAGCTTAAAAATAAAGACAATATTAAAAGAATCATCTTGTCTAGCATTCAATAAATAATCAACAGAATACATAATTACAAAATACAACCAAAAAAAGGAAGGCAGACTGCCACGTGCAGCGCCGCATTTGGATGTGTCTGAAGCTTGGAGCTTGACTTCCCTACGTTTCTCCTACAAATGGGCCTTGAGCTTGTTTGGAGGTTCTAGCAGGGGAGCGCAGCTACTGGTATACCGACGATGGTGCTCGTCCGCCGGGGGGAGCTCGTCCTCTTCCACCGAGCGCGGAGCATCGGGAGGGACACACATGGAGCGGTGAGGGAGGAAGGGGACACCCGCCTAGCCAGCCAGATCAGCCGAATCAACCCTAGCGATCGATGGGGTGACAGATGTCGCAGCCAGATCGCCCTCACATCCACTTTACACAAGAAGAGCACAAACTTTATATAGTGCTGCAATGTACTACGATCCTCAGTCAGAGTAAAATCTCCCATGCTCCTTTGCTGTATGCATAAGCGATGTTACTAACCAATGAAAATCATGAGTGTTGCGACGTGGTGCAACCACAGACCTCGGCAGTGACCGCGCTTACCCAATAGATTCATGCCGCCCACCCTCGGTGGGCTCCATTCTGGATGCTTTTTTATTTTTGTACAATACCATCAGGTTACATACAAAAATATAGTCAGTATTCTCCCTTAAACACTGCAAAACAAACAAACAAACAAACAAAAAACAACAAAACAAAAAGTCTAAAAGGCTCAATTAAGGATTCAAAATCAAGTGCTTTTAACTGGATGCACCACAGGAGACTGGGCCACAGGCACTTTATTCCTTGTTTCGACTAAACCAGCTACCATGGACAGAGTAACATAGATGGACACTCAACATGTAGTCATTCATATGAGACTTGTCCGCATATCTTTCTCTTTCTTGTCTTTTTACAACCTTCGCAAGTTAACGAGGAAATTGAGCTATGCGGAGATGTCCTGAGCTCCTGGAGCATAGTATATACAGGAAAATGACCGTGTGCTTGTCATAGATCCATAACTTTTAAACACTTGGCCCCTCTATTCTGCCCTACAAAGGCAGAATGTCGCAACAACATGTTTGGTCAAAAATTTGTTAATGTTGTTGTTGTTGTTGTTGTTATTGTTGTTAGTTAATTTTGGGGATATCTGAGATCTCCTTTATCATGTGAATAAATATTGTGAAAAATATTGAGCTCAAAATTGACCAGTGACCCTTATTTGGCAGTTCCTGTACAAAGGCAAAATGCTGTAACAGTGTATGTTTTGTTTGTGATTTAGTTATTAAATGTGTTTTATTTTAAAATCCAACCTCTCACTTCCTTTTTGGTGCGGCCTTGGCACAGGGCCTTAATATTTCTTTGAATTTAATTATATTTATATTATCTTTAATGTGAAAATATTTTGTTTTTCTATTCATACTGTGCATACTATACTGAAAAGTAACTTGTCTGTCAGATTGTTTCACTGTACAGGTGTTGTCACTATCCTGATCAGCACTAAACAGGAAATCCAAAGCTCTTCTATATCATTTCAAACAAACACCATGATGACTCGACCTTGGTCAGATGATCGTATAATGAATGTAAGTCTGGTAAAAAAATAAATAAATAAAAAATCAAGCAAATAATGATAATGTCAGTTACTGCCTATTGCAGCTGCACTACTCCTTACTTTTGGCACATGATACAAAGGCAGAGCACAGGAACTGCAAAATAAGGATCAAAGGTTAAGTTTGAGCATACAAATATTTGTTCATTTTAGCAACTAGTTGTGAAATTTTGGGAGCCCTACTTATTATACTTTTGTTTAGACGCAACAGAAACTTTGAAGTAATTTTTCTCAGTTTCACAATATGGCGAGTTAAGGTCTTTTGCCTTTGTAGGGGCAGTATCCTCCTCCTCGTGTCTGCGGTGTGCACTTTTTGTTTTTGAGTCCAAATAATTTCCCTTGTGGATAAATAAAGTTTGTATTCGTCTAAGGAGTGCATACGCACCCAGATGACCTCGATGCCTTTACCACGCCCAAATCAGACCAAAGCAGTAAAACAAGTCTGAGCAACAGCCTCTTGCACCAGTCACCAGTTTGGGGGTGTTTCTCCAGTCCTCTCAAACAAACCTTACTGATTTACCCTCGCGAAGGTTTGTAAACGCGCCCTAATCTTTTCAACTTGAAACAAACCTGTCTTTTTGTATCTGTTTTTCTATTATTATTATTATTATTTATTTATTTATTTTTTTAGGATTTTACCTACTTCTTATCTCCTGCATAAAACAATTCAAAACATGTCTGATAAAGTAGTACTATACTATTTCAATGGAAGGGGGAAAATGGAGTCAATCCGCTGGCTTCTAACGGTGGCCAAAGTTGAGGTAAGTTTTTATTTTTACGCTTAAAACTTGATACATGTAGATTAGTGTTCATTTCCTCTCTTTTTTGCAGTTTGAGGAGGTTTTTCTCACAACCCGTGATCAATATCTAAAACTTCTCGAAGGTAAGCAACCTCGGAGAACATATGCCCTGTACCCTGTATACAGTTTAATAGTTTACAACATTTGGCAGCGTTTAATGAATAGCACTACCCACCTACACTTCTAATCTAGGTTATTCATTGTCAGTACAAGCCATGCTCTTTCTGTTCTTCACAGATGGAGCGCTCATGTTTCAGCAGGTTCCTCTTGTTGAAATGGATGGCATGAAACTCATCCAAACAAAAGCGATACTGCAATACATGGCAGAGAAGTACAATCTTCATGGGAATGATCTCAAAGAGAAAGTCATGTATGCAGCTACAACATATTATAATATTGATACACTTCTGTTTTAAACGAAACTTTTTTGTAGGGTCAACATGTATGCAGAGGGATTAATGGACCTTATGGAGATGATTATGATTCTGCCATTTTCTTCAGACGCCTCCCAAAAACTTGACAACATTGAAAAAAAGTCCAAAGAGCGTTACCTGCCTGTGTTTGAAAAGGTTGTGTGTCAAATTATAATCCTCTAAAATGTTAAGAAAACAGCAACAAGAGCATATGCAGAAATAAACAACTAAAATACAAATACTAAAATACACCACTGTCCAAGTACAATATTATATGGCTACAAAACTATTATGCATTGAATGATTACATTATATCAGATTAATGTACTACTTCAAATCCCAGGCACTGTCAGGACAGACCTACTTGGTTGGAGGAAAACTGACCTATGCTGATGTGCTGTTGCTGGAATGCTCACTGATGCTGGAGGAGAAATTTTCACAGATCCTCTCCAACTTCCCCAACATTAAGGTGAAAAAAACGTTCAAATTTAGCTCAATGTACTCAAATGCAAGTTCACATGTTGTATATCTACTGTTCCAGGCTTTTCAGGAGAGGCTGACTAAAACTGAAGCTGTTAGCAGGTTTCTGAAGCCTGGTAGTCAGAGGAAGTCACAACCTGATGACAACTATGTGAAGACTGTTATGGAAGTGTTTGCTCTCTCCAAATTATCACTTTAAAAGATTTTTACTTAATGGCTGCTCCACACTATAATTCACAAACAACATTGAAATTATTATATGCTTTGTAAATATAAATACAAATAAAGCATAATTAAAAACAGTTGCCTTATCAGTGTCCATTGTCTTTATATAAAAATCATTTATTTAATATTTCTGTATTACAACATTTATTATTAAAAACAATGTCAACCTGGGGAAAAAAAAACAATAACTTGCTGTCTAAGTAGTGCATAGGCTTCCTTTCACTGCATGTTTCAACCCTGTTGGTCACATATTTAAAATGAAATGCTTTTGGCGGAATGGTTTCTTTTTCTCAAGATGGCCTGTACAGATATGAAGCCTTCACTCCAGCCTTTTTCTGGTCAAATGATGATAAGAAGCAGCAATCGAAACACCATGAATAAACTGTGGAAAAATAAAAACACAAATGAGAATTACATGTTTTGGTTTATGGATGGACAATAATAATATCTGCAGCTTTGTTGTACATTATAGCATGAGCCTGACCTCAGACCTGCCATTATACCAGCAGGCATTAATTTCCCTGATTTCTTGTATCTCATTCCCATCACGATCGAGAGAAGCCCAGAAGACACTAAAACATAATTAAAACACATTGAGATTTTTTTTTTCTTTTGGTTAATTTTAACACGTTTTTCTAACCCAGCAGAATCTTGATATCCTTGGGGTCATTGGAGAGGTTGAAAGCACCATATGCAGACAGTCCACCAAACACCAGACCAGCCATCAGCGACATTACACTTCCTGCACATGAGAGAAGGTTAAACATCAGGATAAACTCAAATGAACTATTGCGTTATGAGAAACACTGCCACCTTTTCTTTTGTATCCCATAAAACCTCCAAAGGCAATGGCTGCGGCATAGGCGAATCCTATCCAGTCCACGGCCATCATTAAGTCTTGAAGAAGAAAAATGCAATCAACAAAAAACTTTAAATCAAAGTGTTAGTTTAGTTATGTATTGCCTACGCAGAAATGAAAACTGTCTCTAGTCGTCGCTGTTGTAAAGTAGCGCTACAGTGGGCTAAAGACCACAGCAGCGATAAGATTACATATCTGTTTTCAGTTACGGAACACGGTGACTTATCCCTTCCCTTTTGTCATCCTGAGTTTAATAGCTTACTTCTGTGCAAAGAGCAGTAGCAGCAGTACTTAGATCTGCGAACAAACAGCAATCTCCAGTATGAGCAAGCCCAAGCTCCAAGCCACTTCCTGATTACTGACGCACGCGCTCTCCTGACATCTGACTGGTTGCTCAGATCATGGATCTTAGTTTTATTTTTTATAATTCTGTGGCATATATGCCTGAAATCCACACGTCCAAGAAGACCAGTTTTCCAGGCAGTTAGGACAATGGAATTGAGTAGTCTAATGTATTGGTAAAACATGGATCACTTAAAGAAAACGGTCAGTATCATTACATGGCTTGGTTTCGGCAGGTGGCAACATTTTCCTGACCAATAATATTTAATTCAGATGGGGGACTGAACTTGTTACAATGCAGATTTTTATTGTAAGTTTTTGGATATAGTAAATAATAAATGACCAGGTTCAACATCTGGCAGTATGACATCATCACATCTGTACGGAAAAAAATAAATTCAATAAAAACAGCACTCCCCCCAAAAGACACTTTATTTTAATAAGACACCCAAATGTCCACTTGTCCCAAATTGAACCAGAAAGTTAGAGCCAATGCATTATTTGAACAAAATAAGCCACTATAAAGCGCTCTGCAGCTCGGGCTGTGTCTACATGCAGCCACCAGGCGGACTGTGGTCTTCTAAGTAGACTGAGGACCGACTCCTCCAAAGAGAAGGCACACATTTCCAGCAGTTGGCATTGTACAGTCAGTCTGCAGTGTCCTGATGAGTTACAGTCAGATCTCGTGTTAAAAATGCCTATAAAATGTCTTATTTTTTAAAGTGAGGTATTGTAGCGAGATGTGAAAACTGACATCCACTTTACATGAGGGAAAACAAGTAAGTCTAAACTCTACAGGACAAGACCAATGTAAAGTGACTGGTGGAAAAAGTAAACAAGAATGGACAATAAGTGCATAATACAATACAATGACAGATAATACAAATGGCTTTGAGTGCACAGAAACCTGTGACATACTGTTAACATGGCTTTGTCAGATAGGTAGATACTATTTCATGAACATACGAATAATAATGAATGCATACAACAGGTTTAAATCTGTACCAATACATATAAAACGCACAAAAACAAACATACTTGATGTAAATGGCAATACAGTTAAAAATAATGTGGCATACACTCCCAGATTTTGGCAATAATTTGTGATTTAAAGTAAAGCTACTTTTTTATGTATGTAACACACTTTTCTCTCTAAAAGTTCAATCACAGTGAGTTAAAAAATACAGCTAGGCAGTTCAACACTAGTGGCTGTTACAGACACATGATAAATAACGCACAGCAAATGAATAAATTACTTATAACATACATTAGACAGCAAGTAATTTTCATGGTAAACATAGCAGCTGGTGCTATTTCATGAACTTCTACAGAGAAGAGCAAGTTACACTTTAGTTTAAAAATGGGGACAAATCAAAAGGTGCAATGTTTGGCTTTCAGTGACATCTTAAAATGAAGACATACTTCTGGATTAGTTATGAATCAAATATATATGATTTTAAGTCTCTCAAACACATATCTTATAAATCGAACACATTCCACCATTAATAAAGCAAAGTGCATAATTCCTGTGTGACGAACAAAACATGGACAACTGATATCAATAAGTCAGTGCACTTAATTTGAGATACATTAAGAATTGGCTGGTGTGTTTAAAATGCCAGACAAACGCTGACTGTGATTAGATCATTTGTTGTCGAGAGTACTTGGCACTCTTACTTTAATAGATGTAGATGTCTATTACAACTACCATTTAATATTTTTGTCACTTAATAATGATTGATGACAATGAAAGCATGCAGTATATATATTATTGAATAGGGGTCACTATTAGATACATTAAATATTTTGTTTTGAGGGGCCTCTTAAAGGACAAAACTGTTTCTTTAAACCTGCACTGCTGCAGAGAACAGTTAGTAGAAAAACACTGGGACAGTGTGTCATCACTGTGCCACTCCACAGCTGTACTATACCTTGTGTTCTGATACAGAAAAATGGCACCATCTTCTGCTCTTTGTGCGTGAATATGCGAGCCGCTGCACCTGCACCTTTTGTTAGGGAAACACATTGACCCAGAGCCATCCAAGCAGTGTCCCGTACACCCAGGTCCTCACATACACCCTTCTGCCGCCCTCAGTCAGCAGTAAAGGCAGCGTCAGCGCTCCCAGAATCATCACTGATGGGACTGTTTTAGAAAGGCTCAGAGGAGATAGTTTGCCCTCTCCCGGAAACTTGCATATTTTCTCTGCATCCTCCGATTCATAGAACTCTGTCAACAACCTGGGAAAAAGTTTTTTTTGTTTTAAATATGATATTAGTTATTGTAAAAAAAAAAAAAAGTTTACCTAATCAAATGATTAGCATTAATGTGGACAAATATGGTTACAGGACAAACAGAGAAAACAGTTTCAACTTTCAGAGGCACGTTTGTAAACCACCATGAATCATTCCTCCAGCCTCTTACCGGTCCTTGAGCTCAAAGCGCTGGTGCAACCACCTGCGGAAAAACATGGGCTCTGGAGGAATTTCCTTTATGTCCACGCGCTCGAAGTGAATGTGGACACGCGGACATTCTTTACACAGGAATTCTGTCAAACATAAAAAAATAAAAGACTAAACAAAAACAGGAAGAGCCTTTCAGTAAATCAGCACGTACGTTAAGACTTTAAAATCAACATAGGCGACAATGACAAAGTACTCATGTACTCATTAACAGATCAGTGAGTCAGGTCGTGATCAGTTACAAGAGTCGGTAGTTAATGTGCTTTAGTGTTACTCAGTAATGGAACGAATAATATTTAGGATTAATTTCTTAATAAGCATAATTGCAAGCAAAATCATCATCAAAATTGAAATGGTGGAGAACAAAAAAGTAATCTAAAATCTCCAAAACTCCTTTTCCACCCTCCACAGGCAATTTATAATGCCCCGTTGGGTGAAAATGTGATTTGAATTTTATTTCTTGTACAGTACTGACATTTTGGCAAAAGGATGGCCCACTGTCCTCAGATAGAAAAACTTAAATGTGGGACAATGTTAATATACAATTTAGATAGCAGTCTTCCGTTTCTCATTATCATTAACAGCCAAGATTAAGAATGTTATTTTTACAGTTAAAGGAGCACTATGCAAGTCCTCTGGTGGAGGCTCTTCCACCTGCCTGTTAACATGTAGATTGTATTGCTTTGCTAGCAATATTTTGTTTGGCCAAAAGAGTGTGGTTGGTTCTTTATAGATCTTTAACTTTCTCTAGTGTCATTACATGCTTGTCTCCATGGAGATGGATAAGCGCAATGCTATACTGTGACTATGGAACATTTCCAGCAAAGCAATCTTCATGGTAGCGGAGCCTTACAGTTTCAGTTACAGTGTACGTTTGATATTTGACCTACGTATATGACATTGAAGTAAATTACCAAAGACGTTAGTTATTGTCAACAGTGCAGGAAGTGCGTGATAGAAGAATGCTTTTTGTTTTCGTGAAAACACATGGATGTGTACTCACAAGAAACGGGATGTTTTCTTTTCCTGTTCAGAACCGTGTTTATTGACCCAGGAACACGAAAGAATTAAAAAACACTGAAAAAACATAATCGATCTACAGGATGGGAATGCTGCTGATTTGTGACGTTTGTTTTTATTTCTGGGAATAACAAACCCAGACATAATTTGCTGAACATGTTTTTAGTAGGGAATTAGTGAAAGCTGATAATTTGACAATGGGTTAGTAGCACCACATTTACCTGGCATGGACGGAGCAGGATTTCTGTGGCGGTTGCTGTTCAGAGTGCCTTCATAGGCCACAGTGATGTCATACACTGCGTCCAGATGGCCTTGCATCGCCTCTAAAGCCACACGTGATGCCTTCATGCGCGGGGTCAGTGTGTGTTTGAGAACCGCAAGTCCTTTGGGCAAAACAAAGACAGCTCAGTTTAGTGCATGGTCAAACTCGTTAAATGGTAAAAAATTTAATTGGTAGAATAGGAGTGTAAGGTTTTTATAGCGGTGATCAATAATGACAAAAAATATCAGAGTTATTCAGATGACCATCAGATATTTTGGCAATCCATTAAAAGGCGCTAAATTGAACCTCCAAACAGACTAAGAATTTAATAACACACTGCAAGTTGTTTATAACTGTATTTTTATTTCCATAGCATCTTAACAGCAAGAGTTTTTTCTATACATTTCCCACATTTATCGCTCAACATGTTATGCTAATGCTTAAGTTTCTTAATTACATTTGAGTCAAAAACATTTAGGATCTCTTCAACAGTTTATTAATAAATATTAATAGAACTCCAGAGTGCTTGAGAAAAAAGATCAATTAAAGCAACACAACACATGATAAATGAATGTTGTGATGCTGTGATAGTGTGCGCTAAGGCCAGATTTCTCAGTCTGGTGCCTCTGAACCACTGCTGCCACTAATACCTCACTAATAACAGATAATGTCATGAGCGCATAATTCCTCCTCGTGGTTTATTTGGATTAATGGAGGAAGGTGATATTTGGAGATCTGGATAGAGGTTTAATCTCTGCAATGTGAAGATTGTGAGCCCATTTAACTACAAAACAACAAAACAATGCAAATTATAGTAAAATATGGAAGTGAAGGAAAAGATAAATTATATGAACATATCTTTTCATTTATGTTTAAACGGGGCAGTGCATAACATGTACCCATATAAATATGCCAGATCTATGGTCTCATGGTAGTTTGATGTTAAGACATACAGTCACAAAACAAAGCACAATGTTAAAGGCTACAGAGACATAGATAAGTTAATAAACGTTAGATGTTTAGTGGATGAAGATGTAAGGGAGTAAATTGCCAGTACCTTCTTTTTGAGCAAAAGCCTGACTGTCAGCGATAACACTCCTGAGCTCTGGATTATAGCGAGTTCCTTCTGGGAAGATGACAAGGTACATCTGTAGAAGAGAAGCAAAACTCAACTTTAAAAAGGAATTTAGGTATACTTTTTTTTAACAACCAAATAAATTGTCAACATCTACACACCATGACCAAATTAACTTTAAAAAACAGTCAAAACATTTCACCATACATGTTTGTTTTTTTCCAATTGATCAATATTGTTACAGCTCAGAACCATTAGTGAAAGTGCTTCAGTAGATTTCCCTTATGTGCTCTTGTATCGGTTGAGTGCATGAGCTAAGCATCACAGCAGACAGTAAGATGTGTAATGCTATGACAATGCATTGACAGATGTTTATGCTTAACTATTTTGGAAACTAACAGATGAATTCATAATGTCTTTTCTATGCAAATAACAGTGACAAACCAAACCTACCGGTGCTCCGGCTTCAGTTTGTCTCAGCAGCTTCTTCTTCATGGCCTTCTCGTTGAACTTTGAGCTACGTTTGACATAGATTCCTCCATGCTAAAGATGTAGGACAAATAAGTAATATTAAAATGCACACATTATTTGCACATATATGTTTGTTTAATCTTGATACAGTCATATTACCTGAGAGAAGTACCAGCCATACAGTGGAAGCCACTTGAGTCCATCTTTGAGAACATACCGAACGTGGCCAAGGGCACTCTGTCTGATGGCCAGCATGTCAGCAATGATCCAGTCAGCTTTGAACAAGAGCATTAAGAGAACTTTAGAAACAACAGTGCAAACTCATACACTTTGGGATTCTTAAATTCACCTGTACATTGATGATTGGAAAGGTAGATTACATTTTCTTTTTTCTTTGGTATATCCCCATACACTATTATCTACAACAAAGAAAGCATTCATTAATGGTTATAAATGCAATACATTTGTATTCGTACAAATCAAAATCTGGTCACTCTTGTATTTCACAGTCATAGCACTAAATGTGTTTAATGAAAGGAGTGGTGCAAAAGAATGCAACATATCTGGCCTATCAGGACTTGTCAAACAAGACTGCTCACCTAAGGCAACTGTTGCATTTTCCAATTTAGACTAGTTTTCACAACTTAGTTGTTATCGGTCAAGATCTGCATTGTTCGATGTATGAACGTGTAGAGAAAAACAGAATTGTTACAGTTGTTTAGTTGCTTACCTCTACTCCTGTGTAGTTTTCGAAGAAGAACAGGACCATACTCTGATAAATACAATACAGTCGGTCATCTAAGGTGTGATAGACTCTGGCAGGTAGGACCGTGGAGAGAAGGCGCCAGACCCCCCATGATAGTAAGTAGGCTGGAGCTGTCCCCAGCATGATAGTCGCTGGAAACCAGTACCGCAAAGAGTACGTGTGCACGACCAGAGAGAGCAGCATGTTCCCAAGCACAGCAGCCCTGATCTAAAGAATCCAGGACTAATCTGCTAGTCTGAGAGCTACACTTTGCAAACACTGCAATTCAATTTTGGACAGCAAGTCCTATCTGTAGCACACCGCACCTGGCCTATTTTCAGCACAAACACCCCTATAAGTCAGCATCTAAGTAAAAAAAAGCTGCAGTAGCAGATTGAGAAGCTAACCGGCTAATGCTAATTTTAACCTTGTGAACAGATGCAGATAGGCAGTTTGAAGTCTTACATCCAAACAATGAGTCGCACAAGATCTTCCATACGCTACCTGAAGCAAGTTATCGGGTTGACAAAAAACAAAACAAAGTTTAACCCATACGAGGTATATCAAATTCAAGTTGGAAAAGTGCTTTAGCATAAAATAACGTGTCCGCGAAAAGTTAGTTGCATAAATGCTTCTTTAAACAACAGATTTCCTTTGAGAAGGCTTCAGTTTATAGATCCAAACCCATCCCGTATTGTTAGGGCAAAATAGAAATAAAAGTCTTCGTACTGCATGAAGGTGTAGATAAACTAGTGCTACCGCTTAGTGAAATGTCATACACGCCTCCTCCTCCGTGCAGCCTGTCCGTGGTGCAGCCCCAGCAGCCACACTCCAACAAGGACGCCCCCCATTGGCTGCGTGACGCAACAGGACAAAACCAATGGGAGTGCATCATGTGCGACAACTACTACTGCTCATTAAAAATAATCGTGGATCTATGGAGATAATACAGTAGACTGTGTGAATAACATTTTGTATTCTACCAGTGTCAGAAATGAAAGAAAACAGGGTTCACTTGCACTACTCCTTTGCCTCCCAGTCGGTGGTATACAATGTAGATGTATAGAAGCAGGTATGCGCACAAATACACAAAAGCAGGTTTATTTAAAAGCTTAATTTGAGATTTCACATTATGTATCATTATTGTTTAAAAGGGCAAATAACCTAAATTCCCCTAATTTGAAGATTGACTGTTACACTGATTAGTCTGACTGTCATCTCAACTGTCACCCATTTAAAGCTGTCTGACAGCTCAGACTGTAGTGCTGTCACAGCATTTGGCTCAAAGACAGTAGAGATGTCTCCAAAAATACTACAGCTCCGTGAGGTCATCAGATTCATCAAAGTAGGAAGAAAAAAACATCTGTGTAGAATGAGATAAAGTTTTATTGATATTGCATGACATCAGTAAAAACTACATTCAACAGTTTTAAGTCAAATTAAACAAAAATATAATATTTGGTACAAAACCAATGAAAGGAATGAGCGCTTAAGCAATGTTTTCACAGTCATGTAAAGTAATTTTTTAATAAGACGTATTGTTTTTTGATAATATCCCTGAAGGCAACCATCATCTTAGCTCTCTTATTCATATTCACCTTTTTAATCCAAAGTGTAGTCATCATAGGGCAGCAGCTTCAAATGAGTGATGCTGTCTGTAACACAAACAAGTATAATATGAATGTCAATAATTCCATGACTATTTTAGTGCAAAAAGCAGTGAGACCACGGGGGCTAGTTATTGGAATTGTTTTATTTAATATTTTTACTGTGCAGAACTACGTTGAGGAACATAGATTGTGAGTGGATACCGACAAGGACACACATTTTAGGTATTTTTGAGCATTGAAAATACCCATAATGAAAAACTGTTTTTATTATCCTATTTTTTGGGGGGCTGAATTGTTACATAGTCGGGCTTTATTGGATTAAATGTTATGCAGATGGACCTTAATCATAAATATTTTGTAGAACAGAATAGTTACCATATGATAATTCAAAAAGCTAAATCTGTTTAACTGCCAACAGTATTTATTTCAACCCAAAAAAATTATCATCAGTAATATGCATTAGCTAAGGTAGTCTTGACCAAGCCTAGCTCAAAATCTGGAGATAGGATCCTGGGCACTGCACTGCGGCCCACTGCTCCAGATAGGTTCCACCAGGAGCCTGTCTGGAGTACCTCAATTTGTTATTTTTGTACAGTAGAAAAAGGGGCATCATAGTGTCCTCGATTAATAAGGAAATGCTTGTGAAGTTCTTACCAAGCACCCACTGCTCTGACAGCACCCTGCTCCCCTCTGGCCTCCTGCCGCTGTACCTCCCGATGAGGAGGCCGGCCTGGCGCACAGTTCTGCACACTGTTCCTCCGCAGAGTTGGATGAGCTCGACGAGGCTCTGAGGGGGTGGCTGGGAGAAATGGGACACAAACATGGCGGGCTGGTCCTCGAACAGGTCCTGCTGATGCTCCCCTGCTGATAAGTGTCTCTGGAGTCTGCAGATCTGAAGGGTGAGAGGGTGAGAGAGACAGAGAGAGACAGACAGAGAGAGAGAGACAGACAGAAAGAGAAAGAAAGAAAGCCAGGTAGAAAGAGACAGGTAGAAAGAGACAGGTAGAGAGAGAGAGAGAGAGAGAGAGAGTGACAGACAGAAAGGGTGAAAAGGTGACAGGGAGGGGGAGAGAGAGACAGACAGGGTGGGTGAAAGAGGGGAGAGAGAGGGTGTGTTTGAGTGTGGGGACAAAAATCTGTGCACCTTCAATTCATCAGGTCCGGATTAGATAGAAAGAGAGAAAAGAGGGTGGAGAGAGAGAAGGAAAAGAGACAGGTCGAGAGAAAGGTTCGGGAAATAGAAAGGAAAAGGAGGACGGAGACAGAAGGAAGGGTAAGAGAGAATGAAAAAGACAGCAAAATGAGAGAAAGATTGAAAGAGAGAGAAAGTAAAGCTGCAGCGGGGGTGCGGGGTTGTCCGTCACATCTGGACGGTTCAGCACTGCTCTGAGGCACAGGTGTTTCTAATTACACAGGTTAATTCGAGACTTTCCCACAGGAGGAGACGGGAGTTATTCTTGACATTTCAGAACACAACAGCTTTATTTGTCCTGTCTTATTTTCAAATCAGGTTTAGTCCTCTTCCCCTGTAATTTCTGTCTGGCAACTCTGCATTTTTAGACTATCTGTTCAATCGATGTGACTTTATCTCCAAAACACCTAAAAGAGCCGTCTCTCTGATGGACTCATTTCTAATCCCATCCAAACCAAACTTGTCCATAAAATCATCACATCACTTCCGGCTGTCTAAAAAAATGTAGAAAATGAATTATCCAGCAACAAAAGACCAACAAAGAATCACCACAAGTATTTTTTTAAACACTGAATTACAGGAAACTGCAAAGAGTCAGTCCATTCACATGGATTTTACAAGTTCAGAAACAAGGTCATGTTGTTATTATAGTGGCAAACACAAATAAACTAAACACATAACTATTTGGTTCTCTGATGATATTGAGTTAAAGGTACACTATGCAACTTTTTCTGGTGAAGGATCTGAAAACTTATTGTCTGCATGGAGAAGCAAAGGCAAAGCTTTTTATATATATTTTTTCCAACAATAAAACCTCCTAAAATTAAATAAATACAAGATAAATATGTTTTCATACAGTGGAACATTTCAGGCAAAGCAATAACATATCCATGAGACAAGCAGGTGGCAAACTATTGCCAGAAATGTTACATAGTGTACCTTTAACAGTAGTGGACTGGAAACTTGAAGCAGTAGTGTGAACAGTGTGACAGCACAGGAAAACAAATAAGGATTTGTGTAATTCTGAGATTGAATAAATCAATGCAGGGCTCCCGGAGTTGAAATGTTTAAATAGATTATAAATACAACTCTCCTTCCTTTGAAAAACACTACAAGAGTTGTGAACACCTGAAATGCTGTGTTACTGGAACACACTCCTTCCCCTTTTGTAATTCATCTTAAATATGTTCATTTTCCTTTTAGAGAAACAAATTACATCAGCCAACTTCCTACTATTCTACTGTACAATCCAATTAGGTTACAGCAAAACATGAGGCATTTCTGTCCTTCAAAAACAAATTAATTCAGACTGACTGCAGTTATAAGAATTATTGCTAACACTTAATCTACAGTAATTAACCACAACCATTTATTTAGTTTTTATTCTATTTATTCATTGATTTTATTATTTTTATCTATTGTTTCTATTAGTTCCTTTTTTCTGGAACAAAATTCTGGAGATGTTTTAGAGTTAAATGTTTTACATTGCTATGGGCAGCAGTAAAATATGCTGTACAAATAAAGTTAGATAACAAATTAATAATGAGCAAATGGTTAATTAATACTTAGTGACAACAAAATCAACAAGACCTAATTGTAACTACTAACATTTATAGTAGTTAGTAAGCCTGAATTATTCTTAATAAATTATCTGTTCATTATGAAATATGTCTTTTGTCATACTTTATAATAAATGCTAATAATGTTGTTATTACAAAGTGTAAGTTCATAATTTTTTATCACATACATAAAGTTGTTAAAAATGTGTGAAAGTACAATCAAAATGAATAATCCTGCAATGCATAAATTATATCTATGTCGAGCTATAGTGATTTTTCTTGGACTGTACTGCTGAAAAAGTGTTTGTGCGTACGCCGGGAAATCGTGAATGAGCAGCTTACTATCCCTGAGAGCACTGGAGGTGGACAGCTGCATCCTGAGTCCTGTTTAATGTGACGCGGACAAACGTGGCTCTTGGAGGATATAACAAAGCAGAGTATGTTGTGTGTGTGGTTGTGTGGTTTGTGTCATGTAGTGCGAGTGTGTGAGAGGATTCTCCACTTCGGTGGCCGGCCTCAGAGGAGGCGTGGTCGGGACAGTGCTCTGGCTAATCAGAAAAGGGCTTTGGGCAGCTCTACAAAGTGTCTGGACTGGGACTTGATGAAAGGCTCACACTTGCAGCCTGGCACCGGTCAAACTAAAGGGAGCCGCTACTTCCAAATCCTCACTCTACTACTGAGCACACATAAAAAGGCCAGAGAACTTTGATTTACCTTGGGACAGAACTACAAACACTTTTTTCTTTCCAAATTGACAGAAGAAAGACTAAAATGTTGATCTTAAATGTGCTGACTTTAGTTGTGTGCGTGACCATAGGATCCTGCTATAATGGTTTAGATGGTAATATGGGTAAGAGGCAGTATCAGATCCAGAACGGGCTGTGCAGCTACACCTTTCTCCTCCCTGAGCAGGACAACTGTCAGAGCAGCTTCAGTGACCCAGTGCAGAGGGACGGGCCCGTGGACGGAGATGAGTCCTCACAAAGACTGCAGCAACTGGAGAGCATCATGGAGAACAACACACAGTGGCTGCTCAAGGTAAACTGAGTGTCACATTATCATTATATCACTCTGTTGTTCATTTCACAACTTTATAACAGTACAATGAAAGTAGGAGAGTACCGTAACTGCTTCAAAATTTCAAACAAGGGCAGCACAAATGTATGGCAAATGAAAGACTAGTTTTATGATATTTGAGCAAAAGCCCAATAATGTATTGCTTTAAACTAATGTGATTTTGTGTAGGTTTGAGGTAATTGCTCCATAAAATTTATTTCTTTCAATATGGCAATAAAATTTGAAACTTTTTATTACTGGCCACTGGTTGCAGTTGCTGCAATAATTAGACAAAAACACCCAAGAGTAAACCCAAGCCTCATTAACAATTTGAAATTATTAGATCAAACTAAATTTTGATTAACTGCACAGCCCTAAATTAAATACTGCTCTTTTCTAAAATGTGACAAGTTATCAAAACTGTATCATTCAGATATGATGAAACTAGTTTTAAAAAGCTTCAAACCCAAAAACATGTCAAGGGTGTTTTCTGCACAAAAGATGCCAATAGTTTAGTTGAGTGACAAAGGCAGTCAACAGGTGGGATGCAGAGCTCCCTTTCACTCACACTTTGGTCAAAAAGGAGCTGAAAAGCAGCTTTTGTTGCAGCCGTGTCTCCACCATCTCCTCCTCCTCTTGAGTCTGAGTAATGAGAAAACTCCAAGAGACAGACAGAGCAAAGCTGGCCTCACTGCACGATCGCTCATTTCTTTTGGCACTCGGCTTCATCACAGAAGGACTCAGAGGGCAATTTCTCTGACACTCTTCATGATCCTGACGCCACTTCTCCCAACACAAAAGCTCAAGACAAAAATAAAAGCAGCTTCACAAACTAAAGCCTTTTCAAAAACATACAGTGGACATTTTTCTAAGGCCAGGAAACAGTCTTTTTGTTTTAGAAATACTTTATTATAAAAAGAAAAAAAATCTAAGTTCAGGATAAAAGTAAAGTCACAATAGGTTTTGCATTAGTATAGTAAATAGTATAAAATAGGGCTGTGCAATTAAGCAAAATTAGCAAATTTGCTTGAGATCGAGATTCAGTCCTTTTTAAAGTCTATATAATAGGCATTACCTGCTGATTATTTTTAATTAAGAGGTCTACAACTAATCCTCTGTCAGTAAAAGCATGTGGTTTGGAGCTGAGTTCAGACTTTGAAAATAGATAACTCACTTTTTTATGAAACCTAAAATCTATTAGGGAAGCTCATGCAAACTCCACACAGAAAGACCAGTTGGACCAGAGAATCCAACCCGGGCGCTTCTTGCTGAAAGGTGACAGTGCAAGCCACGCGTTACAGGATGTTTTGTGTTACATGACGTTGATTACATCAGAAATAATTGTGTTTATAAAATTAAGCTTGAAAGCCATGTTTTTTGTTTTTAAGAAGCCAAAATGTAAACAAAAATTATATAAAAATAAACTGAATATCATGATCAATCAATGAGAAAAGAAATTGCCCAAATTGTCAAATATAAAAAATAATATGTATAACACTTGCCCAAGAGCACAGATTCAGATTCAGATTCAATTTATTGTCATTGCACTTAAGTACAGTGCAACAAAATTAATTTTTAGCATCTGACCAGTGTGCAAGTATTAGATACAAATGTATATATGATAGAATGTTATAAAACAGAGGTAGGTATAACATGAGCATATTGCTAATCTTTACATGTACATTAAGTGCATCATTTAATTTGCACAGATATGTGTGGAATGTAGAAAAAAGGGAAAGAAAGATGCAGATTAAACTGAAAAGGTCAACAACAACAAGAAAGGCCAAAAATAGTGAGTCAACAGGACAACCTCCCAAACATCTATTAATTGTTCAAATACAAACAAACAGGAAGGCCACAAACACAGGCCGTAATCATCATAGTTGGTCAAACACGCTGTGAGAAAAATCGTGACGTTTTGGAAAGCCTCTCCTGAAACACATAATGCCCTCACAAGGTCCGGCAGATGACCGCGATAATTGGACTGTGTCTGCGGTCACGTCACAGTGTCATGGAGGATGTAACTCCTCACTCATCAGTTCATCCTGTTTACGAGGCATGTGACCTGATTGCCTCTCAGGAACA